AAAAATCAACTTGGAAAAAAGGCAATGAAACAGTTTTGTGGCAATTGCGTAAAAATATCTGTTTAAAAGAATTCCAAGCTCTGAAGCGATTTCAAACATGTAAGATTGAGAAATGTATGCAAGTGGACCCACAAGTCCTTTATTGCGCTATGTAGAGGAGGGATCGTTTCTCGGACATAAAAACTGCTTTCACTACTGATACGGGTCGGTCATCTTTTGAGGGAAATATCACACTAAACTCTTTTGATTCATAAATAAAAACGATTCATACTCATAGAGAGTGAAAACTTGTGTTATGAAGCTTGAAATTTGATGTTTGTCTTGAATATCTTTGCAAGTTGTGGGTGTGTTTCAGATTTTGGGGGTAAATTTGCATGCTCCTCTGGAACTTTTATCTCCCAAAATACATCACTGACGGCAGGCCGGGGGGGGGGGGGGCTTTGCGGTTCGCGATGGTAAACCTCAGCATGCCAAAATATGGCGTGTACCTTCCTAGAAGTTTCATCACCTAAACTAAGTCCCGATGGTGGGTTGGTTGGTTTGTAACATTGATGAACGAGCAAATGGAAGATTGATGTCTTTACATTAATGGTGACAAGATCCAGAAACTTTTGGAGGGGGACCGCAACCCCCCAAAGCCTCTTGTGTCGCTATGTAACCTTGCACAGCTTAAACCCCAAGCACTGAGCTGTACAAATAAAACAAATCCGCGGCGAGAGGGGGTCATTTGGGGAAGTGTTGATGTTTTACGTCAGTCGTTCTCTCTCGCTGTGGGACTTTTAAAGACTCCTCAAGTAAGGTAGTTCACACCCGCTCCCCCAAAAATGTCTTCATTGGAATAGAATCAGGAATACTAGGAAAGTGAAAACCCCATCGGAGTCATTTGCAAATACCGGAAAGAACAGACTTTCTCGACTGTTTGGGAACGGGAAACAAGTGTGTGATTTTTTTGGTCTGGCATGATGTAGCCTACGTTAAAACGTAAAGGTATAATAACACAACATTTGCTTTTGCTGCAATATTCAGAAATGGTTGGATTTGGGTTTAGTATTTTAAAGCAAATAATTATTAGTTACATTGACCTGTTTAACGTGGTGTGTACGAAGATGCTTGAAAAACCAAGAGAAAAAAATGTTGTTCTTGTAGTCTGGTTCCCTGACTCTACTTCATACGAAACAACGCAATTTATAGAGGTAGGAGAATTGTCAGGTCAGGGAACCCGACTAGCTAGCTTGCACCCGTTCATGGATGTGCAAGCGATTGCAAACAAAATGCGGACTAACTAAATTTGGTAAATCGGGGCAGTATTGAATGATGGTCGGCCGACCATCGTTGGACATTGATACAATTCCTCTTTTCTGGAAAAGGACAGCACATCAGGTGCCATGATGTCACAGGATGCTTGAGACTATTATTCACTTACAGTCAAGTTAGGTATTTCATAAAAATTAGGTAGTTTTGTTTTTTGATGTTTGCACAATGTTGTATATTACCTGTTACAATTTGGGAGAAAATGAGCAGTTTGTCATATAACATTGGACAGAATCAGGTGATCTTGTAAAGAATCATGCGTGCCTCCTAACCGCTTAAAATCATTCAAGATTTAATCGTGACGAACACAATTTGAAGACATAAATGAGTTGGCATGTTTCACACTTTTCCCCCACAATTTCATCCAAGTTAAAATCAGAATAACGACAAAGAATATTACGGGACCAAGAATTTCTAGTACATGTATATTCTTTCTTCTATGGTTCAAAATACTGAAAAACAGGGTACAATTACATGAGTATTATCATTATGATAATAGTCATGTAAGTTTACCCTGTTTTTCACAAATTTCAGTATTTTGAACCATAGAAGAAAGAATATGATTGGTATAGTTTGAAATTGAATGTTGATGGTGGAACACTGTTAACAAGTGTTGCAAAAATAGTATAAATTTGCATGGAACGTTCGACATGAAATCTGAAGCATGAAACCAATTTATTTCGGCCCAGATATCCAAGAGCGACTGACACTGACTGAAGTTGTACCCTAATGGTTTTCCAGCCGCCACTTGCCGGACTAATCAAATCTGTCCCGGCCCCTCACATGAAAAAGTTTGACGTGACACGGAGCTCCGGTGGATGTTTGCTCAGTGCCCGCCGAGCGGGCCGGGGCACCCAACCCGGGGTACCTCGCCGTCGCAGCGGGACCGCCTAAATCGCTTCCCGTGCCTCCACCGACCACAATCAGCTAAAATGACAGGCCCAACACCCGCCAAATTCCACACGTCAGAATCTATTGGCGAGGGGCTAAAGTACTCATGTACTTCATTCTAGAGAACTCTAGTTTTGGGTGAGGGGCTTCTGAGTGTTTAGTTTTCTCCGTCCAGCGCCCCAGTGTGCATGACAATCCCGGCCAGGCAAAACTGGCAACCAGAGACGTGGAATGGAAGTTTGCATGGCTCAGGAGTCAGGACAATTCAGGAAAGCAAACATTGCCGGAAGCGTGTGTGGAAAAGGAAATTACCACTTCGGAGTTCTGAGGTGTTGAGAGCTACGACAAGTGCTTAAAGAAACCGAGAAAAGGCAAAATGGTTCCATCACTTCCATGCAGTGATGCAGACTAAGGAGGGAGGTACAAATTAAAAACGAAAACATCAAGCAAAGAATAGGACGATGAAGTTAAAACTTCTCAATTTTCCTGATTTCAATTTCGATAGACGCAAATTACCTACGTTTCCCCGCCCTAGGTGACCCCATTAGTTAAAGGTTGGACCCGGTCACTGTCAGTGAAATTTGGACTGCTATGAAATCTTGCCTCTTTCACCTTATAATGACTCTGACGTTCACACGTGACCTGTCACTGTCCTGATTATCTTCATTTAGGCATGCGCAATACAACCAAGGAGTCCGTATTTCATAATATGTAAAGTCCAATTGTTTACACTACACCAGCTTCACCGATGAATGACCACGTAGGCCTACACAGAAAGATCGGAAAAGTCCTGTCAGATTTTTTTTTTTTTTTTAAAGGCCATAACAAATTGTGTCATTAACATAATGCAAGCCCTGCTCCATTAGGTAAGATAATAGTCAGCAAAGTTTTATGATCAACAGAGGGCGCCCTAAGTGATATTTCATCTCACCTGGGACCTCGCTTAATCATTGTTTTTAATGAAACTGATTTTGAAACGTTGATGTATGGCATTGGTGCAAAAACTGGTAATGTTCCTTAGGTGCTGATTGCCCCTGCACGACCCGTAGAGGGCGCCTTTAATACACACCCAACAAGGGCCAACAGCAATATCTTGACCTGATCTTTTCCTGGTTCCCAGGTGCCATCAGGTTTATTCAGCAATCGACGGGTACCAGGGTAGTCACACTTTAGCAAATGTCACCACAAAAGAACACAGAATTACAAAAGGCGCAAACAACTGCATAAACATATGTGGGACACATGCATGTGAACTTCACAAAATGTTATTAATGTTTCACAACAATATGAGTTCTGCTGATGTCAAAAGAGGGCGCCGTTCAAGACATTGGCAAGGCGATTTGGCTCACGAGCTGCCATCGTTGAGCTCTATAGACCCTACTCACTGATATGGGTATTGCGTGTAGCTACTTGCCACAGTGATCTGGGATACATGTACTTACACTGGGTAGTATGTAGACTTGGAACGGCTGGGTGACATTTGGGTTCAGGCATTATACTGCTGAACTTGAACCCTCGCTTCGAGTGGGTTGGACTGGGTTCAGCCTGGGATCAGACATTACGAGTGAACTTGAACTCTGGAGTCAAATGGGTTGCACTGGGTTCGCCTGGGATACGAGTGAACTTGTACTCTGGAGTCAAATGGGTTACACTGGGATAGGCCTGATTACGAAGCGAACTTGAACCTTTGCTTTGAAAGGGTTGGTGGGTTGGGTAAATTGGGTTCAACAGGAGTTTAAGCCACAAAAAAACCCACACATCCGCCACACAAGAGTGCAAAGTTATGGACAGCAGAAGCGAAACTGAAAAAAACCCATATTGTCCTGAAAGAAGTGTACAATTATAAAAAAAAAAAACCCTTTAAGCTCAATCATGTTTTACAGTAGGCCGCATGCAGCAAACGTTTATACCGACTACATTATTTCCATCTTTTTTTTGATTACATGAAAATTGCAGATTGTTGATTCGGTTATCATCCTCCATCCACAAATTTCAGAGAGGATGTACTATTGTGCACAGAAATTTGGGATACAGGTTAAGCTATGTAAGCCATATTTTTTTAAGGAAATATACCCAGCTTTGGGGTATACGCCCATGCTTAAAGTTACCACACTCACCATCTTCGTAACAACCGCAATCGTGGACCCCCAGTGTCCCTAATCCTCATTCCATTGTTTGTACTTAAACTTTTTAGCAACAGCTCTCATTGGTTTTGTACACGAATTTCAATCGTGGACGTTCGGTCAATCGTGGAGGTATTATTTGTGCCCTAACCCTTTTGTCCTTCGTCCACGATTGCCAGTGTTTTCATACTGACATATGCCCCCCCCCCCCGGCCCCAAGTAATGGCGCAGTCATTGTTAGGCCATCAGCCTCGGTCCAAAATGTTGGCCACGGTATCAAATGAGGGGAATAATTGTCATAGCGATTTTTGGCAAGGTATATACACCTCCAGAGTTGGAAAATATGTGATAGCATTGCAACGGTGGCAGCTTTTTGGGTGTTAATGCCCTTTTTTTCCAAATTGTCCATCAAAATGCTTGTTACTACTCTAGGGGCGGTATACCTTGCGCATGCGCACTATAATCATTTATGCCCTGATTTGATACTGACTAAACCCCCAGGCCGATGGCCTATGGGCAGGTAAAGCAACTCCGTGATGTGGCTGACACAATGCTTCAGCCACTGGGAGTATTCAGAGGCCTTTTCACACTACCTCCGTTTCGAACCGTGTTGAAACCTACCCGGATCCGTGTTTGTGAAGTGATTTTGTGCCGGGAGTTGTTGGGAGAACTTACCTTTAGTTTTGACCATCATGATGGTAGCTGAGCACAGACCCGTTCCGTTCCGCAGATTGGTCGCTGGTACTCGGTTAAATCCCGCGTAGATCAGATAATCCACCTGCCCGTACAAGGCAGTCTGGCCTGATAACGTGTACAGGTGCCGGCTCTCTATCGATCCCCGGATTGAGCCGTGATTGTTCCACCGGAGCCGCTCATCTGAGATCTCCAGGACCAGAGTGGTACCAACCGAGACCACGTCATCGACCACGCGGAGCAGCAGCCCGCCATTAATGGTCGCTACCGTGTGGCCCGGCAGGGCGTTACTGTACACCCGCATCTGTCGGTTCAGTATCTGCGTCTCGGCCATGTTACTGCTCCCTTCCCCGTCCCCACCGAACCCATCCCCGCTGGCCGAGTCCGAGATATCCAAGGTCCAGTCTCTCGGCTCCTGCTCATATTCCAGTACAATCCTGGCCACTTTGTACGGTCCGGAGAAGTCCAAGAGCGCCACGGCTTGTCCGTCACACCTCCCCGTAGCCGACGGCGTCGGTGTCACCAGAAACCTGGTATATTCCGTCTCGCCCTCCACTAACCCAGTCCGTAAATCCACGTAGGTGCTCAGTCGTTTCAGAGATGTGAAGCCCAGGTCACTGCATACTAATCAACGACACAAAGAAAATAAGAACAATTTGTTGTTTTTCTCAACATTTTCATTGACTGCGATTTGGCCAACTCCCTGTTACAATCTGTAGGCCTATATTGTGCATTTCTTTCTTTGAAGAGTTTGTAGTCTTGGTCCAACACTGGTTTGAATTTTTATCCCCCTATTTTGCAGCCAGTCCCGTAACGCGGTTAAGTTGCCGCGGCGGGCGAGGTCTCTATCAACAAGATGAATCAAATCCAGTGCTGGCAATATTGGCAGCGCTACCCAGGAAATTTCGAGCATACCCCACGCGCGTGCAATACAGCGCGCGTGAGGTATACTCGGAATTTCCTGGGTAGCGCTGCCAATATTGCCAAGACTGGATTGGATTCATCTTGTTAATGGCGACCTGGCTTGTCACAGACCAGCCGTAGAATGGGAACCAAATCCAAATCCAGTTTTGGATTAAGACTAGTAGGGAGTTTGTGAAAATAGAGATGCCCACTCTAAATAGGATTGCAAGCTTGTACGGTATTTCTAACAAAATTTGATGAGAGTCTATTTACTTTGCAAGAGCGTGTAGAGGGATCCTTTTGTTTTGAAAATGTTGACTTACTTCAACACTAACTCAATAGGGGTCATCATCTTTGGAGGGAAACATCCCCACAGGTCATCGAATTACACCAACAATTGAACAGAACGAGAAAGATGGTACATCAAGCTTTGATTTGATGTGCGTCTACAGTTTAACACTCTTGAGATTTGAGTATTTCCCCCAATTTGATTTGAGGGCATTAGACACTGGTGGCAATAGCAATACTGGTCTGTGCCATACAGAGACGGCAGATTATTTCTCACTTTGTATTTTCAACGTGTCATCACGGCGACGTAAACCATCGCGAGCATCGAGTTCAGAGTTCACGGATTCTCCGAGAATTATCTCGGTCGCTGCGAGCTTGGATGGACCTTTATGGCTCATTTTGCATTGCGAATAATTTTCAATCTGCACTTTAGTATTTACTGCGTGTTCGTGTTATGCAAGAGCGCATTAGCATCACGCCCAACGGTTGCACCAAGGAGGAATGTCTAAGAAATTCGTCAAGATTTTTAGCTGCGGGTACGGGTAGCAGCTCAACAAATCATCATGTCTCTCCGTCAGTAATATGGTTAGTTAGTTAGTTAGTAACAAACGTTGACATTGCTCCAACTTATTTGGACCGATTTCAACCAAATTTGGTCAAAAGTATCAGTAGCCCAGCCCCAACATGTCACATGACCAAACTGGGTTCCAAGGTCATGAGAGGGTCACTGGGGTCGAAAACTTGATTTTTCCTTAAAATCAAAACACTACTCCTTCCAGAAATTACATGGCACAATCACGTGACTCATGCATGAACACTAATTCGTTGGCCTGCACAGCTTCCGAGATCCGATCATGGAGGTAGAATCCGATAGAGCTTGTTTTCACATAGGGCGCCCTCCGTCCCCTCAATTTTGACAAGAGTGCAAAAGTTAAAACCAAATGATCACAGTCACACTTTATGTCCTTTTGTTAAAATTAATTTTGATCTTTTAGTTACTGATACATGCAATTTTATGGGGACCCAAAATATCTACAAGCAAGTGAAACGATTTTTGTTCTTGTGGACCAAGTCGCTGTCACACAGCTGTGTGACGAACCCACTATACCCGCACATTAATCACCAATTTCCACCACATCACTTCCAATATAAATAACAAACATTCCCTTCGGTCCATTAAAGCTGTTAAATTTAACACATTCCTCCATGAGTTGTATTCGAAAGCAAGAAGGGAGGCGGGGGGGGGGGGGGGAGGGAAGAAATGCCCTCTGGGTGTTGAAAGATGACGCCAGTATTCTATTGTTGTAAGCGCACGCACGTAATTAAAAACGCAAATAATTGCCATTGTGTGGGCGCTGTTGTTTGTTTATTACCGTCATAATCGTTGGCTCTGATCTTTTCCCCCCCATGCCTGTGGCTGAAGCATGTGAAATTCATTTAACTTCGTCGGGCCCGGAGTGACTTACGAAACCCGGTCGTTCCGCTCCAGTGCACAAAGCCCTGGCCAAGTGTTTATTTTTACGCAGCCGCCATAATTGGTTGGGCTGATTGAGGCAACGACTTTGCGGACGTTATTATCAAGGTCCAAATTGAAGGAAGAAGGGGAGTTGATCCGAAAGGCAAACTGATGAAAAAAAGTGACGGAGGAAACACCTCCGGTTGGGAAATAATTTCATTAAAACCGCCAAACATCGTGGCCATGTTAGTCATCACTTTTGAACCCTGTCCAATTTGCGTGTAGCCGCATGAATTGCATGTTTAAAAGCCAAAATGAATCGGGTCAATTATATTTCCAAGGTTGGGATCATTTATTTGTGTCATTTCTTGACACACATGTTGTGATCGTTTTAGCTTATTCTTAACGTGACTTGCCTTATGTAAACTGCAAAGGCTTATCGGCATAACATGACAACTGAACTTACTGAAGTTATTAAAGACTGATAAGTCATGTAAACTGAGCATTTCTCAAATACAAAAATGCGCAAAATGTCTAGTATTAAAACCTGCTTTCATGTGATTGTGAACATGGAGGAACGTACATGTATTTATTTATTACTCAATGATGTGAAGAACTAGGTGCATTTTATTGTTGTCAAGTTTTGTTTTTGAAAGTGAATAATTTGGCCTGACAATTTTCAGACAGCCTGCACTTGCTTTCGTTGTTGTTGTTGTTGTTGTTGTTGTTTTACTACATTTGTAAAATAATAAATAGCAAAATAATTCAAATTAAAAAAAAATAGACAAGTGGGCCTGACAATGATCTTAACAATGTCTGCTTCAGACGCTCTTGAGTCTGAAGGTCTTGTTAAGATCGGAACGTCTTATTTTTGTTGATTTCAATTGTACAGTTTCAGGTCAATGCAGTCAAAGCAGTTTGCATTAGTTTTTCTCATTTTCATAAAAAAAATACTTGTCAAAGTTTATTTGTTTAGCTTCTCTGAACATGAATATTCAACTAGAGAACCAAATGAAAGTGTATCTTATAGTACATCAATATGCATTTTTTTTCTAAGTACATGTAAATGTTAATTCAGCAAATAAAATGTTCCAATCTCGGGGGGAAATTAGCAACAGTTTCTATGCTGTAGTGTCTCAATTTGTTTCTTCCCACGAGTGAAGCATTTCATGCATTTCAGGAAGTTCGCTAGCATGCAGGAATATCTCGAACGGCCGGGCGCTAAACAACCGAATCCCCGGGGACACAATGGCCGCGATGCTTCCCCGTCGTATAAACTCCCCTCACACACACCACAACCCCAACTTGGCAGCCCAACACCAAATTAGCGACAAGATGGAGCGAGTATTTATTTATCTTCCTCTTATTACTAGTGGTTAGTTCCTGTATTATTCCAGCCGGCCCAGGCTTTTACCCGTACCACACATTCCAGGCTTGTAAGTCTCTCTTGACAAGCAGCCTGTCAGTGCCGGGTCAAACGCACATTTATTATTTATTTAAAAGTCGCAATCGCAGGCACCACGCACTTGGTGGAACTTTACACTGTGAAATACATAAAGCACACGTGCCCACTAAAGCCAAGTAAACACACAGGCAATGAGGCTTTTGCAACGCACGTTTTTGGCGCTCTTTCATTTTTTTTTTTTTTTTTTACAACAGTTGTACATGAAAACTTCGGATTTTTTTCTCAAGAACATTGACCGAGTTTTTACAGGCCTCCTTCGTGAGTAAGGAATGTACTGATTGTTGACCATTAAATGTACTTACCAAGCAGGAGTGTAGCCACCAAAAATGCCCGATAACCGACCATTTTGAGAATCAACTCGGTAATTTTGTCGGTCATGGACTCCGGCCGTGCGTGTTTTGGCGTAGACCCACGGTTAGTTCGCCCGTCTCTGAGTGCGCAAACCACGCTCATCCAATTTTGTTGGTCAGGGGGTACGCTCGCCTAGTTTTTCAAGGCTGTCCCAACTCGACGCAGTTTATTACAGCTCAAATTGTGTCCCGAAAGCGCATTGTTTATTTGACTTTCCATTCACCGTGTTATTGCTCCATCGTGTCCATCCAAGCATCGTTTTTGTTTTATTGGTAACTAGTTTATTCGGCACTCGTGGCGATAATTCGTGGAGGCGAGACGGCTGACCATGGATTGAGGACGGGGGTTTTCTTGGTTGTCCCGTGAGGCCAAAATGGTGGGTTATAAGATATCAACCCCTCCCTGAATAGTTCATCTGTCATCGTGAAGACATCGTGCAGGCGTCGTTGTGTCGTCATCCATATAAGGCGTCATATCATGTACACTCTCTTGACGCGTACGATCATTCTCCACAACATCTCCACTTCTATCTTTTGAGAGTGATTGAAAACAAAGAGAACACCACAAAATTTCTTTCGCAGAATCCTTCCTGCCACACGGCTGACCACAACCCAAGCCAGAGTGCTGAAGAAATTCAAGCAACTCCGGTGAAGGGAAAAAAAAACTTCCGGTTTTTTTTTGAGGGGGTGACGACTTGAAGGGTGGAAGAAAGGATGTGGGAGTTGTCATTCAGGGAGCCCCAAACCGAGTTGTCATGCCGAGGGCCTAATCTCCGTGAACACGGCACCCGGGGAGCTGATCAATTTTCGACCGGGCTCCAAGCTGCCAATCACGGGGGAAGTAGGGTCGACTTTTCCTGGTGCTAGCCAGTAGAGTAGGATGGGAGCTTAGGGTCTAATATCTTGTGACAGGTTGAAGACAGGAGGGACATGGTGTGGCTCCGACCGCAGTAATCCTGACAGGGCGACGATGTTGGGCGCTGTCATATTTCATTTGGCTAATTTCTCCTCCAATTCCATTTTTTTTATATTTCTTGTCATCTACGATTGTCTTGTACTCTTCCTACATCCACGACTATAACAGCAGCGAAGCTTCATCCACCGTGTCAGTCAGAGTAAGTGACCGCTCAAGTCTCGTACTAGATCTCCGGAAGGGTTGATTCTCGATCTCCCAAATAACTAAGCTCAAGGCAGTACTCACCAAAAATACTTTGAAGAGTTACACAATCGACCACGCCAATCAGTCTTTAAAAAAACCGATCAAAAGTCGAAGGTTCTTTCACCCTTATTCCTTCGTTAATGGAAGCAGGGTCGCACCAATCATTCCTGGACCTCGCATGTTAAAAATATAAAGAGAGAAAAAGACTTTCAGCGCGAGTCAACGGAAATGCAGTCATTAAGAGTAAATATTTAGACAAGAACCGTACGGTCTTTTCAGGCGGCCGGAGAAAATCCCTGAATACACCAGGCCAGATTTGGAGCTAATCCCGGCACTGTTTGGTCGGTATACACACGCTGTATAGGTTGGTACTTTTTTATTTTGTAGATCCCCTTTTTCTGGAGGGTGCCAACATGGGGCTTGTTAGGGGCGGGCTACGTTGCCAACCAGTGTGCACTATACACTCGAACTAATTACCGCCCCAAAACGCGCAGTGACAATCGCCTTGCCAAAATGGCCCCGTAAACATGTCAAGCATCCACAAATGCCGTTAAATATGTTTATATTACCGAGCGGTTGTTTATTTGATCGTACCAACGACTCGCGGCATCGCCAAGGGGGTGGCCCTGCAACCAGGATAAATCCAGTCAAAGTTTAGACAATCGACACGCAGTCCTGCAGCACAAATCTGCTCCTTTATGATTAAATCTCCATCACTATATGCTTTCCCGGCTTCTGAGACGGTCTTATTTAAAACAAAACAGGCGTGATTACCAAAAAATAGGTTAATAATAGCGATAAAAGGAGACCAGTTGGTTTTGATATATCGCTGTCTTCGTCCAGAGAGAAACCAGAACATCAGTGTCGTGAAAGCGGTTTATAAATAAACTGTTGCTGGCGAGGGGTGACTATACACACGACTCGCAGTCTCGGTATTTTGTACACAAACGTTATGGTTAACCAGCTGGATTTAGTGCCAAATCTAACCGAGCCTCACCGTCATGACTGTATCACAGGAAGTTCTTCGCATCTGTACGGTATTCTGAGTGCTACCCTTTTTATCTTAATTCGGGGGACCTTAATATAACTTCCGGTTTACATCATGCCTCGCTTCCCCGGGCCCTGCACTATGTCTTGAGTTTCCTGATCGGATTCCACGAAATAAAATTAATGACAGAATTTTGCCCTTCAAAAAGTGAAGGGGAAAAAACAGTACTGCGTGTTTTTGGCTCATAAATTGCAATTCATTCGGTAGAGGTCATCGATCGTTGTTCATGACACAGCGACTTCGTTTTCTTCGTCATTCTGTATGAGAAATCTTGATCACAACAAAGTGTGTTTAAAGAGGCGGTCTTGTCATCGATTTGCCTGGGACAAGTGATACTACAGTGCGCCCTCCTGCGCCTTAAAAGTCAGAGAGGCTGAGACGAGGTCGTGTTAGCTGGATGCATTTGCTTTTGTTTATATTTTGGAAAAAAGAAACATCTCGAAGTGTTTTTGTACCTAACAATTCAACAAACTCACTCTACAATCGACGAGGTAATGTCATGCCCAGTAAAATGACCTTCATTCGTGCAATTTAATTAAACACCACAGTCTTAACCTAAGACTGACGTCACGCTTTGTTTACAAGTGCGCTTTCCTATGAGAGCTCGGTGGATTTCGTCCCAATTGGCCCTCAAAGGAAAGCGCACATTGTAAACAAAGCGTGACGTCATTATGTCTTAGGTCTCTTGAGGATGTCATCCTTCAACAACGTATCTGACGTGTTTAATCTAAAACGGGGAAAATCGGCTCTGATTTCTTTACTATGGGCCTGAATCAAAAGTCACGTGCTTAACGAATAACGATTAGGCCTATAGCGCCCCCTAGACACATGACATCACGTTTATAAGCCGGATTTCCAGAACGGTGACACAATGGACCGATCCAGTAAGCCCCGCCCACTGCGCACTGGGCAAATTAACACGTGCTCCTCTCCCAATGCCACACTGCATTTTCCTGCCGCGCGCATCATAGTACGCGCGTGCACGCTTGTCGGACTTTTGTGCACGCACGTCGGACATAAATCACGGCTGTGATTGGTCAGAACACCATGGGGCGGTGCTTACTGGATCGGTCCATTGTATTTACAATATGTAGCAGTGTTGTAGTCCAGTCCATCACAAGTCCTTTCACAAGCTCATAAAGCCAGTCACAAGTTACTGGATGAACAATGACAAAGGAATGCTTTTGTAACAGTTTATTTGAATAGATCGTGACTTGACTTGAGACTTGTTGTAATGGCTCTTGCAGCAATTAACCTCGTCCCCAGGGTGTCGAGCAGTACTTGCCCACTACTACCTGCTCTCTCACCCTGGTATTGGATCATTTGCATGCGTAAGATTTTTGAACACGCCGTATGCAAATGAGGAATGGTCTGGTGCCTGTATGTGCGTTAAATTTGCGTTTGTTTTTGTATGCGGTGTCGGGGTAAAAACAACATCAATTCGTCACGCCGTGAGTTATGAAAACACGATTTTTTGGGAAGTTAAAATGTTACAATCTGGCCCGCCAATATGCAGTATCACATTTCATATTAATATGAGCAAACTGGAAAGAAAGGGAGTACATGTATTATTGAGAAGGCGTGGACGTTTTAATTACAATGATCGTGAAAACACGTCACGTAATGCACGTTGGAAATAACAACACCAACTACACGATATAAATCTATTATTAGCAAATTGCGGAATCGAATCAGGATGCAGGAAGAAAGTTTCCTATCCAGGGCTTACTATTGGAAACGAGGTTGGAAATAAAGTAAGCACTGGGGACGAGGCTGCTCTTGCAGTCAATAAAACATTTCCGGTTATGCCATCAATTTGCCAGCAAAACTATTGCTGACTTCAGTCATGCTTAATTCAAGTCACTGCCGAAAGTTCACAATAACCGGCGACATATTTGCACGATGCATCATTCAGTTCGATGGCAGAAGTTTTCGTGGGCTCAACACGGGTAACAATAATAGGTGGCGCTATATCATATCACAGATCTCGCTAATTGTTATTCCCAGGATATTTAGTTCCAAGTCATGATAAATTCAGTACTTTCGATCGGTACCTGTTTATTTTCACGAGAACAGAACGATGATATCAAGATAGAACATTGTTGTTATTTAGTCAACCAGCATTTTAACAGCAGCCTAGTGGATAGCGTGATGATGGATACAAAGATCCCTGGTTCGAAATCCACGTCGTCGCTGCTCATTTTCATAGATTATTTTGCTTCTCCAAATTTATCGTTGAGATAATTGTAATTTAAGGGAAAAAGAGAACGAGAACATATGTCTTGCATTGATTTCAAAGGAAAAACTGAAATATTCATGACATTGCCCCTATTGAAAAAAAAAATATGCGTACGGTGCCCACAATACCACACGCGTATGACACACTGATCTCTCTATAAAAATCTGGCTCTCCCATTGGCTGTTAGAAGTGACGTCATCGTCCGCCATGTCACCACTCCTAGAAGTTAGAACAGATTTGTAAAGATTATCTGAATTAAATTACACGCGTGTACACGTTGTACTCAAATTATTCTGCTATTTAAAAAAAATGGCAGCAAAATATATTTTAGGCTTATATAAAATGTCTGTTTATAGAGAAAAGGTTTCATTTACTTTTTGTTTCTTTTACTTTTAGTTTCTTTTACTTTCAGACGCTTCTATTTTATTTTAATTATTTTGAACAATGGGAGTGGTTGAGACTGGTTCCCTCCCCGCATTCGAATGGAGGGATCGGGAACCAGTGCATGGCTTCACTTGTTTGTAACACCTCGGAAATGGGTAAACGGGATATCCAGATTTTTTTTTACATGGAGATCAGTGGTATTACGTTTGCGTCTGTCATGTTTCCCTCTTCGTCACCGTTGGGGGCTCCCTCGTCCCCAACCGGTAATCCTTTCCCAAAATCGTGTAGAGGAAAGGCTACCGCTTTTAACCTTTCTTTGGGAGGGTGCTGCTAGCTGTACGCGTACCTCGGATGTCAAAATTCTATGTTCCAAACCACCGTGAGTTCGAATCTGCAATACCGACCCATTATATTATGCCAACAAAAAAAATGACAAACCTTGTCCACAAAAAGATCGTGTTTTTCGGTCGAATCACACAACACGCGATTGCATGAAACTTCTAGAGCGCGTTTAAATAAGCCGGAAATATTATTGATAACACTACGTACTACTTGTATTATAATATGGTTTATTATCGGATAGGCCTATAATCAATACTTTGCTTTAAATGGTAATGCTGATCATCAATCTAATATAGACCGTCCATTAGTCTCCGCCCACTATGCACGTGCCCAACTACATGTTAAAGCTGCGCACGTCATACGCACGTACACGTACATGTATGTCTGGCTTTTATGCATTCACGTCCAACATTAATCACAGCTACCTGTGAATGGTGAGAATATTAGGGGCGGGGCTTGATGGATCGGTATATTCATGCTATCACATTTAAAAACCATTACATGTGTATTATGGATTCCACATGTATTACCACGTTACAATCGATGTCCATCATGAAAAAAAATCTGTCTACATTTGTATACAAATTGCAACGCACCAATTTAATGCAGAGATTTTCCTTAGCAAAAGACCGAGCCAGTAAGCCCCGCCCCGTATTTGTTCCGACCAATCACAGCCGTGATTTATGTCCCACATGCGTGCACGCAAGTCCGACATGCGTGCACGCCGCAAGACGGGCGCGGCTGGAACATGTTTTTATAACACGCAGCTTGTCATTCACTGGAGAGAAGGACCTGTTAATTGCCCACGTGCGTTGTGGGCGGGGCTTATTGGTTCGGTCTATTTACATATCTTAAATACACAACCCTGAACTTTGGAGCATTTCTAATAGGTTTTGTAAGGCACCATTGATAAAAATAATCAAACTTTATTGATATAATGCTGATACTAATTGTGCAAATACAAAAAGGGATTGTGTCCAATTTCTTCGGCCCAAAAACTTTAAACACACCTTGAAAACAACAAACAAAGTAATTAATATGACTTTTCTTTCAGAGGAATTAGGCAAGACGATACAACAAATCAGAAAAAGTAAAAATAAAAAGGACAAAAGAAATGGAAACTCTACTGCTTTTTAAGCATAAGCTGCCGAAAATGAAGCACTGATTTCAGAAAACTGGACCAGAAGAACTAGAATGTTGAGCACAAATATATACACACAGCAAATGACTACAAAAATAAAGCGACTAAATAAATTATATCTAAAGGCGTTTCTCTACATATTTCAAATTGTAAAAAAAAGGAAGGAAAACTACATGGCGAGTCTAATAATAATGACTATCAAAGCGCCTTACATTATTATCTCTGCTGATCATCGGGCAGATGAAACATTCCAAAGACACAGGCTAGGATTATCAAATAGGCACATTAGGCACTGTGTCAAGGGCTTACGAAACATATGATGGCCCTATGAAATACCGAAATGTGCTTATAGGCTTTTAGAGCTACCACTTTGGCCTGGCATGCTTTAGTACAACTTAGCATCAACATGAATTTGGTGCTAGGGCCTAATAATCCGGCACTGCCGACACAATCTCAGCTCCCTGTGGAGTATACAGCTCGATGCTGCCATTTCGGTGCAAAGCAGCTAAAATCAACCACAATAACCATCTCTGCCCTGCCCTCACAGGTACCCATTTACTCCTGGGTGGAGCAATGAGTGACATAGTATCTTGAGTGACATAGTATCTTGCCCACAGGACACACGCACTACAACCCCAGGCTGGACTCGAACCCACAACTTGCAGAATTACCCGCAGACCACGAATTCAATGCTCCAGTCCACAAGGACTCCGTACAGCACTCCACAAGTTTAAAAAGTCAAAGAATAAAATCACAAAGTCTGTGGACAATTTGGATGCCCATTTTCTACTATTTCCGATTGTAAAACGCATGCCAAAGCTTTCTCCCTAGCAAAAGGTAAACAAACATTTATGAAGTTTTGAAGTACAAAATATTCATTATAATACAAATTTTCCGGATCATTTGAGGGCAAGTTAGATTACAAAAAACAAATTCAGCCAACAGATACAGAGATCTGCCACAATTCACTACCAATATTGTTTTCATCACACACTGGAAACATAAGCTTTTGTAAACTACAAAAAATGCTGATGATAAGTAAACTATATTTCAACTTAAATGTATATCTGCGATGTGTAACAGTCCACAATTTCCACTTTCTGCTCCTGGTAGAATTTTCTTGTTACTTTCATCATCTTGTATCTCGCACCTCTCACTTCCACAAACAAAGTCACAAGGTCCTAACGTTTCTGTACTGCAATGCTGTATTCAAATTGGGAAATGTTGTACAGGTCTTGTGTCTGGAATGTTGGATGTGACGTTCAGTTCACATACAAGTCCTCGCTGTTCACTTTGGTCAGCGTGCGCACGTCCTGTACTTGCTCCTCTTCACCTTTGAACGTCAGTCGGTCGATCTCGCTGAGCGAGATCCCGTTGATTTTCAGTTCTTCCTCCTCCTGGAGGGTGACTTTGCGCATGACGCGCGCTTTCTCCCAGCGCGAAAGCCGAGGGTCCGAAGCCGTCTTTTTCTTGGCTGGCCGGGCTGGGCTTCGAACTGGGTTGTCCCGAGTGATGGTATTTCTAGCCTTTGGCTTAGCATTGTCCGATTGCGATGAATTTGGGTTTTCGTTTTCGTTGCGCGCTTTGACGGACGACGTGTCGCTGCTGGTGTCCGTCTTGACGTCGTTAAAGAAATCGTGTAGGACTGCCGCGGCGCCAACGCGCGACCCACGAAACTTCTCCGGGTCGTAAACATGCGGCGGGGACAGCACGTGATGCTTGTGAGAAAACGCCGAGTTGAGTGGCAAAAAAGTGTGACTCGCCAAATCTATCGTCTTCGCGACGCTGGATTCCGCAACGCTACTCATAGTACTCGCGGTCTCAAAGTTCTTATCGCTGGCGATACTCATCCTGCGCCCGTCCAGGAACAACTGAGGTCTGGGGACGGAATTCTCTGATTTCCGCTCCTCGCCTTTTGTCTTTGGTCTGCGGCTGCTCTTTGGAACGTCAAATTCCTGCGTGCGTGCGTCGCAGTTCTTGTCATGTAAATCGTGGTACTGCCGTAACGTCGGATGCACTAATCTTTCAATAGATTCTGGCGGCACTATCTTTGATTTCTTCTTCTTCTTTACTTTCTGTATAGAGCACATAGATAAAAGGATTTACAATCAATAAATTGGTCTGGTTCCCTATGAGCTCATTGTCTTATCATACAGATTCAACGTGAATGCAGGTAGGTCATCCCATAAATTTGAGGTCCAATTTTTTTCGTGTCTCTGTCACATCTGATATCAGATTTTGCAAATTAAGGACATATTCTAGTTCACGCGGCATTCATTAATGGAACCATTGCACGGCCTACGTCATAACCGTGTATTTTTGGTTCCATTCACTGTTCTTTTTCGTCCCATCCCTTTTGATCTATTGCACACTGAGTGCACGCTACAACGCGCAGTGGCTCGGCGCTATAATTTACCTTTTTAGGTTGGGTAGGGGTTGGCGTTCGCCTCTTTTCCTCTTCCACTGTTTCTTTCTTCTGTCGGTAGTAGCGAGGTAGATGTGTCTTCATTTGTTGCTCGAGCTTCTGTAAAGTTCTCTCCTCCTATTAAAAATTAAACAAATATATGAGATGTCCTTTAAGGATTTCTTGTGCTGCATTTGGGTGACCTGGAATGAGTCCGAGTCCCCAAGTCATTGGGTTTGAGTTTGAGTCACTGAGTCTCAGTCCAAGCACCGAGTCACGTTATTCAAGTCTTAGTCACAGTCACGAGTCATTTGGTTCAAGTCTGAGTTTGAGTCATTGATTCTCAGTCCGAGCACCGAGTCCGTTTTATTGAAGTCTTTATAGTCAGAGTCATACGTAATTTAGTTTGAGCCTAAGTCTGAGCTGCAAGCCTATGGGTTTGAGTCTGAATCTGAGTCATTGAGACTCAGTCCAAACGCCGAGTCACTTTTATTGAAGTCTTAGTCTGAGTCGCAAGTACCTTTGTTTCAGTCTGAGTCTGAGCCACAAGCCTATGGGTTTGAGTCTGAATCTGAGTCATTGAGACTCAATCCAAACGCCGAGTCACTCTTATTGACGTCTTAGTCTGAGTCGTAAGTACTTTAGTTTCAGTCCGAGTCTGAGCCACAAGCCAATGGGTTTGAGTCTGAATCCGAGTCATTGAGACTCTGTCCAAACGCCGAGTCACTTTTATTGACGCCTTAGTCTGAGTCATAAGTACTTTTGTTTCAGTCTGAGCCACAAGCAAATGCATTTGAGTCTGAATCTGAGTCTGAGCCATTGAGACTCTGTCCGAACGCCGAGCCACTTTTATTGAAGCCTTAGTCAGAGTCGTAAGTACTTTTGTTTCAGGCTAAGTCTGAGGCACAAGCCATTGGGTTTGAGTTTGAGTCCACGTTCTGAGTCACTGGGTTTGAATCTGATTTTGAGTCACGAGTCAAGTCTGAGTTTGAGCCTCAAGTTACTGGGTTAGAACTTGAGTCCTGAATCATTGGGTTTACATTCGAGTCCTAATTGTTTGGGATTGTTTGAGTCCAGATCTCGAGTCATTTGATTCAAGTCTGAGTCCAAGTCTCGGGGTCGAGTCTCAGTGATGAGTCATTGGGGTTGAGTCTGAGTTTAAGTCTGAAAGTCACTTTGGGTGGGTCCAAGTCCAAGCCTCAAGTCATGAGGTTCGAATCCCGATTCGAGTCTGAGTCATGGTTCAAGTCTGAGTCACAAGTTCCAAATTCACGCTCGGGTTCACTTTCGCGCCGTGTAGCCTTGAGCATCACCAGCCTTGAGTAATGATCCAATACTCACTAATGTCTCAATCTGATACTGCAGTCCATCCAGTATGTGTTGCCGCTCAGCGACGTTGTGCTCTGTGACGACTCGAGGGGTCGTGGGTCGGACGTAGGTGTTGATCATGCTCTTCCAAGGTTGCTCCGAGGTCAAACTCGGGGCACTCCTTGAGAGCGAACTGGGAGGGACTGAGCTCAGGGCTGAATCAAAACAGAAAATGTTATTATTTATATATAGATTCCTACAATTCTGGATTGGCATTGTTCATCACCATTTTCATTACTTGAAAAAAAACCAAATATTACGTTGACTGTATCGTTTTTGAAAATCCCCACATGTTTAAAAAGATAAAGTCGTTAAGTCAAGCGATACTAATTGATCCCTGCTGGTGTTGGGCATTCATCCAGTAATAAGAACCTGAATAAAGGCTCTACACTCGGGTGATCTGGTACAAGAGGATTCACGGCATGGACCTCTAATTTCTTTTGATGTAATTTTAACCTTCGGAGCAGCGAGGCGGTGATAAAATTCTCCACATTTTCTAAATATGGGCATAATTTTTTTTTTCAATGGGCCAAAGCTTCCATGTAATCCTCACCCCTATACACCACCAGCCTGTAGACTCCCATTGGCCAGACCCTAGCCACTCCGGAGTAAGGAGTGTTGAAAGACAGAAGCCGAGATGGCGCCTAATGCCTTTGTGCAGTAATTGGAGATCTAGTGGCCAACCCCTTAGTGCCGTCGATCTCTTTGTATCAACCCCTCGTGCCGCCCAGAGCCCAGACAGGTTGTAAACAATCCCTGGCCATGTGAATGACCTATATCTTGTGCATGTACAGGCACGCCAGGGTTATTGACCTATAAATACATGTGGTGATAAAATTCTCCACGTGGATCCACCGTGTGATTTTTAAGATAGTCTGCTCAGAGGGTTGTGATCTGGGAGTCAACACTTCTGCGTGCAAATGACATGTGTGTGTCTGTAATGCACATGCATCCACTTACTTTTCCTTTCATGCAGAGCTTGCAGCAATCGTATCCTTGGGTCTTCGGGCATCGTACTTTCCGCCGAGCTGAAAAACTGCAAATCAAGAACGACACATTCTCATTGGACAGAGGTTAATCACATGATCAATATCTGAATGCAATGTACTTGCACCATGGCAAAGTGTAAGAAAACTAATGAAGCTTGTCTGTACAAGCTAAATTCAGTGTTTCTTTGCGGCAAAGTTCAACTCTACTGCAAACTTTTGAATACAATTCAAGGAATTCAGACTATTTTGTAGTGGTGGGATTAAAATCCGGATATTTAAAATTTTGGCTGGAATTTCACTGTTCAGTTTGGATTTGGAAACTGAATATTTGAAACCAACCACAAAAAATTAAACCCATTTACAGCTCAGGAGTAATTTTGGAAAGGCCCAGTGATCATTGAATCCCACAAACTATTACACAATCATCATGTAGGGCATTGCATGCGACACCTCACTCGCCACTTTTTGTTGGCAGGACTGTGAGCTGAATGGGAACTTCAGGTAAAATCGGATAAACATCATTCAATATGAATTTTTTTCAGGACAACCGGATTTTGAAACCTCTGATTCCCCCACCACTACTATTTTGTGGAAGAACGTGCCTAGGAGAAAGTCATCACAGGCAGTGATGGGTGCTTATTTCAAGACCACAGTCACAACAAACCAATTTGCTCAAACTTGAGAAAACAAAAAAAAGGTAAACATAGTGCGATAGGAAACCAGTGTTCAACACAGGTATGAATCTATTAGCCTTTTTGAGATATGGTGAACGCAAAGGGGCTCCGTGCGTGAACAAAAGAGGGCGCGTTTTTACCAGTTTTGAGACCTCTGTGGACGGGACACACAGCATGTGCGTAATGTACTGTGCTGGTTCGCACGCGAAGCACGCACGACTTCCTGAATGTGCCAAAGCTATTAGCTACCGCGGCTTCGCGTGAGCGTCAGGCGTCGTCGGCACGCAAATACGTTCCAATTTAACTTGCGATGGTCTTCCCATTACGTGAAACTCCCATTTGCCAAAACCCCTGAACTGTACCTACCGATTTCACTGTGACTCTTATCAGCTGTTATCAGTAAAGTAATTATAAGATAAACACTTACCCTGGCACCCACTTCCCCAGGGCCAGTGACCATGAGCTGGTGGTGTCAAATAACGGAAACCTTGAAGAGCATGGCTGAAGTCGGACTGTTTCTTATTTGATATCTCGAGATATATTTGATCGATTTTTATGATTCAAAGTTGCTCACATAATAACTTTTGACACTTTTCCAAATACTTTACATTATAAACAAGAACCTAGTAGACTTTGGTAGATATTTTTTGTCAGTAAGCTCACAGGCAGAGGCACCATACACCACCTGTTCACGGCTCGTTAACTCTTGATCAGATAAGAGAGATCGCGTTGAAAGCTGCTGAATCTGAAATCGGTAGGTACGACCCGAGTTTGTCATAGGCAAACTCGGGTCTAGCTCAAATGGGAGATTCACGTTATGCAGACTAATCCCCGCCCTCTATAACTTTGGATCATTCGAAATACGCAGTGGATGGACCGGGAACCAGTCTAGGTCTCCCCCAACTCTCGTTTTTTGGCCGTTGAAGGGGTACTTGTGCACTGAGCCCGTGGCGCTCTTTGGTTTGGGTAAACCCTCTTGTATTTACCCAAGTTTACGCAAGCTAAACAGCGGCCTTCCCATTGTGTCTGCAATATCTCAGAAACGCTAACAGAAATTTGTATGATGACCTACCTTCTGTGATCTGCTGGATTTGTCTGACGTGGCCGATTGTGGCGCTGATTGTGGTCGGTAGCGTGATTGCCGTGAGGGCGGTGCGGCAGTCAAACGTGAAGTGAGCTGTGTGCGCAATAGTGCGACAGAGAAAAAAAGTGCAGTGGCGGTGGCAAGGAAATTGCTGGATGTGCGAAACAGCAAATGTGACAAATCATTTTTTGAAGCAGAATCTACAAAGCAAAATACGAAATGTCGCTACTCATAATAAACACGATGGGGTCCACGAAAGACGGAGCTGAGATAGTTCCACTCCACTAGAAACACGCTCATAGGAAACATCACAAAATCCGACAGAAAAAGTGCCACCAGAAGGCACTCAGGAGCAAGGCCGTGATCTGTTATTCACTGGAAATTAAAGATTACGGCCTCCAGGAAAAGTTTCGTTACAATTTCGCCAGAGATAGCCAATTTGATTTCTGTTTTATATGTACCCCTACCCCAAACAACTCCTAAAACGTGTTTGCCAATCTCTGGCCCAGGTCCAGTTGTAGCCCCCCCCCCCCCCCCAATGCTAAATAGATCCAGACGCTGGGGGTTTTTGTGAACGAAATCCCCCGAGTCGGAATCCACAAGTCCCAAATGCTTGATCTCCAGAAATATTTCTACAAATTGTCCCAAGTATAAGCCGCAAGGACCTCTTATGTGGGGTGCTGTGGTCCAATGGTTACGGTGTTCGACTCGTGTGCCGTGGTACATGGGTTCAAATCCTGACCGTGGGAACATGGTGCTTGTGCTCTTGAGCAAGGCACTTTACCATTATTGCTGCGTCCTTCGGATGGGACGTAAAGCCGTAGGTCCCGTATGTTGTGTAATGCACATTAAAGAACCCAGTAAAACTTAAGAGAAGGGGTTTGCCCCGGTGTTTCTGGCAGTGGCTGCAATCATGCGCTGCAGCACCTTGTAATTGCCTTGAGTACCTAATTGTTGGTAGATACGTGCGCTATATAAGACTTCATTATTATTATTGTTATTATTCAAAATTACCCGTGGGATCACAAAATATCAATGAGCTCGCGTGTAGGAATTTACAGATTTTGGTGGAGTGCACTCATATAAAACTAAGAGAGTGGGCAGGATTCTGGCAGTTCCACAATGAGTGCGTAGTGAGGAAACAAGTTCAGGAATATTGTTATGTAGCAGCCGTTGAGCGACAAAAAGTATGCAGATGAAAGGATGACGGTATGAGAAGTAACTATAATGTGCACGAGGGGATCTTTTGAGAAAAAGGATGCGACTCCTTGTTCTACATTTACGTAAGAAAATCTGGGCGTGAAAGTGAATGTTTTCAGTGGTGATACTGATGGGAATAACCTTGATTTCATTACCAATCACACGATGGAATGAGTACTTGTAGACTGGAAAAAACAAAAACAATGAAGAACCTGATTTTCAGCAAAGTCGAAAGATGCAGCCTTTGGTTTTGTTATTCAAAATGAAAATGAAAATATTCTGAAAATGCTTCTCATTTCAGAATATGCCCAAACAAAACATCACACAGTGATCAATGGAAATGAAAATGGTTCTGGCTTTAAAAAACATTTTTTTTTAACTTGAAAACAATTCAACCGCTGCTTTGTCAATCTTTAGCAATAGAGCGTGTAAGTTGACCTCAAAACCTGTGAGATTTTACGAGAATACAGCACAACCGGGCACCATGTATAGCATCTACAATGTGTGTAACATCCTATCTGAAGCCTTTATTTTGCGTCCCGACTGGCCCATCCAATCAAGAGCAATAAATGGGTATTTCAAAAGAAAAGAAAGCATCGAAATTTACAACATATTGAAAATATTGCGAATTGATGACTCTTAAAAAATAGAAAAATGTTGATCTCAACTTCCGTTCAATCGATCACGCAGATTAACAATTGGGTAAATACAAATACTGGAGTCTGTGACTAGACCAGTCAGTGTTTGGTTCCGCAGATAACAATTGGGTAAATACAAACACTGGAGTCTGTGACTAGACCAGTCAGTGTCTGGTTCCGCAGATAACAATTGGGTAAATACAAACACTGGAGTCTGTGACTAGACCAGTCAGTGTTTGGTTCCGCAGATAACAATTGGGTAAATACAAACACTGGAGTCTGTGGCTAGACCAGTCAGTGCTTGGTTCCGCGACGTTCACAGAAAAAGTGAATATGGACTGGTGAGACTTACACGCTCTAAAATATCATGTGGGCAAAAATACCGGTAGCATACATGTCGACATGCAGGTCTACTTTTCACACCAAATATTCTGCATGGGAAATGTTAATGAGAAAATAAATCACTGCAATCATTAGGAAAACACAACAGGCTGTGAAACAAAAAAAATCACACGGTGCAAGAAAAGGGCGATTCACAAAACATAGCGCCACCGAGAGGCTGCTTTTTACAATTCATTATGAAAAAAATTTGGACTTCAATTGGTAAACCTGGCTTCCTTTTGCACAAGTACTGGTCAGTTTTCGTATGTATAGATTTTTTTTTATCATTCGCAATTAGGCCCCCAAAAAAATAAGTCGGTCTCTGGTCAGCGCGCGCGTCGATTTTAATCATGCGCGTCAATCTTTTTTTTTTCCAAAATGTTCCGCGGTAGCTCCAACAGCGCCCTCTATTGCCGCACCTCCTCAATTTTTTTTACCAAAGAGCACCAAGGAATGGAAAATTGCACCACGGCAAATGATCGAGAGCACCAAAGCAAATTATGAAGGACACCAATGTACATGAGGACACCAAAAAAGCAAAATAGTACCCCACCTTGTCTGTACAATCCAAGCTTGAAGAAAAAAAAATAAAAAGCCGCGTCCCTGCGTCAATTCCAGAACTTTGGTCTGACCAGAGACCGAATATTTTTTTTTTGGCCTTAAGCTAGGTTTTTGGTTGATTAACCAGTTCGCGCCAGGATTATTTTGACATGAACGGACCCAGGCGCGGGATTGTTTTTCACGAACCTCGATGCCAGACGGGTTCAGGCCGTCATATGCGGGCAGCACACCCTGATATTTTCCAGCCTCGCTCGCTGCGAGCGGGTCGCTGACAGATATTTCAGGCCTTGCTCCCTCCTAATACCGCAAAACCTTTGCGTGTGTACACGTCATTTGACATGAATTGGTTAACTTCCAAATGCCCTGGTATTTCTGTGGTACTCCACGTACAAGTGAACAACTGTGCGATACTACATGCAGGATTACGCTGTATAGCTAACAGTCCAGACAAACGCTTGGTGGCGCAATATATTGCGAATTGCTGGTATTGGCGACAATGCCCTCCAATAATACTCACGTCTGACACAGTGTGAGGGCGCTGTAGCATAATGGAGTGAAGCGGCGAGTCCGGCGGCAAGCGAAACTCGTCGATCTCCGGCGCCGTGACGGGCCGGCCCCGGATGTGGCCCGCTTTGGTGCGCTGCACCTGGGCCGTGGACTGTCCCATAAAACCTTGCAACTCACGGTATTTCCTGTTGTGGTGACGCACCTAACATGATGTGAAATTTAACAAAAGTCAGTTTCCAAAATAACAAAATACAAGCAAGTAAATGACAAAATACAAGCAAGTAAATGACAAAATACAAGCAAGTAAATGACAAAATACAAGCAGGTAAATGACAAAATACAAGCAAGTAAATGACAAAATACAAGCAAGTAAATGACAAAATACAAGCAAGTAAATGACAAAATACAAGCAAGTAAATGACAAAATACAAGCAAGTAAATGACAAAATACAAGCAAGTAAATGACAAAAACTCAAGCAAGTAAAAGACAAAATACAAGCAAGTAAATGACAAAATACAAGCAAGTAAATGACAAAATACAAGTAAGTAAATGACAAAATACAAGCAAGTAAATGACAAAATACAAGCAAGTAAATGACAAAATGCAAGCAAGTAAGTGACAACATACAAGCAAGTAAATGACAAAATACAAGCAAGTAAATGACAAAATACAAGCAAGTAAATGACAAAATACAAGCAAGTAAATGACAAAATACAAGCAAGTAAATGACAAAATACAAGCAAGTAAATGACAAAATACAAGCAAGTAAATGACAAAATACAAGCAAGTAAATGACAAAATACAAGCAAGTAAATGACAAAATACAAGCAAGTAAATTAATGACAAAATACAAGCAAGTAAATGACAAAATACAAGCAAGTAAATGACAAAATACAAGCAAGTAAATGACAAAATACAAGCAAGTAAATGACAAAATACAAGCAAGTAAATGACAGAATACAATCATTTGTTACACTACACATGTAGCCTATTTTTTTTTCAAAACAACAATTTTTTTCTCCTTCAAAATAAAGCATGATGGATAGGCATTCTGTTAAACCAATCCATTGGTACATGTAGCTATGATGTTATGAAGCCCGCCGTGACAACTCAATATAACCCTTTCACTAATTTGCATAAATTCGCATAAAACCACAAAGTTTTTGTCCATGTGTAAATGTTTACAGCCCAGTGATAGGCCACTTTTTCTTTCTGCTTTCCGTTACCATGCATCTGTGTAAATAGGTACTTAGTGAGACCCCTCAATTTGCTATTGTCTTTGCTTTGTTGAACCACTATCTTCTTTCTGAGAGTGACGAATATTTGAATAGACAAGCAAATGAAAAATCGTGTATACGAATACTGAATTATTCGGATTGTCTCAACCCTAATCCAGGGTTCAACCTTAACTTACTAAAACAGACTCTTAACTAGCCTGTGGGCATTTTCACTAGTCCGCATGTTTTTCTTTTATAGAGTGTCTCATAAACAACAATTTGCATACATGTAAAACGTGTATCCTGAGGCAATCGTGTCAGTGTTTTTAATAAAAAGCAGATCTAATAATTTTAACCCTAAACAGTTAATAAAGTTAGACACAAATTGATACAAATCTCTACCTGTTCAATCCTGCGTGAGGTGTCTACCGCACTTTCTCGCGGGATACGCTTGCTGGATAGCTGTTCCTTGCCATAGTTCAGCTCCGTGTCTCGGAACTGCTGGTTCAAGTGCTGCTCCATCTTTTCATCCTTTGTCGCGCAAACCTCCTGAAAATTATCCAGCTGTAGAGAGAATAAAAATGGGAACAAAATGTGCAGGAATGTTAGATTGAGGAGGTACAACTTTTAAAGTTGCGTTCCTGTGCTCTACAACAAATTCGATTGAATATCAATCGTTTTGGGCACAAACGGATCCGCTTGGCGAACAGACTGGCTCCCAGTCCGTACATTATCGATACTGATTGTGGGGCGGGAACCAGCCTACCCCACGCGAACGGGATTTTTGTCTGGCAGGGAAAGAATGTAGTATCCAGACGCCACTTCTGCGGTTGTGTACAAAGTCTATGGAGAGTCAAGAACATTTCAAAGTATTGCCGAACAAAATTGGAAATGTTTCTCAGTCCCAAATTCATGTCTTTCCCACATTTTTGCAATGGCTGACGTTCATTGAGATAATATATGATGAAAAAAGTAGCATCAGGATGCAACATTCTTTCCTCTGGCAGGCAACAATTTGTTTCGAAATTGTAATAATTCAATAACTACACATGTGCCGATGTTTTTCGGTCGATGTCTCATTCAAAAAGTGAATAACTTCTGTATTGCTAGAAAAATAAGTATTTAGAAAGCAATCTTTTTTGCGGGGTGAAACTCGAAAATTGGATGGGGAATGCAACTGTAACGCTGGGTTTTACCCTTCAACGACGTACTTTATAAACATTGAATGACTCAGTGCTATCCAAAAGTTTGTGAGAAGAAACTCAAGAGCCTACTCGGGTCGGACTCGAACCCAAGACCTCCCACTTTACGGTGCAAATTCATTTTACACAATATGCTGTCTGACGGCGCATCTAGTTTCAAAGCTTTAACAAATTTAACTATTTTTGAGTGTAACGTTGGTTTTAATTGATGAGGCTACACACTTTGTGATAAAGTGCCTTGCCCAAGGACACACGCACCGCAATCTCGCAGGCTGGACTCAAACCCACAACCTGCAGAATTACAAGCTAGATTTTGAGCTCCACACGCTACTCCATGGTAAAACACCAACATTTTGTTCAAGAGTCCGTGCACGAACAGTAGATAGCGTTTTTGACAACTTCCGAGTGCTACAGAGGGACACACCGAGTGAACGCACTGGTTTGGGCCAATTTGGCACCATTTTTTTGTTCTGAATTTGCACAAAATAGTGGCGTATTCCAGTAAGTGCCAGGCGTCATTGGCAATGCGTTCGAATGTCCCTCCCAGTGTTCCCCCCAACTCTCTTGGTAACCACTGAGGGATACTTGAACGCAGTCTATGGGCTCCATGCGCCAACAAAAGAGGGCACCCTTTTACCTAGCAACGACGTCCTATGGGCGGGACACTTACATTTCGCTGGTTGATGTGCGCGCACCGTTCCTTGTGTGTGACGCACGTACACCAGGGGATTTGTACAATGTACACAGTAGCCGCGCTTCGCGGCAAAATATTGCAGTCAGGCAAGATGGCATCGTTCGATCACCCCCAACTGAACTCTCTTGGTAACCACTGATGAGGGGTACTTGAACGGAGTCTATACCAACCTGAAAGAGTCTACGCCATGTCTTATCCAAAGCCCCATGCTTGAAATCTGGAACATCTACGTCCTTGGTCAACTCACATCTGCAGAAAGAAGACGAACAAAATTGTTGTAAAATTGAACAAAGAAATTGACTTGGGTGGGGTTTGAACCTGCGACCTCCAGATTGCCGTTCCGGTGCTTTGCCATCTGAGCTATCCAGCCCTATGTTTAGGGATCCCCATTTTGTCAATGTCTTTGTTCAATGACATTGAAAAAAAAAATGGAGAACCGCCAACAAAGGCTGGATAGCTCAGTTGGTAGAGCACCGGAACTGCAATCCGGAGGTCGCAGGTTCAAACCCCACTCCAGTAAATTTCTTTGTTCAACGTTACAATTGTTAGTCAGTTTCCGTGTGTGGTTTACTTGAAAATTTAAAATCAATGGATGCCTCCATATTCATACAGCAGAAAACCACCCCAGTTTGAAAACAGTTTTGTTCTGAAAATCACAGCAATGCTCCGAGGCATTTTGTGACGTTTCCGTATATTTTGATTGGAATACTCACAGCACAATGAGATCCAGGAATTCGTACAGCTGTATCCGGCCTGGCTCGTCAAAGTTCTCCTGCATGTGTTTGACTCGGTGCATGAGCTTCATTGGCGCTATGGTCCGATCACACAACTGAAGACATTTCAAAAAATGTTTGTTCACAGAATCAATATATGATAATGATTGAACGGGGTGTTTGCGTTTTTGTTTGTTTGTTTGTTGTTTGTTTGTCTATGATGCGGTATTTTAGTCCAGGAGCCAATTTTATGGTGCTGCTTTTAAAAAGGGACACTGCGTCCTGGAATATGCCCAATTGGGCTACAAAACCCGTTTTGAACGAAATGATGTTAATCGGAAAGAACATTTAAAAGTAGGATATAAACATCCACACAACTATCCTTTAAAAACTGGGCGCTTTTGTAGTATTCCTGTGAGAACGACTTTTGGGGTCCACTTTTGCGACCCCAAAAAGTCGGGCTGTTTGTGCTAGTTGTGATTCCAGCCGTAAGGGTTCGCCTTTTGCGGACGTGTAAGAAATCACATTTTGTGCATTGGTGATTGGTCACCGCTGTTCGTGAGCACGGTGCTGTGTACGTGTGTAATATACTTTATACACACAACGTGTATCATGCATTGTTTGAAAACGACAGTAAGCATGTATCATACTTCATCGTGTCCGATGTAAACAATCGGGGTTTTCCGTTTTTTCTCGGGAATGGTAAGACATTAGGTCGGTTTCCTTTCAACCAGATGTTTGAAATAGGATAAGTAAACAATCCAAAACATGAAATTTTCGCGGATTTCAGGACGCAGTGCTTTTTAACAGTTTGGCAGAAAAGTTGTGCTAAACCTAACCATGGCAGAAAATGGTGCCAACCCGTAGCGTTATTTCATGGCGTGGATGTGCTAACGGATGAGCGCACATGGAGATTTCTGTTGTTACGTCATTGATTTAAGCAACTTTTTCCTCTGAGGTAAGCGTGCCTTTTGTGTGCTTACTGTTTCCATGAATTAGACAAGGGCTCTGTTAGCAGAAATTAGCCATGAAAATTGGGCCCAGTTCACCAAAAGTCCTCAAAAAATCTTCAAGTTATTTGGTCATAAGTCAAGTCACAAGCTATTGTCAGTCACATGCATCCAACGACTACTTCTACTTGCGTTGGAATACTGACCAATGGGTGACGTGCATTTTGCTCATGAATATTCATGAGGTGTGATAACGGTTGCCATTACCTTGAGAGCTCGTAGCTGCGTGTGGGTGTCTATGACCATGCCTCGCATATCACCAGCCTCGTAGACTTGGAAGGCGACGCGGACATCATTCAACTCAGAAAAACTGGGGAAAAAAAACAAATAAAAAATAAAATAAAAAGACTAGCAATCCTAGCAAAGCTGGTCCCAGACATATCTGGTCTAAGGGAGTCTACGTAGTCATTGAATTCAAATTGTTACGCCAAGGTAAGACTTAACCAAGTCTAATTCACAAGTGACGGTCAGTCAGTCAGTCAGGCAGTCAGGTGCAATGAGGATACCGGCTTGTTCTCTGGCACCCGCAAAAACACTGAACTCTGTCATTACGACAATCAGAAATACATATATAAGCTCGCACGTCAGAGTTCATCGTTCTAGTCTGCCTACTAGAGGCTACTTATTCCGTACTATAAAGCCAGCCTCAGGTGACCTGTGATTTGTTTGCGCCACGACGCAACCATGTTCAGGTCACCCAAGGCGAGATGACGATTCACAATAAAATTAGGCAATCTGGACACACGTTTGACGTTATAGCTTCACACTGGTTGACTGGGATTGATTCTTGCCCATAGGGAATGAGTTCCATCGCTTGGCATATTAAGCTGAAATTTTTCTACTCTTGCAGCTGTTGATTCTTTTTAGCCCCAACTGATGCCGATCATCTGAATAGCGTCGCAGTTACACTCAGGTTACACTCAGGTTGCACAAAATCGGTGACTGATCGGTGAACAACAGCTGTTCCGGATGGTCGTAGCTCAGGCACAGCTTGATCCCGAAAAGCCAGTCGCAAGGTGGGCCTTAGTCTGAGTATCACCCGTTATCCACGGAGTCAAGTCTCCTGTCAAACGTCTGATGTATCTAAGCATGCGTGACGTCAGTTCATTCCGAAATCAGGACTAAGATTGTGATTGGTCAATTTCGATGCCGTGTTTTTGTAATACAACAACCTGTACAAAAATGCTACTCATCGTGGGTATGGTGTTGATTGGTCAGTTTCTCGAGGTCACACGCAGTCTAATTTCATAATTAATCGCCGAATCTGTTTACGTATCAAAGACCATGGTCGGCTCCACCAAGGCCAGGGTCTATTACATAGACTAGGTTGACCTGAGGGCGGCTTTAGACTTTAAACTGAGCCAAATTCAACCATGGAGGAATGAATGATTCAACAAACAAAATCACAGAGTCACAAATCAAATCTGATTTTTTTCTCACCTGTATATCGATCAAAGCTTTTCAGCTTAGCGGTATCAAATGGAATATAATACTTCTTATCTGAGCTTTTAATTACTTTATTTGTAAGCCTCGCGTAATCCTCTTAATAAACAAAGACTTGTATGAAATCCCAGCTAATCCCAGTAAATGCGATTATGATATGTTGATGTAAAAGATTCTTATCTCCTGAACTTTAGTGTTTGGGTGTTTAATAGTGATTCATAAATACCTCAGACAGTTTAGCTATTCCTATTGGTCGAGAGCCCGTCACGTGGCCGGTCTTAAACGGATGATAAAGACATGGCTAGCTGGTCTTAAACACTTTTCCAGTGTCACAATAAAATGTGGACTCCTAAAAATCCAGTGCCTCTTACCGTTTCATTGGTTGAACGTTCACAATCCTCACGTAGGCATGCGCAACACTACAAGCGAGTCAGAATTTTATAGTTCTAAATTCAAAACGCAACGCCCCAGGTGCGTTCTGCGTGACATCGCGCAGAACATGTTACGCGCGCGTCAATCTCCATAAAAGGGTTGTTTACATCTTACTCGCCAGCAGAACACTCCATTATTTTGCTAGAGGGATGTTTCAAAAAGCATGAAGTGAACTTGTTGAACAAAATCGGGATTTTTTGAACGAATTATTTGATATTTTTTACGGATAAGGTATTTATGAATGGGAATAAATATGTGCTCGGTCGGTATTTATCACTCTGTTTAATACCGCTTATAGTCTGGGTGCTGATAATTACCCTCGCCTCCGGCTCGGGTAATTATCAGCACCCAGACTCTAAGCGGTATTAAACGAGTGATAAAAACCTCCGGAGCACACATTTATTCCCTTATTTAAATCAAATTAGGTTTTGCCCTTCACCAACGGTTAAACACTGTATACTCAGTGTGTTACCTCCCGAGTGAAAGTTGTAATCATTCGGGTGGGACACGAACCCACGACCTCCTGCTTTCTAGTGCAGATGTCTTACCACTCGACCATCGAGCTAACGGGATCGGTTGGCCTACTGTTGGTCGAGTGGTCAGACATCTGCACAAGAAAGCAGGAGGTCGTGGGTTCGAGTCCCACCCGGGTGATTTTTTTTTCCCAACTTTCACTCGGGAGGTAACACACTGAGTATACAGTGTTTAAACGTCGATGAAGGGCAAAACCTAATTTGATTTATATCACCCCGACGCAAAATTCCATCTTATAATAATAGTGATTTGTTTTGAAGACATATACACCCTATCATGCTAAACTGTGACGTGTTCTGTCCAAAACAGTCTCTTCTAGGTAGCTAGATCCTCCCTTTAACGAGGAACACTTTACAGTTTTGAAAAAAAAAGAAGACTTTCTGCATCAAATGCATGCCCAATTGAAGTTTGTGATGTCACAAGGTTGAAAAAAAAAGAGAAAATTGAATGCCTGTTAAAGTTTCGGGTTACTTCTTGAACTGACACACCTTTATAAAACATGTTAGGATCACAAATTTGAAAAAAATTGTGTTGGTTTGTTGGTTGGTTGGTTTGTCTGTGAACAGGATTAACTCAAAAAGTTATGGAAAGATTTTCGTAAAATACAAGTACAAATCGATTAGATTTTGGAAGTGATCCGGATCTAGGTCTGCATGCAGGACTTTTTTTAAGGATTCTTTACTAGATTCCAACATTATGAATGAACTGTAGTGCATGCGTGACTGGGTGGAGCTTAGCGCTCAGGGCGTGAATGCACGTATGCGATTGGTTCACAAAGGCACATAGGTTAAAGTACATGCATACGTGTTTGTACAGCGTGCGTGTTTACTTGGGAAGTACACCCATGACGTCTTAGTTAGTTGAGTTGTGGACAGCGTACGGTAAGGTAGTGTATTGCTCGCGCTATAAATTCAGAATATGAGCAATCCTGTTGACATTCTAATGTGCAATACAATATGGAAGTCCAGTAGATATGCGAGTATTTCTTTTGGGTGTACTGACAATATGGCGGGGAATTGTTTAACCTTGGCGGAGGTTTGTGCTTTTTGAGTGCTTTCTAGTTGATTTCAAGCGCTTACTACATGTACATGTAGTTGTGTCTGTATGGACAGCAATTTTCATGAGTTTTAGTCTGAAGAATACCTAACCAATCACTTACATAAAGTGACCTCGTTATGCCCAACTATGGTAATGGTCCCAACTATAGTTGGGTCAGTCCCAACTGTGGACAGTCTCAATTTGGGGAATTCCCAATTATAGTTGGGACGATCCTAACTGTAGTTGGGATCATCCCAACTGTAGTTGAGACACGGTCCCAACTTTGGAATGGTCCCAACTTTAGTTTGGAAATTCCCAACTTTAGTTGGGACGATGTCACATTTTGGGCGTTACACCCTCAGTGAAGATAGGACTTTGTTACCATGTGATACATATGAGTAAACACTTTGTACTTCCACTGTCACTAATACAAAACTTGTCCTCACTGAGGGCGCTCTGCGCTAAGAGTCTATTGAGTTACCTCAGCAGTCTGTGGTTGAGTAGTTTCAGACTCTGCATTAGAGTGTTGATGTTGTAGTCTGCCGTGTGCATGTTGATGGAACGATCCAACGCATCGTTGAAGTACTTCAGCCTGATCAGCTTCAAGATATCCTGAGAAGTGAAGAATTTGAAGAAAACAGGATAAGTGGTGGGATGAAAATCCAGATTTGTTAAAATACGGTTTGAATTCCACTATTCCGTTTAGATTTTGGAAATTGGATATATTCGAAACCAACCTTAAATTTAAGTCCTCCATTATTGGTGACAGGTTTAGGAAAATATCTAGAACATCTCCCAATTTGCTCCATGGTCTGTGATTGTAACTGCACTCACTCCCTAGCGGTCTTCTTGGTATATGAATAGCCTGCCCATTCGATTTGTCAGAGAGTTCCCATCCAGTTTTTCACCATTACAGCTCTGGAGTGATTCTGTCAAAGCCAAGTGGTCAACAAATCTCGCAAACTATACCCAATCATTGTGGAAGGCATTGCATGCGGCACCTCACTCGTCACTTTTTGTTGGCGTGACTGTGAGCTGGGTGGGAACTGCCAGTGAAATCAGAGAACCGTTGATTCAGTTTGAATTTTTTTTTAGAATAACCGGTTTTTGAAATCTTCAACTTTTCCCCCCCAAAACAGAACAGAATAAGCCAGTTTGCTATATCAACTGCGCATGCGCACAATGATATGGGTCACAGGTCATTCAGGATAATCAAACGATCATCGAAGGCGCATGAACGCGCAGGGAAACGGGTACACACGACACTCGCGTGTTAATTGACCGATCGCCGTTTGCGAGTTAGCCATGCCACTTAGACAACCCTATGGAATTTGGTACGTTAAGGTTTGTTTGTCTCAGATTTTGCGTGTTCCGCGTCCATATGTATGTGTAATTGGACAATATTTCACAAGTTGCATTGATGCAATTCTACTGCGATAGGTTAATTACGAGCAGAATGGGCGTTGGTTTAACGTAACCTAACGTCACGTCAGCGATTTTATCCTGAATGACCTTTGACCTGGACTACTTCATGGAGATACCGATCTGGCTTATCGTGAAGCGTTCTTTCAATGGACTCGGTGCGTTAAGTGTAGGTGGCGCTCTTTAGCCTGCTTATGCGAACATTCATTCATCTATACCTTGTAACTGATGCCATCTTGTGTACTTGTCAGTTCATCAGGGATGCAGTTTTTGATGGTTTCGCTAGGGAACTGTCAAACAATTTGTAAAAAAAAATTATCATGAAATAAATGGTGTGATATGTAAACATGGCAAGAATTTGGACAATTTAAGGCATCTTTTTTGAAAAGCAATTTGAAACACGGAAAATAAATGTAGCCAAAGAAAGTGGCCTTTGTTGTAATTTAATCGTTTTATGATTTTCATATTCATCAACAATAGTTATTATGATGTTATTTTTTGGGGGGGGGGTTGGGGGGTTGGGGTAGATTGTGCAAAGGGAAAGGGATTAATTAAACTACAACTTGTTGAGCTTTTCTTTAAAAAATGACACCAAATGTAAGAAAAATTTTTCAACTTACCCCAAGTGCCCTTGATAAACAGCTGTGCAAAAAGAAGTTGGAAAAGAGACAATTTAGAGGGTCAGGGCCCATGATTTAATGTAAGAATTGTATAACATCGTTACGGCAACCGTAATGCTAATGCAATTTTTAACTGCTATTATTAATACAGCATTGCAAGAACACCATCGCGATAATACTTATAACTTTCCTACTTCTAGAATTAGAAGGCACCTTGTCTCAAAAATGTTCCTACATGGGATTTCAATATGGCGGACTGGTTTTGCGCGTTGTTTATGTATGCATTTATGCGGGCGCACTTGGGCAAGGTTATGAATATGCACTGAACAGTTCATGACCTCGTATTTGTATGGCCGGTCGCGCCGTGTGCCTGACAACACGAGGTCATGAACCGTACAATATTCATAACCTTGCCCACTTGTGAATGCATACATTGACCTCCAGCTCTACATGTCCACAGTCCAATTCCCGAATTCCCGGTAGGTCAAAACATGAGCACAGCCATCTTGGTTTGACGTCATATGATGTAGTAACGGTTTTTGCTTGAGATCACCTGACCTATTACAGGGCCCTTGATTGGTAACCAATCCAGGTGACCAATCAAAGTGCCCTGTGATTGGTCTGTCTGATGCCAGTCAATTTTTCCTGAATTCAAAATGGCAGCCTCCAACAAGGCGTGTGTGACAAGGATGTTTCCCGAACTGAAGGTGAAATTTCTCTTTTCTTCCCAAAGGTATGTGAGCCTAACCATTGGCGGATCCAGGGGGGTGCTACGGGGGCATGGGCCCCCCCCCCCCCCCCAGCAGTGACCAAAATGCAACAGTGGCTAATTTTTGCATATTTTAACTATAGACCATGAATGTCAGACAAGTCGCCCGTTGAGACAACTTGACTCGGCTAGCTCGGGACAAGTCGACCGTTTAGACAACTCGACCATTGAGACAAGTCGACCGTTGAGACAAGTCGACCGTTGAGACAACTCGACTCAGGACAACTCGCCCGTTGAAACAGCTTGACTTAATGGAAATGTATACACGTGGAGCGGAAAAAGTTGCATAAATCTGTGGTAGAACCGGTCCCGGGCACGGCGCGGGCATACTCGATGCACAGAAGGCGCTCCGATACGGTGGCCATCGCGTCGGGCCGGCGCGTCCCGCCCGCGAGGACCGGGACCAGCTCGGCATGCGGGCATGTCGACCGGCGCGGCAAGTGGGCGCACAGGCCCGGCAAAAACGATGTTTTTGCCGGGCACGCTACGGCCACGTTGACCGGGGATAAGTGCGCGCACAGGCACAGAGCCAGGCAAAAACGATGTAACCGTGCACGGTACTGACATACTGACAAGTTGACCGGGGATGCACGCACATGCCCGGCAAAAACGAACGATGTGCACGGCCAATCACGCTGCGCTATTTCGGCTCTGTGTTATGGCTATATCATGCAACAAAAAACTCCCAAACGGCGATCAGCCGCATCAGCCGCCGTCAACATCCCCATTCCCCGGTACTATCCCAAAACTAGGCTCAAAAACATGACTCGACTTATCTCAACGGTCGACTTGTCTTTCCATTTATCGCACATACGGTCGAGTTGTCTCAACGACAACGTCAACGGTCGAGTTGTCTCAACGGTCGACTTGTCCCGAGTCGAGTTGTCTCAACGGTCGACTTGTCTGACCCCCATAGACCATTTTGGTTCTTAACATGTTAAGAAATATGGCAGGGTGAATTGCATCAACTTACTGCTGCTTTATTGCACTGACTATATTGCCCACTCAATATCACAACTGGTCAACACAAAAAATCCCCGCACATATATATGCGCAGCACCGTTTGGTTTATTGTCACTTGGCAACAGGACGTTACTCACCTTAATTCTTCCCACGAGTAGAAATCCCGCCTTTTTGGAAACTGTAAATGCATCATCTTGATGCTCCGACTTCAAAGACTATCTGTACCCAAAAGTGTCACGTTATATCCATTTCAATGCATTAAAAATCAGCCTAGTTTTGGACCAAACGAAAGTGCTTTTCGCTACTTTCATCTTGTTTATACTGTTGATAACGAACAATTGAGGGCGCTTGTTTTCGCACAGTCACAGAAAAAAAAAATAACTTAAAACCATTTTTCTTCAGTTATCAACCAATGTACACTTGTACTTACATGTATTTGAAACCATTATTGTAATCAATTTATTTTGATATTTTTACCAACGATCAGAACAATATTATTTCATGAAAAAGCACCGAATAAACATTACGTCCACATGAGCCAATGATACTTTTCGTCTCATCCGCCACGTTGACAAATCAATCAATTACCGGTTTATATAAGATCACTTGTGATTGGTCAGGCGCCTGCGCGCCTGCCACTTCTCGCAAGTCAAAGGGTTTCCCCGTATTTACATATTGATATTGCAGGTTGAATTTCCAAATATGGCTGCGTCGCTTCCTTTTATGGGCTACAGGGGGAATCCCGTGCCATATATGGAATGGCGTACGTGTGATACGTGGAGTATGGGGAACACATGCAAAACGTGCTCACTTCAGTTGCTCTGTGCATGCTGTACGTTGTCAAAGTGTGAAACTTTACATATTTTGTCATAAAGAAACGCTGATCACATGCAGAATGATATGGCGCTAGGGGCAAGGCCTCTGTTTCTGTGTAAACACGCTGCAGGCGATGTCCCGCTATTTTAGGGCAGTTAGGCACTTGAAGTACATAGAGAAACATTTTAATGTTCGATCACTTCATCATTGCAGAGATGCAAGTAGGAGAGATATGATCTTGAAGTCTTAACGTATTGGATTCACACGGGATATTTCCAATCACAAGACGGTCAAGACCGTGGAAATGTAAGTATATCTGCAACTGTTCCTCCATGGTTTCATCATCGATGTAAGTTACACTTTACAATGTAATTGGTACCTAAGAAGTGTAAAGAAATAACCTTAATGGGACACCGATCGCTCGAGTCTAATTCTGCTCGCCGGCCTGTGGCATGTTCTTTCTGTTTTGTACCTGGGTTGCCGACTTGCCGTATGTTCCGTAGCCATCCTAGTGTGTGTGTGTCACGGAGGGACATTATGCTACACTACAAACTAATTAAGCGTGCACAAAATTAAAAGGCAGTCAAGTACAGAAAGTGTTTATGTTATTTCGACATATAAGTCTGGGGTGGGCCTTTCGAAACCCCCACCGGACCCCCATGCCCCACCCCACCCCGTATACTCACCCACACTAGGTCACGGCTTCTGTGATATATATAGATTAGTACTACGTGCCGACCGTCATGACGATATGTGAAAGTGTGATGTTTGAATATTAACTATCTCTTTGTGCACAGTTAAGACAGGTGCAACCATAGCGCAAGGAGCCAGGTGCAACTAGCGCGATCTCTCTTTCAAATTGTGTTGATTTGTTTTTTCATTTAAAAACAGCCGGGGGAGGGGGGGGGGGGGTCGCTGAGCTGCTCAAGACAAGATGTTGCCGAAAGTTGCAAATACATTTACACGAACTTTAAAAGCGAAAATCCGCTGAGAAACAGTCACGTATTTAGTAGCATAACTTTCTGCTAGTAAAATTAACTTACTTCTGATATCATGTGTCTGTTATCACAAATGAAAGTTTTCTTGCGGTAATCAGACTTGTTTAATTTCTAAAAGGAAGTTTTGTTTTCTTTGCCTATAGGTTAAGTATTATTCTTTTAGATAGAAAATGTTTTCCCCTTTCAACTCCTATAAACAGTAACATCAACTTTCCACAAAGATGCTATCACACAGCTGAAGAAAGTGATTTCTGGAGTGAGTGCCGTCTTTATCTTCAAAATGTCGCATAAATGCGCTAATTATTAAACCAACTTCACTTTCGAGTGATCATTCCAGATTGCTTCCGGGCTCCAGGTCCCTGCGGCTCCAGTGAAGTTCAGCGGACGTGGCCCGCCTCGGGCCGTGGGTCCTGGCGGAGCGCGAGCCCCGCCGAGTGCTGTGGACATAAGTCACTGTCACGCGGCGCAAAGAGTGCTTCTCCGTCAATTCTCTTGTGCGTGCGACAGCGACTGATGTGTGCCGGCAAAATTCATCCAAATATCTCGTCACAACGCGACCTACAAGAGGAGATTTTTTTTCTCTGGACTTTAGCAGCCGACATCAATGCTACAGAACTTAACTTACAAAAATGGCGTATCCAGAAGACGCGTCAGGCCAGCCGCCTTATTACTACGTACGAAACCTCAAATTAGGTTTGCCCTTCACCGACGTTTAAACACTCTATACTCAGTGTGTTGCCTCCCGAGTGAAATTTGGAGAAAAAAAATCGCTCGGGTGGGACTCGAACCCACGACCTCCTGCTTTCTAGTGCAGATGTCTGACTCGATCACCGAGCTAACGGGATCGGTTGGCTGGTTCGAATCCTGTCGGTTATTTCAAATAAATATCTCTGAGCTCATTGGATGGGAATATCCAGTGTATATCCAATGACATCGGGTCAGCACTTCCGCAGAATGTAACTGCATAGAGTGGTTTCCAATCTCTCCGTTGTTGATTCTGGCTTCGATATTTTATGGGGCGGGAACCTGTCGTTGCACGTGCATGGATCACAGTGGTATAATTAACACCCACAGTGCTTTGCGTTTCCTGCACATTTTTTTGGCAAAAGAGATTGGCTGCCACTGGTGTCATTGGGATGAGGTTGTTATAATGAGAGGAAAAAAGTGTAATTCTGGTAAATTTTCAAATAAACCACATAATATGGAAACTGACGAGGTACATTATAAGTAGCGGGGTTTGAACCCGCGACCTCCGCATTGCCGTTCCGTTGCTGTACCAACTGAGCTATCCAGACCTATAGTGTTAGCGGTTCCCCATTTTATCAATGTCTTTGTCAACCGTGGGCGCTAGTCAGACGCCGCAAACCCGCAAAATTGGAGGTCGCAGGTTCAAACCCCGCTCCAATCAATTTCTTTGTTCAACTGAAATGTAATTCTGGCAATAAGAAAAGGGGACTTCACATCGTATGGATCCACTTTCAACCACTGTTCTATTTGTCCTTTGAAAAAATGACTCATTTCCCATGTGAAACAGAACAATAAATCACAAAATGACCACACAAAAATGGTAAACAGTTTGTTGGTTTCCTTTTTATTGTGCTATTCTCAGCTTTTGTGTTTAGTTTCGTAGTACACTGCATTGGTATAGGCCCTAAAAAAATCATTTTATAGAATAAACTTTGTGGAAAGTGTGCATAATTGAGGTGCGAGTCAGATGATAAAAATGTTTGATAACGACGAAAAAAAAATATCTCTGTGTAAATAAAAGCGTTCACACTCTAGTGCAGTGTCGTCTAGCAAACTAGTTTATACTGGATCGAACACGTGTGAATGGACCCGCCACACGAGTGCCAAGTCCGTGTCTGAAACAGACTTTGTCGTCTACGGCTACGGATTAAAGTCAGTGTGACATGTCAATGGCAAAGACAGAAGCCGTAGTCCCAGAATACCCGATCCAGACACAGCCTTAAAAACATAAAGGATCATTAGATGGCCATCGGCCGCACTACTAATACGTGAGAAAAACCTCTTAATTATCCAGACAGCCCCTTAACACTTCTTATAAGTTAGCATTTATAAAATTTAAAGCCAATCATACAAATATTATTTTATCAATAACGCAAATACTTAACATTATTTTTTTTCACACACATGCATTCGACATTGGTTAGAGTCTCCCTTTGGTTTACCTTGTTCAATTTTAAGTTGACATCAAACAATACCATGTACTTGATTTATAAATATGCTGTATCCTCTTCAGCTTTAAATGTGTTGCTTATGCAACATTATTTTTCCTTTACCCAAAACGGTTATAACAATTCACAAGACGCTCTTCTCAGTACTTAAATACGCACATCAAACTTCAAAAAATTGAGTGAAGCGAACCACTGCGTTGTGTTGTCGCACAAATTACACTATTGTTTTCCGATAAATTATCACATGATATTTTTTTGTATAAAACACTCTGAACTATGTACATGAATTAAAATGAAAACAAAACTAGATTCAACTTTGGCATTTACACAACAACAAAACGTGCGTTTGGAAAAAAATAAAGTTTCACAATTTGGTAACAAAGACATTCGACATAATTTAAATCAATCCTTTCATTTAAAATACACATGTAGGCGTATAATTACATTTCCTCGGCAGACACAATCGAGGAACAGCTGTAGTGCTAAAAAAATTCATTAATTCTGTTCATTGGCTAAGCTTTTGATCAAAATATACACACTTCAAAATTCAAATACAGACAGAAGTGAACTTGATACAAATCTAAAACTCTCAGCCCGATGAAGATGTTTCTATGTTTGAAAACAACTGAAGACAACGAGACTCGACGTAAATCACTTTATCACGATAACGAAAGAAAATGTACTCTTTTCTAAAATAACACACTTACAAAAAGTATAAAAAAGATCTGCACCTTTATTGGAAGAAATTTCAAGTGACTTTGTTCAAAGTTCTTTGGCCCATCTACGGATGTTCTTTTACAATAACCCTATATTGAAAAACTATACTTTCTTACAACTTCTTTCTCTTAAATTATTTATAATTTAAACGCGTATGATTTCTTTCTGCACGATACAGTTTCTACTATGGACGGACTAGTACAATTCTATATTATACCCTGTAGGTATTCTCAAGAAGACAATACGTGCGGCTAAAAAGTCTCTTCGAAATTCATGTACATGTACCTAATACTGGTGCGCACTTCTAGTATTCCTGCGATGAACCGTATATTCTACAACCACCATATTTAAATCTCAGGATCGTCCGAAATCTCTCACTGAGCAAAACTGGAGTAAGGCCAAAAAAAAAAATAAGTCGGTCTCTGGTCAGCGCGCGCGTCGATTTTAATCATGCGCGTCAATCTTTTTTCCCCCCAAAATGTTCCGCGGTAGCTCCAACAGCGCACTCTATTGCCGCACCTCCTCAATTTTTTTTTTTACCAAAGAGCACCAAGGAATGGGAAATTGCACCAAGGCAAATGATCGAGAGCACCAAGGCAAATTATGGATGTCACCAATGTACTTGAGGACACCAAAAAAGCAAAATAGTACCCCACCTTGTCTGTACAATCCAAGCTTGAAGAAAAAAAAAGCAAAAAAAAAAAAAAAAAAGCCGCATCGCCGCGTCAATTCCGGAATTTTGGTCTGACCAGAGACCGAATAATTTTTTTTTTGGCCTAACATATGTGTTTAAATCACACACGTACCGCTATTCTACTAAATATAACTCAAACATGAAGTCTACAAAACAAAAACAAGGAACGTTCTCTATCGAAAGTATAAGGTAAACAAAACCAAAGAAGAAAGAGAAAATAAAGAAATAATTTTAAAAGTGTTCGTATGAGTTGCTTTGCCATAATAGCAGACAAAAAGTAGATAGACTACAATGAGTCCCGAACTTCACAGCACACATAAAGTCTTAAACTTATAAACTACAAAATGTTCAAAAATGTACATGCGATCGGTCGAAGTTTTTCATATCCCTTTTCAAATTACCACACTGCATATTTTATATAAAATCATCTTCAAAAAAGTGCATCACATATAACAGTTGCTTAACGAATTGAGTCATGAAATATTGCTACTATGTTTCGGTTTTAAACAATTTTTGTTTCCAAGACAGATTTCGCAGAAACATTCTTTCCAGACTCGCCGTACAAAAACTTATATTCCAATGTTTCATACGGTAAACGCGCAATTTTTTGTATTTTTCTATATAGATAACACTTTTGCCGTGCAGCAGCACGGGTAGTAAAGATGTATACCCGCAGCAGTATGTCGAGTTTGACCCCGAAAATAGTTCTTGTGTGTGTTCAATTGTTATTTTCCAATACCAATATACATGTAGGCCTATAAGTTATTCACTTTTGAGTGAGTCATAGAGCCACAATATCCACCGACAATAAAATCGGCCGAGTTTTGTAGGTCGAGTTCTTTGTGGCGACAAAAACATGTAAAAGCCCTTTTTTTCTGGGGGTTACAGACGCCCAACAATGCTTCCGTACAAAACCCAAGAAATTCACCCGCATATGCGTGATTATCGCGTGGCTGATAGTGATACCATTTCCTTGACACAAAAAGTACGGGGAATGGAAAACGCTATCATAAATCATCCGGCCCTTAGCCCAGCAATGGCAAAACCAAACAAATACAGCATTCATACCGAGTCTCCAGTCACATGGAAAATGTGGCTGTTTATGTTTGCATTCCCAAGCTATAACCTTCTGACATAATACAACGTCACAGTTTTGAAGGCATACACTTAGGATCATTTGCATTTATCCAAAAAGTAGCCTAGCGAATTATTATCAAAAAAGCTTACTTGGATTAAAAGATCGCACTGGTACTAAACACCCCGTGAAATTATTCCGTCTGGCTGGCTGTCATTTAGAAGAAATCAAGAAATGTATAAGCGATTTCTAACAATCAGTTAGTGGAATGATTTTTGGAAGCACATGTGCTATCATGGCGAAATCGCCACGGTTCGTGACCAAAAGGTTGTGACGGTTTTTCACTATTTTCTCGAAAAGTGTAATATCCACTGAGCTGGAATTTCAACAGGTTAGGTTTTGAACATTCTTCATTGGGTTTTGAGTGGGGTTTGTTTATTGGAACCGAACAGAATATGACTATATGGCTATAAGGCCAAAAAAGTATCCGGTTTCTGGTATGCGCACACGTCGCCGTAGCCATGCGCGTCGGCAAAATGAAAAAAAGTTTTTTTTTTCAATGTAAGATGATGTCTCAAAACCGCCAAACTCACTGGTTTGACTGGAAGTTTAACGTGTTTTAGATGGGGTTACGATCGAGTATAAGCTTTATGTGGCCTCTCTGGACTCCCATATATTTTGCACTAAATTTAGTCTGGTAATTTTGCAGTCATCAGCCGACATTTGAAGAAAAAAAAGGAAAAAAAAAAAAAAAAAAGCCGCGTCGCCGCACCAATTTTGGGGCAAGTTCAATACCAGAAACCAAAGACTTTTTTTTTGGCCTAAGGAGACTTTGTTTCAGCAAGGCCTTTTGAACGATTATGGTCTGAAGAAAGAAATACTGAAGTTATCAGAAGCAATTCATTTGGCATTACTTGGAAAACGCTACAGAATTATGCAGTGGGAGTTCCTGATTAAGGTACACATAATTCTTCCAAAATAGGAAATAATTCTAGGAAAATAAAACAACCAAAAAAAAAAATTGCTGGCAACTGCCATGGGATAAAAATGAGTCAGAAAGCTTGTTTTCCATATAACTGATGATTATTTTCTTCTATGGAGCAATATTGATGTAAGCAGTGTGCGAGTACGGACGATACTCAAACTGTTACGAGTTTTTTTTTCATTCGTAGCAAAACAAAGGCACATTTCGCTATTATTAAAATCGCCCATCGTCGTTTCACAATGCCGTTCGTTTATGTAGAAAACGAGTCATGTCGACAAGAATATTCACTGTGTAGAATACATCTCAACCCATTTTTGATGACTGTGAAACAGATTTTGAGTCATTGCGGTTTTTCTCGGAAACATTTCATTTAATCTAACTAATAAAACACGCGATTCTCCCAAATATTTTTATATTCCGACTCAAGAAATAATTAGCCACACGCGCGATGCGCACTGAAAATGTTACTGGTGAGTTTTAAAAACTCGATCCACAATAATATAGTGTGCCCAAATATTTCCCTATTTTTTTTTTTTTTAAACACGGACTTCAAGTGTTTGTTTGCCTTCGCGAATGTTCCAATGGCTTTTGAACGCAAACACTGTTATCAATTCCCCATCGTTGCTAATCATGCTATACAAGATTTGCCCATTCTAGTTAACATGGCTGCCAGTTACCATGGCAACATATTCTGGCGCGCATGAAACGACTGGACTTCGCGCCAGCCAGTCCAAACATTGTTTGGAATTTCAAGGGCTGTTGAAATCACTAAAATAGAGAAGTATTAGGCTATACAGAGCAGATCAGACAAAATCTTCGTGGAACTACTTGAACATGACCTTATTTCTCGAACAATCGTCCAGCCCGGTGTGGCGCATGCGCAGGGGACATTCGACTAATCATGAACACCAACATTATGCGAACGATCGACAACGCAAAACGAAACAAAAAACATCGTTCCGAATTGCAACTAAAAATGACGGTAATATCAACAAAAGTAACGCCCGTTTCCCGAACTCAGCGAATGAATCACAAGTATATATCACATCTACTTTCGAGTTTGGTTTCAGGAAAAACGATTTTGAGGATAAGAAAATGTTATCAAAGTTTGCTCCCTTGTGCGCAAACATTATAGCACCATGTGTCATTTCTATTATTAAAATTAGGCCTACATGTAAATGAACATGTAAAAGACACATATAGTCAAAACTAAAACTTGAGGCAAATAGGATCATTTGCATTTATACAAAAAGTAATCCACCGAATTATTATCAAAACCTTTACTTTGATTAAAGATCGTACTGGTACTAACCACCGAGTGAAATTATTCGGTCTGGTTTGCTGTCATTTAGAAGAAATCAAGAAATGTAGGTGATTTCTAACTACGATCGGTCAATTGACTAATTTGTGTAAATATAGAGTGCCACAGACGAAATCATGTTTCGTACGTGATCAAAAAGGTTGTGCATGGTGTTTCACTGTTTTCTCGAAAACTGATATAGAGTGAGCTGAAACTTCAACAGGTTAGATCTTGAACATTCTTCTTTGGATTTTGAGTGGTGTTATTATTGGAAACGAAAAAAACAACATGAAAAGTAAATGATCCTATGTGCCTTTAGTTCATTAGAAACGTATGGGAAAATGTCCACTCAGTTTCTTTCCTTATGAAACAACAGCAATGAGTTCTGCATCCAAGCAATACACACTTGATCATTAAGGTAAGGGGCAGCTGAAACTTCATCAAGCGAAAAAAATGAGCGATGACGCACTCCAAAATATTCAACGTCATCTACAAGAAAATGAAGACAGGATCCGTGAGGAATGTCTGTATTTGTTTTTGGTTTGGCTGGGAATGACCATATTTCATCTGGTCTGTGCCTGTCTATTCATACAGATACTTCAAGCAATAAGCCGAGTATTAAAAAAAATGGTTTCTCGTCCGGACTTTTTGAAAAAAATGAAGGAAGCAGCCCCACTTTTTTTCCCCAAGGTGGCGGATAGATTCTTCCATTTTCTCGAATCTTTTGCTGATACAAAATGGTGTCTACAGGCCATCATCCTTTCTACATCGCTACAATTGTGTTGGAAACACTTAAAAAGACAGGCCTATATTGGCAAAATTTACAAAATATATTGCAAATGTATGAATTAAAAAACCAAAAAGGAAGCGGGTGGAGACGAGAAACTGGCTTATTTTTTTCCCTTGGCCTAATATGAGAGATACATAAACAAAATGGACGAGCTGTGGACAACATTGTGAGTGGATAAAAGTACACTTCAAAGGTCAGCTAATCACCGTAGAGGGAGCTTTTTGCCGTATTTGTGCCTTAAGGTTCACAGAAACTAAAATGGGGAAAAAAGTTAAATGGTTTTGAAGCAATGATGGATTGATATAAACAGTACGGCAACTAATCATTACAATTCTTGCATAGTCATGTAATTTTTATGTTTCCATTGTGCAACCAAAAGTGGGTGTGGCATGGGTTACAAACTATGCATATTTGTTAGCAAATTACCATGATAAAAAGAACAATGATAGGTCAAACCTATATTCATAAATAATATCTTGCCATGAGGGAAGTATATGGGGGCATTGCCCAGGTTACAGCTTGCATAATTCATTGCATTACTTTGATGAAAACACCGGTGGGCGTGGCCTAGGTTGCATCTTCCATATTCTTTTTGTAAGACCCTGATGACCCTGATCCTTCTGGATCTCGCACATTCATTATCAATTACCTCGATGAAAGCAAAAACGGGCGTGGCCAAGATTGGATCACGCATACTGGAATTTGTATCCTGGTGGAGTCATTTCTTTGTTCTCGTGTACTAAAGTTTTCGAGTTTGAAAGCGTATTTTCAAAATACCCCTATTTTAACAAAAATTAATTTCCTGGGCTGAAATTCGGATTTAATATCCCTTACATAAAATACTTACATAAAATACAATAATCAAGTGGGCATGGCCAAGATTGAATCACATATATTTATTTTCCATTACCTTGATGAAATAACAAATGGGTCTCGCCGATGTTACATCCTGCTATTCATGATTGCATTACCCTGATTGGATCACAGGTGGGCGTGCCCTAGGTTGGATCTTGCAGTTTCGTCACCTTGATGAATTCAAAAGTGGGCGTGGCCAAGACTGGATCACGTACATTCATTTTCAATTTATACCTTGATGAAACACAAATGGGCGTGGCCAAGGTTACATCCTGCATATTCATGATCTCATTACCCTGATGAGATGACAGGTGGGCGTGCCTTAGGTTGAATCCTGTACTTTCGTCATATTGATGAAATAAACAGTGGGTGTGACCAAGATTGGATCACATACATTCATTTTCAATTTATACCTTGATGAAAACACAAATGGGCGTGGCCAAGGTTACATCCTGCATATTCATGATGAGATGACAGGTGGGCGTGGCCCAGGTTACATCTTGCATATATTCATGACCACATTACCACGATGAGATCACCGGTGGGCGTGGCATGGGCGGTTGGAAGCTGACTCGCTGGCTGGCGGTGATGGAGTTCAGGTTGGCGTAGTGCTCTTGGTGGGGTGACATGAAAGGACTGGGCTGAGCACTGTAACGAATGGAGCCACTGGTCATCTGAAACACAAAAACATTGAGTAACAGTTCAAAATTCCAAAATAATGTACACAAATAAGTAATATTTGAGGCTTTGCATGGTGGAGATACTAAATAATGAAAGGTTTGCGGAAACACCATGTGCGAATAATTTCTCAACTAAGAGAATGGTTCGGAAAAGAACCAGAGGTATAAACTCAACGACATCTGGCTCCCACTTCTCCAGACTGATGGGTCTCCTATACCCTAGGTCCTTGACCTTCACCTTAGACTGATGGGTCTCCTATACCCTAGGTCCTCCCTTTACTGACACTGCAGCCCTACTGTTCCACTTCAGTGGGCAACAAGCTTGCTCTAGGATCCCCGCTACTTGGCATCCACACAGGATGTAACTTCACACTTCACTGATTTCGCTTTTGCTACTTACGTGTTTACTTTCATAGAGTTTAGGCACTCTCCTGAAGATGGTCAGAGTATACTGACCGGAACGTCGAGTTTATACCTCTGGTTCTTTTCAGAACCATTCTCTTAGTTGAGAAATCATTCGCACATGGTGTTTCCGCAAACCTTTCATTATTTAATGTACACAAAGTACTGCATATTGGAGCAATTTCAAACACAAAATGTTGACACTATAGTCCGTCTTACTCAAACCAACAGTTGTTGGCCATAGTTGGACTAAAATCCAGTCAACTATTCAGGACCTGCCTATTAAGGTTGGTCGCACTGAAGCAGCGTGTATCATTATGAACAGCAGAGAGTCAGGACAGAGAATTCATGTGATGACGTTCGACCATCATTCGACTACAGACGTTTGCACTTTAATTTAGTGTGCAGATGCAGAATACAGAGTGTGTCAATAAAAATGCAGCAGTCAATCCATACATCATAAAAATACTAGCATTCTCTTTTGCAAAACTTATTTTTAGAGTCTGAAGGTGTATTAAATATTCTACACAATGGTCTTCATCCCATCTCATTTAGACACCCCAGTCCAGAGATACAGCTAATTAAATGAAAGGACTTGAATTCAAACGTTGGGCCACTTTTCAAATTATCTGGTATATATTATGAAAGGCATTCACATACCAAGACGGTATGTGAATGCCTTTCAATAGATACCAGATAATCTGAAAAGTGGCCCAAACAGATTTCGACAGTCTTTACAAGCTTTGCTGAAACTTTTAATCAACAGGTCTATATCACACAGAACAAAAATCCTGTCCATGGAAAAGAAACACTCTTATCATCTCTGGTAATGTTTTCACCAAAACAAAATGATTTAGTTTCCTCAGAAAAAAATGTTGTTTTATACTGCTACATTTTTTTGGAGACACGCTGTACATAATGAATGGTCCTAAATCTAACTTGCCTTTTCTAATATAAACTGGTCTCAAACAATCAATTGACAAGAGTCATCTCGGGTGAAGTAGCTCAAACTATGGTTGGCCATATGTTGCTCTTGATTCATCACTTACCCCCTTGGTTGGGCTAGTTCTCATGGGCTTTCTCAGCTGGGCTGCCCCTGTGCGAGTTGCTCCTACTCCAGAGCCTGCATACAATACACCTGGAATAAAGAAGAAAAATGTTCAAAAGGATTCAATTCTAAAACTGCGGGAAGAGGAAGTGCCTGTGGGTAGGGCTGCCAACTTTGAGTAAGAGCTGGGAGTGAGAATTTTGCGATGGAGCTTGATCAGAACTATTGCGAACGCGAAGCCCTAACGGCGTGGGGTTCTTGGCCAGCTTATTAAGGGCCCCAAAAAATGTGGATTCTAGACGCTCTGTGTTGCGATCTGAGGCAATTTGTGTCCTCTTTAACCATTTTTTTTTTTAGCAAAAGATCATCATTTACCCATTTTCGAGTTTGGAGTCAATTATTTATTAGCTTTTTTAGCTGAGAAATCCCGTGTGGGTGTGAGAGCATAAGTTTAACCTGTAATGCGTGAGCCTCACGCATTGTTGGCAGGCCTGCTGTGGGTTTCACAGGATAAGGACAGAATGGATGCAAAGTTAAACACCACCTGATTGGAGAATTTACCCTCAAACTTCCCAGATCCTTCAAAATCCATCAGAAGGTTTTGAGGGATTTTGCAGGATTGAAGATTACTTGGTGGACATTGAAAGATGAAGCACAAAGAATGTGCCATTGCTTCCTGCAATGTGGAGGAATATTTCCTTCCAAAATCCGCATGGATTTTTTTTTTGAACGGATATTGCATGACTTAAAAATACAGCCCATCTGCTGGTACTTTACATGGAACTGAATGCTAACTTTTTAGAGGCATCATGATGCCTCTAAAAAGTTAGCATTCAGAGAAGATAGAGGCCATTGGTTCTCCACACCGTTGAGGATTTTGGGTCATTCAGGAAGGTTGTATAAACAAATGCGCCAAGGAGTTAGGCTTATACCTCCGACTACGTCAGGAACTGGCTTGGAGTTCTGCGAGCGCGTCTGTCGACACAGGCTGCTATTATCATTGCCTAAAGTCTTGACCCGAGGTTGACCGGTACTCGGGTGTGTCGGTGACCCGGGGTACTGGCCGCTGGGGTGCTTGGCGGCCGACAATGACGGGAACTCTTCCTTTTCCCTGGGGAAGACAAAGGGAAAAGTTAAAAGGTCGTACTGGAATAGGAATTTAATAAGATTGTTCCAGACTGATGTTCTGGAGTCGCATCAAAGCAAAAATAGCCAATTTCTGTGTTTAGCCGCACCATTAAATCGAACTAAATTACCTCTTCAATGCAGTCACTGGTCGTCCGTTCATTTCAACCTCTATCTCAGGGTGGGGCTGCGACTCCCCCCAATCCTCATCCTGTGTATCGTCCAATCGGCTGCCTGAGCTCTCACTGGCCGTGTCGTAACTCTTGGCCGTCTTGGTGAAGCGATGGGCTGCCGTGGTCCATGCAATTGCCTGCAAGTTTTGAGAAAAGAGAAATGAGAAAAAAAAACACAAAAAATTCAGATTGTTTCCCAGATGAAAATTCCAGTTGAAACTGGTTAAAACATTAACCGGTTTCAAGTGGAATAAACTGGTCTCCAATTGGTTCCGTTTGGATTCAACTAGTATAAGTTCAACTGGTTTCAACAGAAACCAGTTAAAACCAGTTAAAAACAAACCAGTTATAAACTGGTAATTCTTATGAAGTGAACAGGGTATCAGATAAAAACCAGTTAAAGGAACCAGTTACCTACTGGTAATGGAGTGAAGAGGTATCAGTTGAAACTAGCTGATATGGTTTCAACTGGAATTTTCACCTGGGTTCGAATTTGTGACATAACCAAAAACTTTGGAATCTTTCTATAAGGCTAATAACCTGTGTAAGAAATTCAGGGCATCCCTCACGTACACACATTAGCCTGATTATAGCATGAGTGAGGTATGCTCGAAATTTCTCCCAGTGTCCCTACATTGTTCCAATCAAAATTCGCTCTTGGACCAAAACTATAATAATAATGATACCGGAGTCTTATAAAGCGCACATATCTACCAACAATTAGGCACTCAAAGAGCTCGTAATTATGTCTAATTTTAAAGACGGGTGAATGAAGTTGATGAGAAATATGAGACCCATTATGTAACACCTTTATAAAGGGTTTACAAGGTGCTGTGGCGCATATTGCAGCCACTGCCAGAAACATCGGGGCCAACCCCCTCTCTAGTCTTAGCAATAAGTGTTACTGGGTTAATGTGCATTAAACAACACAAGGGACCTATGGCTTTACGTCCCATCCGAAGGACAAAGCAATAATGGTAAAGTGCCTTGCTCAAGAACACTAGAACCATGTTCCCTGTTAGGATTCGAACCCATGTACCACGGCACACGAGTCGAACACCGTAAACATTGAACCACAGCCTCCCACATTGAGACTACATAATGCACAACACAGAGCTGTGACCAAGAAGTTTGTGATGACGTTTTGACACTCGTTTGATGTGAGACACTTCGTACACTACTATTAGCGTGCAGCCGCACGTTACATTTTACGTCATGAATCAACCAACGCTAGAGCAGTGGTTTTCAAATCTGTTGTTTACCTGGCCGTTGGGTTTGCAGAGGATGGAGGTGCATTCGGGTCCCGTGCCCCACTTGTTCTGCTCCTTCCACAGGAGATCCGTCGGCGGGTTGTGCTGGGCAAGGCTGGAGGCAGACCAAACCTGAGGCAAACAATGAAAACAAGGGTGTTGAGGTTTGTACAAGGTTTTGCAAATAAGGAAACGGGTTAGGATGATGGATCAGGTGGGGGGGGGGGGAAGATCCTTAGATTGTAGTGGAAGGCTACTTATATGCAGGGCTTCATATTGCCGGGACCCAGTTTCATTAACCTTTTAAGCAAATAATTGTATATTGGAAGAGGAAGGGTAGAGTTATGGACGGAGGTGGGTCCGGCTATAAACACAGTTGTTGTTTTCCTGTTTTTCTTATCTTCTGTGCAGTACAAACGTATTTTTATATCCCTTTTCATATGCTGAGGTTTTATAAGCCATTTTTGACGCCTTTAATGGAATTGGTCTTTCATTTGCAATTTCTTCCAGTTGTGGGGGGGGGGGGGGGTGTTTCACAACGCGAAAAGGGAGGGGCTGGGCACGTAACCCCCACCTCGATCAGCTGCTGCAGTCCCTTAAGAGAAAGTTTTGAGGGACCACTGAGAGGGACATTTTGAACACGTTGCCAATATTGCACACAAAGATGCCAAAGGGTTGTGCACACCTCGTCACCATACATGAACCAACACACACGCGCTGTGCTGTCAGTTAGTGACCAAAAAACAGGGTTTGAAATAAATTCCAGTCTGGGGAAAAGATTGTTAATCTCTTACTGTTATGGTTGAGCCAGCTCTGAAGCGAGTTCTTGGTGGGAAGCGGTATACTGCCACCGGGTGACCACCGATATTCTGCTGGATCATAAAGCCACCGATCTCCAGATCGTCTCTCGGAGACGTGTTGAAGAGACGGACAAAACGACCGTCTTCGTTGACTTCTAAGATCTTGATTGAGCCCGTGGTGCTGTAACAAAAAATTAAAAACCTTTGAAGGAACAATTCATCTTAACACATGAAAGGCCAGTTCCCACATCACAAAATCACTATTTGAATATCATTTGCGGCGATATTTTTTCAACTTTTTAAAATTTTGTTCTGTGAATTCACAAAAATCGTGCTAGCATTAGTTTTTACAACAAGTACTATCAGGCATTAGGCACATTCAAATCAAAAGTTAGCTGTGACAAGGGCATTCCTTTGTCTTAAATTATGATCTGGCTTGTGATTCAACTGATTTAACAAACCCCAGCATACAAGCCTAGAAGTTCAGACGATAAATATATCCAGTTTGCTATATGACATTTTTGTTGTTGTTGTTTATGACAACGCAAATGCTGCCGTGCGCCCATGTGCCAATGCGACGATGTTGCAGGTTTGTGCACACGCATTACGCCTGTGAACCAGTTAGCATACAAACATGTAATGCAAAGGGCTCCCAGCACTTTATGAAAACATAATTCCATGATATTTCCCTGAGAAATGTCCAAAATTCCACGAGAAATATTTCCACTTTTAATAATGAGGTTGCTTAAATAAATTCAAGAGGTGGTGTAGCACAGCCAATTGTTATTGTCTAGAGATCATATTCACACTGCATAAACACTGAAAAATCCACACAGTCGTGAATTTCCATACGCCCGAGGACAATGCTTTGTGTTTCCCCTTGTCCCTGTAATATAACACTCTCCCATAGACAAAGCACGTAACCGTACAATCGAGGACCATTTTCAACAAAAGACCCAAGGTCTGAAAAAATCATATAGTTCTCCCTTTGTGTGTCTGTCCTCTATCATAAAGCCAAATGTACACCATGATCAGTCAGTCAATAAACACAACTTGGACACATGGCACAAGATGCACATACGCCAAACTGGCAAAAACCATTCCCTTCTGGGTCACTGTCAAATTCCCTGAGGTTTCCCTGACTGGAAAAATAGAAACTTATTTTCAAGGTTTCCCCTGATTTCCAGAGTGGTTGGGAACCCTGAATGTGCATATACAGTGGAGCTCTCACGTTGGTCTCAAGACCTCTCACAACCCCAAGAAATTTGAAATTGGGCCAAACAGTAAAGTTTTCAATATTTGTTTCCACATACCTTGATGTGGCCGTCGTGTAGTCGTGCGTGGTGGACGCCAGTCTGACCGGCGGGCTGGACTTAGGGTGGAGCCGGGGGTAGACCTTGGTGCTCTTCTGAAGGTCACCAAACATGGAGTCAAAGTAGTCCTTGCCTTGCCCCATGGGGGAGACTGGCACAGAGGCGGGCCGCTTGATAGCTGGTGAAAAAAGGGTTAAATTGTAACCATTTTAACAAAGGAATAGGCATGTTGTACTTCATAAGTTCTTTTCTGCATCGTCATTCTTAAAGGCACACAGGGACACATTTGCAATTACCCTGAAACGTACCCAATGATTTAACCAGTTCGATGTGTGTACACGCAAAGGTTTGCGGTATTTGGAATGGATGACGGATAAACACGCAGGGAGCGAGGCCAGAAATATCCGTCAACGACCCGCTCTTAGTGAGCGAGGCCGGAAATTTGAGTGTGCTGCCCGAGGGTGATGGCTTCAACCCGCCTGGCATTGAGGTTGAGTGGAAGTAAATCCCACGCCTCGTTTCCGTTCTTGTCAAAATAATCCCGGCGCGAACTGGATAACAAGAAAATCCTTGCTCAAAGTGAAGATAGGACTGGTACCAAACACCTTGTGAAATTATTTTGTCTGGATCATTACGAAGAAAAGAATCCCTGAAGGTGGTTAAAGAAAATGTGCCGATGGGCACAGCTTTTGTAAGTGCGTTACCAACATAAGCTAGTTTACGAGAGTAATGAGACTCAAAAATTGTGCATGCGTTTTCTGTTTTCTCAAAATGTATAGTATCCACTGAGCTGAACCTTCAATAATTTAGTTGTTATAAGATTTAAGGCTTTGCGTGGCGGAGTATCAGTATCGTTTCGGTTTGCGGTAACACCATGTGATAATAACTAATGTCGCTCAGTGGATATTTATTTCTGATAAGAACTTGTCCTGCTTATTATCAACTTTCGCTAAGTAGTTTTAAGTTCTGATAAGAACAATCCTGCTTATTAGTTCTAAAAGAACTTGTCTTTGGTCTCAATGTTTGACAAGCCTGCTCTAGTCATCGTCAGGAGATTTAGTTGTTATGCACCCTTAATCTTACGATTTTGAGCAATTTGGTTGCTTCAAATGAAGAGAAAAAAAAGACGAAAAGCAAATGTTCCCATGTACCTTCAAGTTAAATCTAAGGCTACCTGCTTCTTATTTAATGAAAAACAAAAAGCTACTTTACATTATAATTTTCAAGAAGGTGTGGCATGTCAAAAGCTCAAAGAGTGTAATAGTCATGTTTTCCTGAGTCCCCATTCTAAAATATAAGGTAGAACATAGGCCTAAAGCACCAAGGCTGTGTTGATGAGTACTTTGAATGAGTAGCAAGAGACACGCAGGTAGGAAAGACATTGACAATGCTCTACTGAGTGATCGCATGTCCATCACAAGTCCGATCACATGGGATTAACAATGACAAACAGATACCTCCATAACATTTTATTTCAATAACTTGTGACTTCGGTAAAACTGGATGAGTGTGATTGACTTATGATGACTTGTGACTGACTTGTGACTGATTTTAACTGACTTGTGACTGACTTTGGATTGGCTGTAACTGGCTCGTAATTGACTTCTGATGACTTAAGATACTTAAGACTGACCTATGATGTAACTTGTGATTGGCTTGTAATTAGTTAGTGACTGACTTGTGATGAAGTTGTGATTGACTTGTGATTGACTTGTGATCGACTTGTGATTGACTTGAGATTTACTAGTGATTGACTTGTGATTGACATGTGATTGACTTGTGATTGACTAGTGATTGACATGCGATCGACTTGTGATTGACTTGAGATTTACTAGTGATTGACTTGTGATTGACTAGTGATTGACATGCGATCGACTTGTGATTGACTTGAGATTTACTAGTGATTGACTTGTGATTGACATGTGATTGACTTGTGATTGACTAGTGATTGACATGCGATCGATTTGTGATTGACTTGAGATTTACTAGTGATTGACTTGTGATTGACTTGTGATTGACTTGTGATTGACTTGTGATTGACATGTAATTGACATGTAATTGACTTGTGATTGACTTGTGATTGACTTGTGATTGACTTGTGATTGACTTGTGATTGACATGTGATTGACTTGTGATTAACATGTGATTGACTTGAGATTGACTAGTGATTGACTTGTGATTTTTTGAGATTGACTTGTGATTCTTTGATTGACTTGTAATGACTTGTGATTGACTTGTTAGAACTCTCAAACTTGGTCAGAATCTTTCTACCTCTTGGGCTGAGCTGCGTGACGCTCGACGACATTCCAGTCATGTTGTCGTATCCCTTGATCGGCGAAGTTGATCTGGGGAGGGTCGGGCTACGTGAGGCGGTCACCGGTGTGTTGGAACGCAGGGCGGCAGGCAAGGATACCGGGCGGCGTATAGGGTCACCAGTGATGTTCATAAGCCTGGAAGCAATATAAGAAATTGAAAACAAAGTGTACAACCAAGCGTGTACTTCCAAGACGCCCTTTGTCAACTTCACGGTTACGGATATAACAAGATCCCACAAAATGAGCCGTAAGAATTCTTTGACACTAATTAGTTTTTCCAAGGGAATTAAAAAAAAAATGCTCGCTACTGCATTTTGATATCACCCATATAGCACACGTTTCTCTGCTAACAGGGCCTCCGTCTATTCCATGGAGACCGTAAGCAGAAAGCACGGCAAACGACACTCAAACCTTAGAGAAAAAAAGTTACTTAAATCAGTGACGCAACAATGAAATGTCCACGCGCGTGCAACTGTTAACACATGAAATAGAGCTTATAAGGTTTGTACAATTTTCTGCTATAGTTAGCACAATTGGCCCTTTATGAATTTGGACATTATGTGGGTGAAAAAGTTGACAGTTTCTTTTGTTTTCCACAGCAAAAACTTATTCAAGCACTTGCAACTTCAAAGTAGCTCTGAGGACATAAGCCTCATTTTGCTAGGTTAGGACACGTATGCTGGTTGAAACAAGGAACACACTTTTGAAGAGAAAAAATTTGAAACTCTTTAAAAAACAAAAAAATTGAGATTTTAAAAGTCATCCCTTTCCCCTTCCCCAATTCTTACTTTCTCTCCTCATCTTCGACTAGAGCCCTCAGCGCCTCGATCTCGGCCCGGACCGGTTGCTTAGCATCTGTTGCCAAGGTGATTTCCCGCATCTTCTGCACCAGGCTGTCTTGCATGTTGCAGAGTTTACCTTCCAGGGCCCGGATGTGCGCTGCTGCACCCTCCCGTTCCTGGCTCAGTTGGTCCGTCAGGTTGCGGTTCTGCTGCTCCGTGGACACGAACTGAAACATTGCAAAAAAAATGTTATGTGAAAGGTTCAAATGAGAAAATGTTTTGGTCATGGGTTCGATACATCAGCACCTTTGCTTCCACTCAGCATTAAAGCTGGAAGATACTCAGCAGTATAGTAGTCAAGTTCATCACAAGTCCAGTCACAAGTAAATCACAAGTTCAGTCACAAGTTCAGTCACAAGTCCAATCACAAGTCCAGTCACAAGTAAATCACAAGTCCAGTCACAAGTCCAGTTACAAGTAAATCACAAGTCCAGTCACAAGTAAATCACAAGTCCAGTCACAAGTTCAGTCACAAGTCCAATCACAAGTCCAGTCACAAGTAAATCACAAGTCCAGTCACAAGTCCAATCACATGTAAATCACAAGTCCAGTCACAAGTTCAGTCACAAGTCCAGTCACAAGTCCAATCACAAGTAAATGACAAGTCCAGTCACAAATTCAGTCACAAGTTTAGTCACACGTCCAGTCACAAGTAAATCGTAAGTCCAGTCACAAGTAAATCACAAGTCCAGTCACAAGTAAATCACAAGTCCAGTCACAAGTCCAGTCACAAGTAAATCACAAGTCCAGTCACAAGTTCAGTCACAAGTCCATTCACAATTCCAATCACAAGTAAATGACAAGTCCAGTCACAAATTCAGTCACAAGTTCAGTCACACGTCCAGTCACAAGTCCAGTCACAAGTCCAGTCACAAGTAAATCACAAGTCCAGTCACAAGTCCAGTCACAAGTAAATCACAAGTAAATCACAAGTCCAGTCACAAGTGAAACACAAGTCTAGTCATGAGTAAATCACAAGTCCAGTCACTAGTAAATCACAAGTCCAGTCACAAGTGAAACACAAGTCCAGTCACAAGTCTGGTCAATAGCTTGTGACTTTACTTGGGATCGGAGGACTTATGATGGACTTGTGAGGACTTGTGATGAGCTTCTGACTGACACACAGAAGGAATACACGATCGCAATATCCCCCTGTCTGGCTTGAAAGCCAGGGGGATAAAAAAGCAAGTGGAGTATGGTCAAGTTTGCAGCACCCTGATGCCAAAAATGACATCAAAATTCATTGTTCAAAGTTGTAGCCAGCAACTTTTAATACAAGCTTGGCCGTACCTTGGTTTGAAGAGAGTGTATTTGGTTTTTGAGATCTTCAATTTGAGCGGCTAGGTGCTTGTTGCTTGCTGACAGCTTGTCAATGTTGTCTGCGTCTCGACTCATCTGATCCTGTAGCTCTTGTAACTGAAAAAAAAAAAATACTTAAACAGTTATAAAATGAAAACAATTAGTCAGAGAGTTAACCTCTAGAAAGTAATAGATACATATACCTACAGGATGAGTAAAAAAAAAGGAAACCCAAACCCCCAACATTATATTTCATATTTCAAAAAATATGTATCACCAAAAATAATAATGACTGGAAAGCCAATTTTATAAGCTACTTTTAGATGAAAAAAATTACTGAAATTGCTCAATCCGTTCAAAGAATATAACCATTTAAACACAATGGCCCTTAAACCTCTTTCGTCCAAAAAACCCCCAAAAAAACCCCAAAAGCAGCTTATGAAATTGGCTTTCCAGTCGTCATTATGTTTGGTGCTACATATTTTTGTAAATATGAAATATATTTTGGGGGGTTTGGGTTCCGCTTTTTTGGACTCACCCTGTAGCATACCCGAGCATACGCATGACGTCAACTGCTGGCTAACAGCCATTTAACTAATGTAATAGTTGAGAAAACTGTTTGTTCTCAGCGATTGTTAGGTCCTAATCATTGCTGGTACTAATACAAAATTCCTCTTTTCATAAGGATGACAGCACACCAGGCTCAACGATTTCACAGGATGTTTCATACTATTATGTACTTTCAATCAAGTGGTCTTTTCCATAATATTTTGGCAGTTTTGGTTTTGAGTGTTTACAAATGTTAAATGTATCATAAAAAAACTACTTCTCACTGCGGTTAACGTCAATGGTGATTGAGAGCAAAATTATTACTTTATTTGCAAAATAAAATTATTAAAAACACATTAAAATTTAAGGATGGTAATTTACTTCATGTAACTTATTAATTTATTTATTTATTACATTTGGTAACTTTACTAGGTCATGAATTTAATGTAATAACATATGTTATGTATTATCGATATCTCCTTTGGTTAATCATGAATTGTATAACTACATGTATTCCTTGTGAAGGGGGCAGACCCAGTATAAGCTTCTGCTTCTTGTCTGACCTCCCCATACTATTTTTTTCAAGTTCTGTTAAAATGTTTCCCTGTGTACAGTATTCAACTTACCTTATAGTACGGAAATAAACCTGAAACCTGAAATGATCCTATATGCCTTTAACTCATTTATAGTCCTTGTTCAAGCCCAAACCACCAAAGCCTGTTACTCCCTGTACTGCCCAAAACAGCCCTGCCTGTTACTTCCTGCATATCCCGCCCCAAACCGCCTGAGGAGCACTCTATAGTTTTCTGGATTCATCAAATATAATGTGCTACCCTGAAGTACAGGGCACTTATGGTTTTGTTCAAACCTCATCAGTGATAATTTTGTTTGGCCCAACTCCAGGACGCGAGGTGTTTATACTTACATTTTTCCGGTACGTGGCCTCTGACTCCTCTTTATATTTGAGAAGTTCAGCCGCCGCTGCGTCGCGGACCTTCTGCAAGGCCTCGTGCAGCGTGTTGTCAGGCTTGCTGAGTTCACGAATCTTGGCCTCCAGTTGCAAAATGTGGTTGGCTTTCTCGTCCAGTCGATTCCTGCCTTCGCTCAGTTCCTAAATCGGACAAAAAGTGAAATTAAATTATTGCAAGAGAATATTCATTTCTATGATCCAAATATGTGTATCTAAAGCCAGGTCCTTTTAATATATACAGCATTAGTCCTCGCATGAGCGCAAGTGGAACACGGAATAATGAAGTTTATCTTCAAGTAAACTTGAATCCTCGATCCTGATTGGTCGTTCCAAGGCAACAAGCCGTGCTACATATAACCATGTAACACGGCCACGGTCCATACCGCATTTCGCGTATTCCGCTGTTCCAAGATGCGAGCAACATTCCAGCTGCATACGCTAAACTGCCGAATGTTCGTGTAAAGCGTGCTCGTTTCAACTGTACTGCGCGTCAAGTTTGCTCGAAGATAAATTCGTTATCACGCTCGCGCTCGTGGAACACGGAAAATGTAGTGCGTCTGTGTCCCACACAGATGCACTACATTATTTTGTGTTCCACGAGCGGTTGCGGGATAACTTATAGTGTCTGTGTCTGGCGAGTGGCATATGGAACACAGACATTTTCCAAGTGAGTGTGATAACAAATTTTATCTTCAAGCAAACTTGATGCACAGTAAAGATGGAATATGCACGCTTCACATGAACGTTTCAGTGGTTAACCTATGCATTCCGCAGGAATGGCGGGCACATCTTAGAGCAGCGTGATGCACGGAGTGCGATATGGACTGGGGCATATGGGATAATACCACACTGTTGTTGCCATGGATTGACCAATCAGGATCAAGGATTCAAGTTTGCTTGAGGTCGAATATGGCCCATGCCTCTGTGTTCCTCTGGATTCCGTGGCATGGAATAACTGAATGAATATCTCTTTTCAAGTCCATCGCAGGTTACTCCCCAGCTAATGCGAGAACACATTTTCCACTCCTTGGTGGAAAGAGGCAAGTTCCCTTAGAAGTATAATTAAAGTGTCTTGCCCAGCAGGACCACAGCGTATGCCTGGCAGCTGGATTTGAACCCATACTAGAAATGTGTGTCACCAACCCTTTGCCTTAGGAATAGAGTGGTAATTTGACCATCTTTGGAGGCTATACTATACCACCCAAAGCAGTCAATATGATACCACCCAAAGCAGTCAATAACCTCACCCACAGATTCTGAATCTTGATTGGCTGAGAGCGAATCACATGGTAATACATAGATCACCTCGGGAGGCTAGTTTGACTACACCACTCAAAGCAGTCAATATTTGTATACTATACCATGCAAAGCAGTACATAATACCTAAGTCTTATATAGCGCACGTATCTACCAACAATTAGGTACTCAAGGCGCTGGAAATTATGTCTATTACTAGAGACGGGTAAATGAAGTACATGGGAAATATGAGACCCATTATGTAGCACCTTTATAATGGTTTACAAGGTGCTGCGGCGCATTAAGCAGCCACTCCCAGAAACACCGGGGCAAACCCCTTCTCTTAGCGATAAGTGTTACTGGGTTCTTTAACGTGCATTACACAACACACGGGACCTACGGCTTTACGTCCCATCCGAAGGACGAAGCAATAATGGTAAAGTGCCTTGCTCAAGAGCACAAGCACCATGTTCCCACGGTCAGGATTCGAACCCATGCACCACGGCATACGAGTCGAACACCGTAACCATTGGACCACAGCACCCCACTTGTACATGTATGTGTACTATACCATACAATAACAGAACCCAGTATTAGTCCTGTCATGTCAGCCTATACCTGGGCATGCAGTTGGTCTTGGAAGTCTATCTTGTTCCTGAGTGACTGTTGCACATCCTGCGCTTCAAGTCTAAGTGCTGTCTCCTGGTCCAGCCTAGGCGAGAGGCGGGGATAGTGAAAGGAAGAGGGGGGATGTTTAAGTTTGGTTATTAATCCATCAGATATTGTAATCAGACTGACATTGTGAATATCAATCATAACTGTGGCTCTTTGTACTATCCGATGAGTTCAGGCAGTTCCAAAAATTATAAGCCTGATGATTCTGTATTAACTTAGTTCATTCCTAAAAATATGAAATAAGACAAGTAAGCTACCTCCTTTGCGTGTCTGCGGAGTGGTGTTGCAATGCGGCGTGATCGTCTTCGATGTCTCTTAGCTTCCGGGTCAAGTCTTCACCTTTGGCCCTTGCCTGTTGGAGGTCACCGTCCTTCTGACTGCAGAGTCTCTGCAGAGCGGCAATTTCGTCGGCTAGGGCCCGGCCGCGCTGGTTCTCGACGGACAATCTGTCAAAATGAGAGCATATTATGTTGTGTTCAAAATTTTTAGCTGATAGTGTTATAACAATATAACTTGTGTGACGCTCGCCTTTCACAGCTGTGGGCTGGGTTCGATTCCCGTCTCGGATCATACATGTATATCAGTAGATAGTTCGTCACGTCAGTGCAACAAGGTCATCACTCCATTCTGCAACAAAGTCGTATCTCGTGCATATATACGCTCCATGCAACAAGGTTGTATCTCAACGTCCATTGACTTTGTGTGTACATCCGGGTTATTTTAAGTGAGATACATGTACGACCTTTTGACATTCTGAAACTGATAAGTGATACGACCTTGTTGCACGGACACAACAAGTTATGTATTAATTGATTCGCTCCTGTGCCAATAAGGGTTTCACTCTGGCTTCGCCGGTTTGCTTCCCTCTGCAAAAAAAAAACACTTTTGATCTGGCTGTGCTCCGTGGTCAAGACTTGGGTCGTATGGCCGCTGCCTAAGGTACCTTAAAATGCCTTCGGCTCGACCATGTTGTAGCTGCGTCCTACGCAATTCAGCCTCTGTTTCGAGTAAGGATGATTTAATGGCCCCCTCATTTTTTATTAAATCCTTTTTTTTAATATAAAAATACACACCTGTCCTGAAGATCAGTGGCCAGCTGCTTGTTGCGATGAGCCTGCACTTCGGCCTGATTTCGTCCAGCCATCTCGTCTTCAACCTTCCGTCGTTCGTTGGCCAGTTCCTTCTCGTACATGCTCTTGATAGCTGCGACTTCATCCTCCAAGACACGCATTGCATTGAGGAGTGCTGAGGAGTCAATCTGAATGCACAGAAAGAATAATTTCCGTTTTGATAATTCTTGGTCGATATTTAGGTTTGAGAATCAATTCCAACTCAGAATCAAAAAAAATTGGGGAAAAAAACATGGTTTCACAAAAGGAAAAAGCAATGTCACTTCATTTTGAAATTTCTTCACAAAACTTACTATAAGCAGGGTTCGACTTTAGTGGTAGCCCGCTAGCCAAATAATAGTCAAAACAGCAGCGGGCTATTCAAACTATTCCTTAGGTAGCTCGGCTGGCGAGTCAACAATTATTGGGCACCGGCAAAGATGAAAGGACAGGAAGAATTAAATTATTAAATTCAGAAAGCAAACCTGTATCAATTTGTGTCTAATTCTATTAACTATTTAGGGTTAAAATTATGAGATCTGTTTATTAAAAACACTGACAGGATTGTCTCAGGATACACGTTTTTAATACATGTATGCACATCATTGTTTATGAGACACTCTATAGAAGAAAAACATGCAAGCTAGTGAAAATGCCGCAGGCTAGTTAAGAGTCTGTTTTAGTAGCCCGGCTGGCTAGAGAACAAAAAAAGTTAAGGTTGAACCCTGCTAAGTGAATTAGAATGCACTTAGTTAAAAATCTGACTAAGATCATCAAATTTGGTTCAGACAAATTTGTGGTCAGAGAATGTCGGATACAACTGACTGAATGTTCACCCGCCGTGTCATTCAACTTACATTATTAGCCTCTTCCCGCATTTTGCGGACCTTCGCGATGTAGTTCTGAACTCGATCGTTCAGATGTTGCAACTCAGCCTTCTCCTGTTGCCGCGTCATCGGCGCCGGCGGAAAGACGTGGCCACTCATCCTGGTAAACTAAACAAAAAAATTACAATAAATCACTTAAAATATAAATGTTTTCATTTTTAATTTATACTTTATAATAATATTGTAGTGGCTATTGATACGGCAGCCGTAACGTGATTTTCAACTGCTATCGTTACGGTATTGCGAAATCACCATTGCGAATCTATATCACATTTCTAACCACCTGCCCAGCCAGAATGCTCAATTTTTTTTTTTTAGTTTTCTTTACTTTCATGTTTTTATCAAATCTTTTTTTGTTTTAAGTAGATTTCATTTTCTTCGTAGTCCGTGGCTTTGGGGGATTTTTTTAAAGGAATATAAAGTACGAGAACCTTTCGGTTGTGTTCCAATAGCCAAAGATCCTGATGTTGAAAACTATTATTAGTATTTAACCAGATGGTTCCGCAATGATAGCAGTTGAAAATCCCATTGCGGCTGCCGTAACAATAGCCACTGCCATGACTGCATAATAAATTTATAGGTCCAGCAATTTTCATGTATCATTTCATGTTTTTCCTACTCCTAGTCCTAGAACTATGAGGCTCCACGTGGAGCCTCATACCACTACGTGGAGCCTCATACCACTACGTGGAGCCTCATAGTTCTAGGAGTATGTTTTTCCTATAGGCTAACTTAATTGGGGGTCAGACAAGTCGACCGTTGAGACAACTCGACTCGGGACAAGTCGCCCGTTGAGACAACTCGACCGTTGAGACAACTCGACCGTATGTGCGATAAATGGAAAGACAAGTCGACCGTTGAGACAAGTCGCCTCACATGTTTTTGGGCCTAGTTTTGGAAATAGTACCGGGGATTTTGACGGCGGCTGATCGCCGTTTGGGAGTTATGACACAGATATAGCGCAGTGTGATTGTCCGTGCACATCGTTCGTTTTTGCCGGGCCTGTGCGCGCATCTCCGGTGCACGTTAGCTGTCTCAACGGTCGAGTTGTCCCGAGTCGAGTTGTCTCAACGGTCGACTTGTCTCAACGGTCGAGTTGTCTCAACGGTCGACTTGTCCCGAGTCGAGTTGTCTCAACGGTCGACTTGTCTGACATTCACTTAATTGATCCAGATATTTCATTTCAACCCGTCAATTTTGGTTATCAATTAATCAAATCTGAATCACAATGTGAAAAGACAAAAACAATGAGCAGTACAACTGTATTATTATAATTTCACTGATTTCAATTCTAACTTCTATTTTCTAAGTCATTTGACAACCACCCGAGTTCTGACAACTTCAAACTAGTAAAGAGTAAAGTAAAAAGTTCAACTTCTTCATGTTTTTTGCTGAGAAAATTGTCCAACTCACCTTTAATTTCTCCACTAAATTAAATCGAAAACCCAGAAGCGATCGCCTTTATACTCAAGTAAGATTCTCAGCTAATCTCTTCCTGAGCAAACACCAACTTTTAATCCGCCATCTCATGATCTGTATATCCCGTGTTAATTAATGAAAACACCTGTTGAAGCTGAACGCACCTGTTGGCAAGGCGGCTTTTGTGTAAATTGTAACCAAGGCACTCAACGACCTTTGATCCATGCGACTCGACTGAGTTGAGTTGACCCGGAAGACTGATCATTTGGCATGTTCCACTTAACTAGAGTGATACTTACAAACAAGCAATTTATATATTTCATAAAATTACCACAATAGGTATGTTTTCGTGATACTGCACTAAAATAGTTATGTTTAAAAAATCATAAAATTAAATAATAATATAATCTGTTTTCACAAAATATATTTCCTATTCAATTCGATAAAACAAACCCCCTACAATAAATAATGCACTCTTCTATCTACTTGTGGTACTGTTTTATGTATGAAAGTAAAATATGAATTTTTATTATTCCAGATAATGTAAGAACTCTCTTGATGGATGCAAAAAAAGCGCAGAGAAAAGGTTCCAGAAAATCACATCACAAAACGTTGTAAATCCCTTAAATTTAATGAAAGATTTTGTCATAGTGGAACATTTAAAAAACATAAAACGGTCGTATGAGAAAAGAACGCTAATTAAAACACGCTGGCGCACAAATTGTAGACGGAAACCAGCGACAATTTGTGTTTGAACTATCCTTTACAGAATCGCTGCGCTGGTACTTGGCAATACGGAAGCGCGTACATTGAAAGCCAACTCGACAAGCTCGATGTGTTTTCAAGGGAGGAAAAGAAAAAGGTATTTTATATTTATTTCTTAACATTTTCACTTGTTAAAACCTGAATGTGATAACACCATTGTAATCTATATTAGTTGATTCTTCACTAGCATTAATTGCATGGCAGAAACCTTCATCTTACAGACATATTGAAGAAATCAATGATGCAGTACATGTGCATCATTCATTTTGTTGCATTGAAATTGGGGCGACTTGGTCGTGGTTTTTTCCTTCAACGTTAAGTTATACATAAATGGGGGCGACTTTGGTTTTGGTAGCGCAAATTATCATCGAAACTTAAGCCCCACAGATCACAGGCGTTACAATTTTATACAAATTTCCAGCGAATTACCAGACACCATTTTGTTGGCTATTTACTAATTTAGGTAATCGTGTGGTTTTTTATTTTTTTATTTTAGGACACCTCTAATCTATTATCTATGAATGTTGGACAACTCGTACCCGAGACAATTCGTACCCGAGACAACTCGTACCCGAGACAATTCGTACCCGAGACAATTCGTACCCGGGACAACTCGTACCCAGGACATCTCGTACCCGGGACAACTCGTACCCGAGACAACTCGTACCCGTCTGAAAATAAAACACTGTGCAGCGTACTCGTATCTGTGCCTTACTTGTGCCGACTGTTATCATACTTATTTTCAACCAATTAGGCTGAAAAACAGAGTAGTTCTGCTTCCGGTTACCCGACCGACCCTATCTTTAGGCTGCTACCCTAAACATTTTATTAAAAAAAATATTAAAAAAATTGAATAAATAAAAATAAAACCCTTTTCTATAAAAAAATGCTTGTATTTATTTGTTTTCTTACTTACATTCGCTTTTTTTCTAAAGAAACCTCCGTTAATTTTACAAATTCGCTTCGCGATATAGCTACTTCGCAATGCGATGTCACGGCGACTATAATCACGTGGCGACGACTGGTTCCCGCCGCGCCGCGGCCTATTAAGAAGACATGATGAAAATGCGGTAACCAGTCCATAGCTATGCGACCGATAGCACGCTAGCAGTGCAGGCCACTGTCAACTGGTCGGATTCGACATCGTAAAAATGCCAAGAAAGAACATTTTTGCAAGTTAATTTACAGAAAATTATTGATCTAGCTTGTCTGTGTATGTATTTTCTGTGTTCAAGAGTTCATTTTGAGATCGCACTACTCGTATTTGGAGTGATACATGCCGCGTGTTTCCCAAAATTTTTGACCATAAAAACAGGTCTGTCGGCCCATGGTGGGCCGCTCGCCAAACACGCACGCATCACACACCAGCTCCCCGCGTCTTGACTAGCATATGGTGCGAACGACCTGAATTTTCCATTATTTTTTTGAAATTATCGAGCGTAAATATATTTACAATAATTAAAGGTAGTTTTTATTCACTCTTTGTTGCCATTTCGTGTATAACTTCCGTAGTGCAATGGAAATAGTTCAGGCTAAAAACTTCGCATATAATTGAATACCCCATTAAATCTGCATTAAAAAAAATGGCAAAAAGAAAAAAAGATTCGCACAAATCTCGCAGGTCCAGCTGGCAAGGACGTCTGGATCGCTGACAATCCGGACGTACTCATCAGCCGAAAAACCCGTGTTGCACGCCCGATGCTGCCACTGGTCGCAGACATCGCACTGGAATGCCTGCTGGTTGCGACGGACGTTCGTGTGGCAAATGACGCAGGGAAACTTGGACGGCATCTTGGTCTTGATCTTGATTCTTGAATCTCGCAAAGTGACTTGGAAAGCTATATCCGACTTGGACTGGCCTCATCTAGATGCTGATCTCTGACGACGTGCCCCTTTTATAGACATATGATGGATTCTGGGCACTTTTTAATCCACCAATCGCTTTCCAGATTTCTCTTTTTTTTTTGAAGAGCCGCCACCCAATTGGCGACGTCGCGTTCCACGCATCGGGGTTGCACGCCCCAGTAGCTGGCGTGGGCGGCCCCGATCAAACGGGAGCGGCGTCTTCAGAACTATCCATTGGGCCAGAACACAATGACTCGCTAAACGTGGCATCTCACGCTACTTATACAAGGCTAACAATAGTAATTAAGTGGCTTTTTAATTATTTCACATAGGCAAAGATTGACACGCTACTCGGATTGTTGATGGTATGATGATTTGTGTTGATTGAGTTATCCCCGTAAAATAAAACCCCATGAAATGAAAGACAAAATTAATGTCATAAAAGCTGTAGAAGGTGACATAATTATGTAACATTTCATAATGACTCGGTACACTTATTTAGTAATGCAATAACTGAAGATCAAATAAGTTACGAGCAAACTCCGCCCTAGTAGCTGGCGTTATAGCCCTGCAAACGGGAACACAATGACGTGTGAAACATGGCATCTCACGCTACTCACTAATTTTAATGAATCGGTCCACTTATTTTAGAAATAAGTTTTCGCAATAAATGAAGATCAAATAAGTTAAGAAGCTCATGATTGCTATAGCTCCTTCCGCGAATTCGGCGAACTCCGCGATCATCGGCCAGCTGCCAGAATCTCTCCAGAACAATCTCTTGCTTGTCACCACTGGCAATTCCCCAAAACTCAACGGCTTTTGGTTTTCCACATCTTCGGATTTGTCAATTACATCTAACTAAAAAGGAACAGAAAAGTAAATGGTAAGAAAAGTACAAAGTACGAGTCGTCCCGGGTACGAGTCGTCCCGGGTACGAGTTGTCCCGGGTACGAGTTGTCCCGGGTACGAGTCGTCTCGGGTACGAGTTGTCCCGGGTCACAAATTTGGGGTACGAGTCGTCCCGGGTACGAGTTGTCCCGGGTACGAGTTGTCCCGATACCTTATCTATAGGGCCCTACTAAGTTTAAGCCTTAGCAATAGCATGTTTTGTTACTTTAGGCTCTAGGCCCTATGTCTATCCATAGAGCAAGGGTCTATCCTCGATATCGACGACATGCATGCAGACATGTGTCTAGGTAGGCAGATAGGGAGGCTTTTGGAATATTATATTTTCTACATGTGATTTGTGTTTGATGTGGTTTTGTAGAACGCAGTGGCTATTGTTACGGCAGCCGTAACGCATTTCCCATTTTCTATCGTTACGGTAGACTGCAACTTTTATAAAAACATGACAAGAAAATATAAAATTAGAAGGAAAAAAGTGAATTTGAACGTTATGAAATTCGGACTTTATTTCCCTTTAAAAAAAAATCCTCCAAAGCCTCAAGTTAGAAAAGGAAAAAAATTTGAGTGCAAAACTGAGATTCGAACCCGCAATCTCGCGGTGCAAAATTCTACCATCTAGCGACTGCTCGCTAAATCGTGTGGGAACAAATAATTATATACCTGCGTGCGTATCAAAAAAGTATCGTAGAGGGCGCTAAACAACGACTGCCGTAACGATAGCCACTTCGTTTGTAGAAAATAAATAAATTAATGGATTTCGTCGAAATCTGCAAACCAAAGAAAAATGGATTTAAACCAGGTATTTTTTTGAGACACTGTGAAATGTGTAGGCCTACGTTTAAAATTGTGATTACGTTGTATACGAAAAGGAGTGCAGAAACATGATAGAAATGCCTAAAACTCATATTTTCTAAAAATCTTTGTCTTTATTCATTCTTATTTCAATAAATACAAGGCAGATGGCAATATCAAAAATTCTGATATTTGAATACAATTAAAAAGAGCATTAGGAATGAGCAAAAAAAATGAAAAATAAACATTTTAATCACAATTTCCTTTTCAGGAAAAGAGTCGCTTACATTGTACATTGTACATATGTAATGAACAGCGCTCTCACACATTTTCTAATGTGGTTATCATGTCGGCAATCATGTAGTTACGGGCCCAGGCTCTTTTAGTCTTTAGTTATGATCAAATTAAGGCCGTTTTTTTATCATTCACCAATCAAGCTACATTTGTACAAAAGCGTAGTCTAGGAGCTAGACGTTGTTAATGGTTGATATGCGATAACCCGCCGCCGCGAGAGGGCACTATCACGACCAACCAATATCACCCACGGACTTGTCAGAACAACGTCTAGGGAAACTGCTGAAATCGCCCCCCGAAAAATGGGGGAAACTAGTGTGTATGCGCGACTTCTGCAGGCAACTACGGTCCATTTTCATTCCCACACACACATGTACTACACACAACAAAAGAGCTGACCAGTGAAGTTGCACAGAGGTCTTGCTCCATCTTTCATTACATTGGAAAAAATGTTGGAGTTTGCTTTGGAACTACTATAATTTTTTTGAAATGCCCGCTGCATATATTAGGCCAAACAGGTGTGCGCGCATGACACAACCAATATGAGTTTCTCTAGACGTTGTTCTGGCGATATTGTTTGGTCGTGATAGCGTCCTCTGGCCGCAGTGGGTTATCGCGGCTGCGGGTTATCGCGTATCAAACCATTAACAACGTCTAGCCCCTAGACTAACAAAAGCACTGTGGTGGGAAGGGCAGAACTTTGTAAATGCGATATTGATTCGTAATGGTGTTTTGCTATGCTGTAAAGATAGCAGCTGAACATCGCATTACTGCTGCCATAACAACAGCCACTATGTTCTGCTAAACCAATCCATGCTATTTTCAACATTATTGAGTCACATAATTGACAACGTAAGCTTTAGTACGCTTACAAGTTACATGTAGTTAATGTTTAATCAGAAACTTTTTTTCAAATTTTCATGATTTTGTTTGAAAACACAATCCAAGGTTTACAACTTGTTTGTCTTCTAATCTATTTGTCCCAATCATGAAGCTTTTGGTTTTTTTCAGCATGAAATATTCATTGACCTTTTTTCCTTCTTTTTATCTCCTTCTTTTTTTCTCATTTAGTGCAATTAAACTTTGAGGCTGAAGTAAGCACGCATTAGAAAACAAACAAAAATATATAACATGTCTCACTGGCGTGACCACGGCCCGCTGCCCTGCAAGGTCTACGTCGGCAACTTGGGCTCTGGAGCAGCGAAGCACGAGCTGGAGAGAGCGTTTGAATACTACGGGCCCCTCATCAATGTCTGGGTGGCTCGGAACCCGCCTGGCTTCGCTTACGTGGAGTTCCAAGATCCTCGGGATGCAGAGGACGCTGTGAGAGGGCTGGATGGACGGTAAGAAAGTGGAGGTTTTTCCCCGGTCGACCATTTCACGGATACCGTCATCTTTGCGATCATGTGGTAATCTTCGGGGGCATTTGATTACAAATATGTCCCATCATGATTGAGCAAAGTCGGACACATTTTCTGATGAAAAATGTCCCCAAAGATTACTGAATGATTACAAACGTGGTATCCGTAAAATGGCATTTGTTCTGAATTGTCAGGCATTTTAGTCTTTGGGGAACTGGAATTGTTAGGCTGAATAAAAACAAAACATGTTTCTCGTCCGGGTTTTTGAAAAAAGGAGGAAGAGGGGTTTTTTATTTTTTATTTTTTTTCAAGATGGCCACCATTTTAAAATTTCCTGCAACCATTGGTGTTTCCACTGTTCAAAGACACTTTTAAAATGAAAGACAAGTTGGACAAGAGAACTGAACATATTTACAGTGTCATTTAGAGTTAGAGTTGTATTGGTTGTATTTCGCAGTACTTATTTTTCCGATGAATTTGTGGACTTTTTCAGTGTTTCTTTACTGCATTTTTCAAAAATAAAAAATAATAAAAAAAGCCAGGCAGCCTCCAAAAAGGAAGCGGGCGGGGACGAGAAACATGTTTGTTTTTTTACTTCGCCTTACTTCTGGAAATTGATTCTCGCATTAAGGATGGAATTTGCTCCATTGGATTCCCTCCTTGAGTCGCCCAACCCTAGCTAGGGTTCCCAGCCACCCTGGAAATCTGGGAAAACCTTGCAAATGAGCTTCAATTCATCCCAGTAAGGGAAAACTCAGGGAATTTGGGGTGAAAAAAACCCCCAAAATAATGGAAAACTCAGAGAATGTGACAGTGACCCAGAAACAAAAGGTATTTGCGAGTTTGGCGTATGTGCGTCTTGTGCCATGTGTCCAAGTAGTGTTTATGCATTGTGAATATTATCAGTACCGGTATCTTTGTCTTTTTGCTGCAGCCACGTTCCTGACTTCCCAGCAACCTCGTTAAAGTGGACATATTTCTCATGGAAGTTTGAAAATTGCTCGTGGAAATATCGGGGAAATGCAGGGAAAACACTTTATTTTCATAAAGTCCTGGGAACCCTGCTAGCTTGTTTAGTATCAAATAGTTCTTCTTTCTAATATCCAGGAAAGTTTGTGGGAGGCGTGTCCGAGTAGAGCTGGCAAAGGGGCGGCAGTCAGATAGACGTTCCCGACGTGACGGCCCACCCCCGCCCACAATCCGATCCCGATACAGCGGAGGAGGAAGGTAAGAACATATCACATATTGTCTGAGCATATCCCAGATTGTCTGAGCATATCACAGATTGTCTGAGCATATCCCAGATTGTCTGAGCATATCCCAGATTGTCTGAGCATATCGCAGATTGTCTGAGTATATCCCAGATTGTCTGAGCATATCCCAGATTGTCTGAGCATATCCCAGATTGTCTGAGTATATCCCAGTTTGTCTGAGCATATCCCAGATTGTCTGAGCATATCCCAGATTGTCTGAATATGACAGATTGTCTGAGCATATCCCAGATTGTCTGAGCATATCCCAGATTGTCTTAGCATATCCCAGATTGTTTGAGCATATCCCAGATTGTCCGAGCATATCCCAGATTGTCTGAGCATATTGTAGATCATCTGAGCATATCCCAGATTGACTGAGCATATCCCAGATTGTTTGAGCATATCCCAGATTGTCTGAGCATATTGTAGATTGTCTGAGCATATTGTAGATTGTCTGAGCATATCCCAGATTGTCTTAGCATATCCCAGATTGTTTGAGCATATCCCAGATTGTCTGAGCATATCCCAGATTATCTGAGCATATCCCAGATTGTCTGAGCATATCCCAGATTATCTGAGCATATCCCAGATTATCTGAGCATATCCCAGATTGTCTGAGCATATCCCAGATTGTCTGAGCATATCACAGATTGCCTCTAACTTACTACAGTGTTGTAAGACTTTAAATGACTTCTATTTTTTAGGATCTTTACGGGAAAAACTCTTGTATATATCATCAGGCATGCAGCGTTTCCTCGGATCAACTGATTCTCTTGTTTTTCGCTTCATACTTATAAATGCATTAAAAATTGAAAAACACTCTGTATAAAGTCTTGTAAAGCATGGAATTTGCTCTTTTCTTTTCTTACTTCCAGTTGCATGTCTGATACAATTCAATTCTACTTGCACTTGATAAAAAAAAATACAAAAATATTACCACTTGTCTTAACAACTGTTTTGATTTTGAAGATTTTTTTCAAATGGTGTTTTTTTTAAAACACAGTTTCTAGTTGATAGAATTCCAAATTTAGAATATGTGTATGTATTTCTACACCCTAAAATGTACATGATTTTAATGCATATTTTGTTTCTGATAGAAATGGTTTGGCTGATTAAAGATTAATTAAAACAACAAATTTTGCTTTGTTTTCTGTTTATAAAAGGATAATACACTGTAAATGTACTTAACTTCTTAACCCCATATTTTCTTCCCCTGAAGTAAAGAAAAGTCATGATGTCTTCCATTTTTTATTATTATTAAATCGTGGCCTGTTTTTTCTGATCTGATCTGCTGACCCCCACAGGATAATGATAATGTCACCTCAACCAATCATCTCTCATTCTCACCGCCATGTGACAACTCTTGTCCAATCAGCACCCAGTCTTCTCCTCTGACCTTAACAACCAACCAACAACCAACCAACCAACAACACCACCACAACCCAACGCCTCTTCCCAGCATGCATTGCTGCTGGTCGATCGCAACGCTGCGGCAACACAACACAACAATTTGGCCGTTTTTCTGACCACGTTTACGGACATCCAAACCATCCCAACACAACAACATCGCCCAACGTTTGCAGATTTTGGAGAAAATCTCCCCAATTTGGTCCATACACATCGGAATTTGCCGACGCGGCGCTCTTTTCAGTCACCCTTCGCTGTTGTCGACAACAAATGCTTCAAAACCCTTGCTTCTTTGCAAAGCTGTGGTGGTGGTTAGTGCTTTTGTGTTTAATAAGTGTTGAATATGAGGCGAGCCCTCTGGGAAACGGATGTATCTGTTGGTGTTTAAGTAAGTGTCATATTTAAGGAATTCAGAGAGATTGTGCTCCGCATTTACTAACAACTCGGCCTTTCCACTAGGGCAACATTGCTACAATGTAGCTTGTTAAATGGGTTTATTTTGATTCAGTAGTGTTACTGCTGTAGAGGTTTGACGAGTGTGCTGTTTTTTTCCGGTACAGAATTAAGTAACACGTCAAATCATCATTATCGAGTTGTACACAGCAGCCAAGTTCATTTTGATGAGAGAATTTACAAGAATTGAGGCTTTGCATTAATTTTTTGCTTTTTTGTCTCTTTGGCTCCCCATACAAGTACCACACTATCAATGCTGATCTTAGCTTTGCTGTTTGTTATTAAAGTGATTAAGCTACCAAAAAAAAGGAAAAAGAAGAAAAGATAGAATTTGATTACATCCTTTTAAAACGATATGCAAGCCACCTCTGAAACTTTAACTTCTTGGATATCATTTTACTAGGATTCTTCCTGAATCTTACAAAATCCACCACTTTCTTGGTTACTCAAACTTCCAATGGTCTCCGGGTCCCATATTGGCCAGACTCGGCTTTTCTTAAAGGGTTCACGAAATGATTTTCTCTCCAGAACTCATTTTGTACAACTTTCTACTGCTCTTAAATGTATAAAAACCACTTCACATCCCTTTTTGGTTTATTTTATTGAAATGTGCACTTCTTTAAACATTTTAAATCGCCATGCTTTTCCGGACAACTGCGGGGGCTGTTTCTCTGATGTCATTTCAGCAAGACACTGCAGTTTAGGAGTTTTCTGTTCAAATTGTGAACCCAAACAGTTGCTCATTGAAAACATCTGTGAGAAAAGCTTGCTCATTGGCTTACTGCCATGTACTGACACAACAAATCACCACAGAAGAGAAAATTTACGAGAGCAATATTCTAGCAACTGTTGGTGCTGAAATAGCTGTAACATTAAGGTTTCTGCCTGAAATGACATCACACTTTTGCTCATGAATATGGAAATTGGCATAAGCATAAAAACCAAAAACGACACCAAAATACCCTTGAAAATGGCGAAGCGACCTTGAAAATAAGGTTAAATAGGACACAAATGTACTTTTCAAGAATTGGAATAAAAAAAATTACGTTGCATGTGCCCTTCAATCCTGCAAAATCCTCCATAATCCTGTCTGATTTTGAAGGGTCTGGGAAGGGTTAGAGTGTTTAGGCTTCAGACTTGTCTGGCAGAACAAAATGCCACACGTGTGGTAAATCGTAGGGTCAATTGATATCACTGTGTTCTTGCAACGTGACACTGCAACACGATACAAACTCACCACATGACTGTGTCACTATGAAGTGCTGCAAGGTCCACCCATAAGTAAGTACATGTGGTAGAGGGATTGCATGGGGTCCGCTCATAAGTCCGACGCCTCATAGGTCCGACGCCTCATAAGTCCGACAAAATTGCATCCCCTAACCAAATAAAGGCCCATAAGTCCTACGCCTCATAGATCCGACGCCTCATAAGTCCGACGCCTCATAGCTCCGACGCCTCATAGCTCCGACGCCTCGTAAGTCCAACAGATTAAACGCCTTGTTTTTCCGTTGTCGGACTTATGAGGCGTCGGACTTATGAGGCGTCGGACTTATGAGGCGTCGGACCTATGAGGCGTCGGACTTATGATACGGCTGCCTCATTAGTCCGAAATTTCGGACTTACGAGGCAACGGACCTATGAGGCGTCGGACTTATGATACGGCCCCGATTGCATTATGCGCTGTGCATATGTTTATTAAACTCCTAAGTGAAGCAAACCAAAAACAAAACAAAAATCAAGTGGTTGTGATAAAAAAAGGCGAACGGAAAGGTTGCATTTTAGCCACGAATGTGTTGTAATAATCACTGTGTTTTTTCCTCTCAGATATGGTTCCCCATCCCGCAGGGATCGATACAGTAGATCAAGAAGTCGCAGCTTGGAAAAGAAACAGTAAGTTTTCTAGGAACATTTTTTCCTCTTAGGTTCGTAGAGGATCCTGAACCCTAACCTGCATCAGGTTTCTCTTCAGGTACCATGCTAAGTGCAACAATATCCAACACAACTGAAAGGAGAGAACCCTGCTGAAAGCAACAAACTTCAACAGTGGATTCTGTTGCATTGTGCAGTGAATCCAGTACACACCAGCCTTGGCACAAAGTAGTTGCCCTGCTAAATGCAACAAACTTCAACAGTGGATTCCGTTGCATTGTGCAGTGAATCCAGTACACACCAGCCTTGGCACCCAGCAGTTACCCTGCTAAATGCAACCAAATGCAACAGTGGATTATGTTGCATTGTGCAGTGAATCCAGTACACGCCAGCCTTGGCACCAAGCAGTTACCCTGCTAAATGCAACCAAATGCAACAGTGGATTATGTTGCATTGCGCAGTGAATCCAGTGCATACCATCCTTGGCACCCAGCAGTTACCCTGCTAAATGCAACAAACTGCAACAGTGGATTCTGTTGCATTGCGCAGTGAATCCAGTACACACCAGCCTTGGAACCCAGCAGTTACCCTGCTAAATGCATCCAAATGCAGCAGTGGATTCTGTTGTGTCGCCTTGGCACTATGAGCAGTTACCCTGCTAAATGCAACCAAATGCAACAGTGGATTCTGTTGTATCGCCTTGGCGCTATGAGCAGTTGCCCTGCTAAGTGCAACACGATGCAACAAAGCATGTGGACTTGAGTTGCCTGCTAAATGCAACAGTATGCAACAACTGTTACCAGTGTTGCTTCCTGTTGCATTTAGCATGGTTAGGGTAAAAAAAAAAAAAACACACACAAAAGATGTGCTATCCGTGAAAGAACCTTATATTGAACCCCTGTCCTTTTGGTGTACCTATAATGCATATTAGTTGGACATGCCAGTGCACACAAGATGAATTGTATTGAAGGATGTTTGGACTCGCCAGCCATGAGAATTCTGGAGGATATAAGATGCCATTAGAAGGCTTATTGGTCAGCAACGGAACCGAGTCAGAGGGGTTAGGATGGCCGGGGTTGCTAGAAACATACTGGAGCCATGGAGCAAGGGTTAAAGGTGCTTGCCAATAAATCATTCGTAATATTTTTTGTTTCAGCCGCCGTTCCAGCCGCCGTTCGCGTTCCCGGTCCAGAGATCGACGCTACAGGTCGCGGTCCCACGAGCGCAGGTCCCGCTCACACGAACGCCGGTCCCGCTCTCACGAACGCCGGTCGCGCTCCAGCTCCCGCGGTCGCAGATCCCGCAGCAGTTCTAGAGACCGGAAGGAAAGGTATGGTCCCTTTAATTTAAAACCTGCCGAGTCGAAAATTTGCTAAGCGCAGAAAATATGTGCTGAGCAGAAATGGGTTACCAGCCAAAATGTCATGCTATGTATATTGCTTTGTCTGGTACCCAGATGATTTGTGCTTAGCATGTACATTTGTTAAGCAACATTGTATGCTTAGCAGCGCCATGAGATTGGGCTCTGTGCCCAATTTGTGACATTTACACATTTTGAACATTTAATACAACATTTGCTTTTGCTGTAATTTTCGTCGGGGATCATCGTTGGAAATTGATACGAAAATTCCACTTTTCATGAAAATGACTGCACACCAGGTGCCATGGTTTCGTAGGATGCTTGGCAATAATTCACTAACCGTCAAGTAAGGTATTTCACGATAATTTGGTAGTTCTGTTTTTTGATGTTTGCTCATGTTGTATATAACCTTTAGCTGAAAAACACAGTCCATTCGATACTTATTGTTCAAAACCCGAACCCATATTTCTAAACGAGAGGCATCATAACATAACTTTCCGAAGATTTGAATTCGGAACATGAACACTCTGATGTTTGAATTTTAGTTAACAGCAACTGTGACTAAGGACCAACTGTTGCAGTCATGCTAAGTGGCTCCAGAGTCTGGTCAGTGGAAATCAGTGCTTAAAATTTGCCTGTCGGAAACCAAAATCTATTTCGGTGGACCAGAGTCACTCCTATTTGTTTCAGCACGATTCTGATACGTAAGTCTGAAACAGGGGTAACTTTCTGTCTTTGGTTAACAGCTTTTTTGTCTGGTTTTTCTTTTCAGATCAAGATCGCGGTCAAAGTCACGGTCAAAGTCACGGTCGCGATCGCACTCCTCCAGCCATGGCCGCAGCAAATCGCGGTCGCCGGACCGCAGAAAGGACGAGGACCGATCGGATCATGCGCGAGAACAAGTCGCTGACCGGCAAGACCAACGCAACGGCGACGAGAACAGGGATTGTTGCAGCGCCGAGAAGGAGGTCGATGCATCAGAGGATGTGCCAGTGGAGTAGCTCAAGTAGAGAGTGATCCATTATTTTATTAGGGGGTCGCATGAGAAGGGGAAAGAGAGGGGAGGGTTTACAATAAGAAAGTAGATCCAGGAGCATCCATTCTGTCTGGTGGGGGTGTAAATTGAGGGAGGGGATATCCAACATCAAGACATCCCAAAATCAAATTCCTTCAAATTTTGCACTTGGAAAATCCCCCATTCTGAAAAAAAAATCGCATCTGCACATTGAGATGCAACCATTTTCATTTTGAGGGGGGAAAACAGATTAATGGGAATCTGTAATTGTTACAGTAACGAAAAAGTTAAACCACTTTTTTTTGTCTTGCCTCAAGATTCAAATGTTGAATGGGACTGCACCTTTGTGCCTTTTTAGTTTTGAAAGAATAAATGTTCAGAATTTGTAGCTCACTCCTTTGTTGTTTTTAGGATGCTCTGTACAGTGGAATGCCGCTATAACGAACATCGCGGGATCCACAGAAAATGTTTGTAATAGTGATCATTCGATATAACGATTTTAAGCTGCTGGTGCTCCGGTTTTTCAATAAATGGCGCCCTTCATGTTCGACACTAAATGGCGCCCTTCATAACTTCACCGTGCATGCCCTGGTAGTTACTGAAAGACAACTTCGAACACGTGCCGACTATTAAATTATGTAATTACACAGTTTTGAGCTTACTACCTACATCGATGGGTGGCTTTCCCCTTCTATGCCTTGGGGAAATAATAGCCACTTGTCGCTCTTCTGTTGAAGGTTTTCAACAACAATGTTCGGTTGGTTTTGTGCACAAAAATCGGGAGCCAAGGACGATGTTTGGTATAGTCGAATGTTCAGTATAGCGGTGTTCGGTATAGCGACGTTCCACTTGTATATGTTTTTTTTAATCCTTAATTGTAGATTGCATGTGAACTTTTAGACTACTTGTGACAAGAGGGAAAGTGTACAGATATATGGTGAGGCAGTGTACTTGTTTAAGAATTGGTTGGTTGCACATCTTTGATGTAAATTTGTTTAAAGAGTGCAAGCTCCTTCACATGTAGTTTGTAGCAACCTCATTCCCAGGGGTAACTTTATTTTCAACCTCGTTTCTTCACTCGTACCCTCCGCCCTGCAAACAGGACGCTGGGATACTCTGATGAGCTTCACAGAATCTTGTGAAGGAAGTGGCCTATGACCTATGTATAAAGCATCTGGCTGCAGCTGTTCAAGACCGCAGTTAGACAATGTGAGCAAATGCTATCCGAAAACTTCCCATAGAAATGCACACGTTCCATACCGGATGTGATTTCTGTTTCATTGCGGACCATGTGGGCAAAATTTTGAGCGTCGCATAATGCAATCCGACCGTTCGTGATTCGAAACGGAGCCTGACCAAGTGACTGGAATTGTAAATTTACAACACAGATAAGTTTTACAGAATTTCTTACATAATTATGCTTTTCAACGAAAAAAGCCGTCTCTAAACTGGAATAAAAGAGTAATGAATCAGTCTTAACGGCCATTTCAAACCTTGCAGAGTCGTGACCGTGATGTCGCGCTGGTCACCGGTCACGCAAAATCCAACCAATCAGAGCGTGAATTCATCAGAGTATCCCAGCGTCCTGTTTGCAGGGCGGGGGGTACGAGCGAACCTCGTTTCCTGTAGTAACCCTTGGATGGGAAACTAGCTAAGTATCCTGATTGGATACAGCAATAGCAAGTAATGAATCGATATTGTGTACTTGTTACTCCTAACGTGTATTACGTATTTTAATGTTCAATGTGAATTATTGCATCCACTCCACCTCAAGAACTCTCTTTTTCATCTTGCTAATAATAACATATCATGTGATAGTCCATATTGGCTGGATAAGATTGTAACATTTTAATCCTGTTTTCAGATCTCACGCCACGATGAATTGATTCTTTGTTGTTTTTAACCCAGACACTGCATACCAAAACAAACACTGATTTAAAGCACAGCCAGGCACCAGACTATTTTTAAGTTGCATACATGGGCAAGATCTTTGAACATGCAAATGATCCAATACCAGGATGACTCAAGAGCTGTGGTGGGAGTGTACTGCTCGACACCGTGGGAACGAGGTTGAGCTTGTTGTATATAATCAGTCATATCAACCTTTTGTCATACACCCTTCCTTTTACCTTGTCATTACAGAAGTATTCCCTGTGCTATTTCAGTTGCTATTTTCCTAGCAATATAAAAGTTATTCACCTTTGAACGAGAAGTCGAACTAAAAAAAAACCTAGATTATTTTTTCCTGAATTATTTTTAAAAATAAAAATTTTGCAGCCTGACAGTATGTCAGGGCGGGTTGCTTTGTGCTAAAAATGAAAGCACTTTTTCAGAGGATTACAGACGCCCAAAATCGCTCAGAGTACAACGTGGACATTTTTTTAAAACAACCATACAGGGTGAGTCAAAAAGAGCAAAATCCAAATGTCGGTACTATTATTTTAAACACAACCACCGTTTTAAAGTTCTGTCCACAGATCACAAAAAGGGGGGGTTCTTTCAGCAAAACAAAAACAATTCACACACATCCTTATGTGATTTGTTTTCGTCTTGCTGAAAGAATACTTGCCTTCTTGTGATCCATGGACAGAACTTTAAAACGGTGGTTGTGTTTAAAACTCCGTAACTTGAAAAGTACACGAGTGATTTGAATTATCCTTGTACTAAAAGAAAGCATATGAATTGGGCTTTCATATCCTAGATTTTGAAAGTGCTACATGCAGAACTTCACTAAAACAATGGTCCCGACATTTGGGTTTCGGTTTTTTACTCACCCTGTAGTGTACAAATCAAAAATAGAGGGGGAACAAATAGTTTTTAAAGAACATGGGGCATCATCTTTAACCCTTGTACTGTTGGTGTAGTTTGTTCCAAGTCATTTGTGCATGCCAATGCACTCCAGCAGAAGTGCATTGAAGGATTTTTTGAGTCACCAGGCAAGTGATTTTACCACAAACACGACAGACTTGTTTACTTTGGTCTTTGTGTTTGTTGCCGACCAAAGAGTTTCCTCACAGCATGGCCCAGCTTTCTGTCAATACCCTTTGGCAGTTCTTGCAGTGTACTGTGGTTCACCCCAAAAGTACAGTGGCAGATATTGGAGGGCTGTGCAAAAAAAAACATGGGCGAGTCCCTTTTTCAAATACTGAAGCAATTTGGAGATAATGGAATTAAAAAAACAAACCAAAGTTGCCGTGAAATGCCATTGTCCAGGTTGTAAGTCATGCACCAGCACTCAAAAGTTTGTTTGATTCTGATGTTAGGTGTTTGTAACCCTTTTTTTGTCAATTTTTAAAAACAGCTTTAAGGTGAAAGGTTGCCCTCGTTGTGTACATGAAGTTTATTGAAAGCTTATAATGGATATTCATAAATAACTAAGACAGTTTACTCATTCCTATTGAGAGCCCGTCACGTGGCCAGTCACATGGCCGGTCTTAAACGGTTGATAAAACACAGGCTGGTTGGTTTTAAACACTTTTCGGTGTCACATGAAATTTTGACTCCTGTGAAGTCTGGTCCCTTTTATTGGTTGAACGTTCACAATCTTCACTTGGGCATGTGCAATACTACCAATGAGTCTGTATTTCGAGAGTCTTAAATTCACACTACACTGGCACTGCTGTGTTCTGCGCCACATCGCGCAGTATGCGCCACATCGCGCAGTATGCGCCATGCGCACGCCAGTCTCCATGTTGTTTACGACTACCTGTGAAAGGGACATACCATAACGTAGCTAGAGGGGTGTTTTGCAAAATATGAAGTAAACTTGTTGAACAAAATCGTTGAGAATTTATAATTTTTGACTTGTTTTGACTTTTTGACCGAAAAGTATTGATGAATGGGCATAAATATGCGTTTGGCCGGTATTAAACAAGTCCGTTTAAGACCAGCGTAGGGTCTGGTTGCCGATATTATCAGCGTCCATTCCCCACGTCGATCTTACTAACGGACTTGTTTAAAACCGGCAAAGCACATATTTATTCCCTTGTTAACCTTGCTGGGAAAAAAATCCACAAATTAAAAAACAAAAAAACATTGTGCTGTATATTGCTTGGTTGTACAGGTATTTCAATTCTTAAAATTAGAGTTTAAATGTGTTTAACTTTTGTGAATTTGAACCAGCCAGCCGACCCAGGCTAGCTCGGTGGTTAGGTGGTAAGACGTCTGCACTAGTAAGTAGGAGGTCGTGGGTTCGAGTCAAACCGGAGTGATTTTTTTCTCACAATTACTCGGGACAACACTGAGTATACAGTGTTTAGTAAAATATCTTATTGATGCAAAAATTTGTTTACTTTCATCTTTTTTCTGCTAAGTGAAAAAAAATACCAGACTATATGCAATCACTTTAAATAAATACCTATCACAAAATTTTCAGATGAATAAAAACCCACTTCAAGCAGTTTTGTTGCAACCATGCCCGGAACATATTTTTGTAAGTGCCAAGATTTGATTGTGTAATTTAATGTAAAAAAAAATAATACCGGATGAATTTTTTGTGTCTTTTGTTTCCCATAAATACTTTTATCCTTGTATTTGCTTGTTCTGCAGCATTCCATTCAGACGGTTTATTTTCATTAGTTGTCTCTTTTTTGTCATGCATTTCGTTTTGTTTTTGAATGAATTAATACATGTAGTTTGATTTTCATCTCCGGTGTATGGGTCCCCATTTCCAATAGAAATCTTTGATGAAATAGGTTTGTAATTCAGGCAAAGCCTGTAAAATTAACAGGGAATCAGTCGAGTCCAATTCAACTCGCAAGCTATTCAAATGTCATTTGACAAAGGCATTCCTTTGTTATTGTTCATCCACTGTTACTTGTGACTGGACTTGTGATTTCCTTGAGACTGGACTTGTGATGGACTCGACTACATCCCTGAAAATAGATGTTTAAAAATAACAGCCAAATCTTTTGTGATTTACACAGATTGTACTTACAATGCTACATTTTCCGAGTTAGTAAATAAAATTCACTGTACAAAAATCAGTTTTAAATCGACACGTTTATTTTGTCATGATTTTGGATAATTACCCCCATCCTTCCCAAAATATACAAATTAAAATACAATTTCTTTCTTTTGTGACAAGGCAACGATGGAAGTATTGACAGAACAAAAAAATTTCAGCTTATTAAAATATTCTTTGAAAAATAGATAGAGACTGCTTATTGAACTATGGCTATACATGCGTATTATGAGCTGGATTGAGAATAATTAGAATTATACTGACTGAACCAGATTAATTAGAATATATGGAATTTGTTTTCTCTCAAAGTTATACATATTGAGTGCATTTGATTACTTTCCCCAAGCTTGCTCGTGCAAGCGCGACAGCGTTCGATTTACCTCTCGCGTGACTTCTCGCGCTTACTCGAGCCTGGCCCAAGTAACCGACTCGCCGAGCCGGTTACTTGGGTAAGTATCCCATAAGGCCATGCAATAAATAGCTGCCAACGTGACGTCTGGCGGGTGCCTCAGGCCGAGTCCGAAGCAGCTTCCAGAGCTACGGCTACACGATTGTCAGCGCGTCCCCGCTTTTTTCAATGGGCGTGGACCATTGATCTCCATATATACATCTGTATGTATGGAGATCAATGGCGTGGACCTAGCCTAGCTCTAGACAGTTGATTCGGATGCAGCCTGTACGTGTCATGTCAAAGTTCAACTTTCCAGCTCTTGCACGAAACTTTACCAGAAATCGTTCGTTTAGTTAGCTCCACTGCGCTTGTCTGTCATCACGTGAGGAGCCAGGCGCGAGTAAGCTGGGGGAAGTAATCGAACGCACTCAAAGTCACAAGTAAATTTCCGTTAATAGGGCTGTTCGAATATTTGAATACATATGTTTGATCATCAAACGAATATTCGTATAGTGTTTTGCTGCTTTGAATATTCAAAAACAAAAAAAATACACACACTACACACACTTGACTGTGACGTTACTTTATCATGAAGTTGCTGCGTTTTATTGTCATATGGGACTTTCTTTTGTTGACGGCGGTTCATTGTTTCTATCTTTTTACCAGGTTAAAGCCTTTGACAGTTATAAAATATCAATCGCCGCGCGCACATTTTTACCTGGCGTGCTCTGCATGCAACTTTTAACTGGCGCGGCATGCAGTTGCAGCTGGCAGTTTCGAATACCCGAATATTTGGTCACAGACATTGTCGAGTAATTGAATACCAAATTATTTGAAAATGGACAGCCCTATTAAGAAACGGAGAGAAACAATGCCTTCGTCACAGTGGAGTACCGAAGTGCATGACGTCATTTAGAACCAGAAAACGTAGTGCAAACGAATGGAGTACGCGCGCGTGTTGGTTCACGGCATACATATAGAATAAAAAGACTAGATCGGCAGTGCATCCACACGCGCCCATTCACTGTGCGATAAATCTCCGCCAAGTTTGTTGTCTCTCGTGGACGCGCAACAAATAAACGTAAAGTAATGGAGCTAAATGTATCTTTCCTCCAGCACGTGACTTAGCTCGAGAAGCGAGAAGCTAGAAATGCGCACCGAGTATTTACGCGATACGCACACGCGTTAGCGATGCACGGTGCACGTAAACGACGTTGGGTTCGTCACGTTTTCGCCCATTATTTGTATCTTTCCTCCAGCATGTGGACGCGCTGCCTATCTAGTCTTTTTATTCTATATCTATGGTTCACAGGCTGAATCACGCGCTAATGTCTTATACACACACACATTGTGCGCGTGATGTATTCACTTCGGTACTCCATAGAGCGGCAAAGTGAACCTCAAAATCCTGTAAAATTCTACGGGATGATACAGCACACCCGGGCACTATGTATAGGATCTACAGCGTGTAACGTCCTATTTGCTTCATTTATTTTGAGTCCTGACTGGGCCCATCCAATCAAAGGCAATAGATGGGTACTACGAAGGGGAAAAAAAGCATTACAATTTACAACATACTGGAAAATATTGTGATTCGATGACTATTTATAAAATTAAAAATGGGTAATTCCTAGGGCAGGAGTCTGTGACTAGACTAGTCAGTGTTTGGTACCAAGACTGTCACTTGACAAAACTGGATGCATTGTGCCGTGATAAGAACTCTCGGGCATTTTGGCCAAATTAAAAAAAAATAACAGTTCGTAAAAAGAACAACTAAGGCAACGATCACTGCTTCCTTCTGCAAGCCTTTGGCTCCTATCTCCCGTTCCAAATGTTCATGTTGTATGTGGAAACAGCGCCCTCACATGTCCGGAACTCCTCGTGGAAATGCGGGTGCCACCAGTGGAAAACCCGCACGCAGACGACAGGGTCCAGCACCACGCATGTCTTTTCGCGCCTCCGATCCGAATATCTGCGATTTTTCGGTCGTCCCCGCCCAATCGACGGTTCCTCGAACTCCAGTTTCAGCCGGCTGTACGACATGCCGGAACCGAGTTGTACGGAGGCGTGCGTGAGTTCTTTACCCATAATCCTCTCTGGTTCCAGGTGGTGAGACTGCTTGCATTTGGCCATCAGTATGCACTGGCCGCAGTGGTTGTTAAATTGGATATCCGGATCAAAAACATTCGGCGACGCACTGTTGATCAACCTATTACGAAAAGAAGTCGATATATAGGGTGTGTTTAACAAACAGGGTAATCCAACAAACAATGGATTATTTCGTTAAAGGGACACTGGGTCCTGGAACAGCCCAACTGGGCTACAAAACGCGCTTTGAACGAGATGATGTTAATCGGAAAGAACATACATGTAGGAAAGTAGGATGTAAACATCCACACAACTATCCTTTCAAAACTGGGCGTTTTTGTGTTATTCCTGTATTAGCGTGCGAGAACGAATTTCGGGGTCCACTTTTGCGACCCCATAAATTCGAGCTAGTTGTGATTTCATTCGCAAAGTGTTCGCCTTTTATGGGCGTTGAATAAACATCATATTTTTTGCATTGGTGATTGGAAACCGCTGTTCCCGAGACACACAACGTGTATATCGTACACTGAGAACGACACGAAAAACGTATTCGTGCTCCGTCATGTCCGATGTAAACAACCACGTTTTTTTTGTCTTTTCTCAGTAAGGCCAAAAAAAAAAAATATTCGGTCTCTGGTCAGACCACAGTTCCGGAATTGACGCGGCCACGCGGCTTTTTTTTTTTTTTTTGCTTTTTTTTTTTTCTTCAAGCTTGGATTGTACAGACAATGGCGGGTACTATTTTGCTTTTTTGGTGTCCTCATGTACATTGGTGTCCTCCATAATTTGCCTTGGTGCTTTCGATCATTTGCCTTGGTGCAATTTCCCATTCCTGGTGCTCTTTGGTAAAAAAAATTGAGGAGGTGCGGAAATAGAGGGCGCTGTTGGAGCTACCGCGGAACATTTAAAAAAAAAAAAGATCGACGCGCATGATTAAAATCGACGCGCGCGCTGACCAGAGACCAACATATTTTTTTTTTTGGCCTAACGGTAAGACATTAGGTTGGTTTCCTTTCAACCAGATGTTTGAAATAGGCTAAGTAAACAATCCAAAACATGAAATTTTCGGGGATTTCAGGACCTAGTGCCCCTTTAAAATTATATCCATGAACATGGTCCGTATGTTTACATCTAAACTGATGGTTAATTAAGCAACTTCCCAGTGATGTGCGAGAGTCACTCGTTCACCGCACACATATATTGACGCCACCATGTTTTGTTTGCGTTACATGCTTCATTTCGATTTTCAAGATGGCGTACCCTAATAAAGGTCTATTCATTCATAATGGCTTTTCACTGGACATGCTGGAAGTCTTTTCATGCATCTGGTCTGCACACAATTGGCCAGATTTAGCCCATTCATGGCGTTTTGGGTAATCCTATACAACAGCACTGCCCAGCTCCAGAAAGACGACACTAAGTTGGCCCTATTTGGGACAAGAAAAACAAAAAGGCTACGAACCCACTTTGTTGGAACTTCAGGTAATAGATATGGTTCCCTGCTTTGCGCTTGCTGACGTGGTACATGAAAATCCGGCCTTCCAGCGTCTCAAGACTGTTGCTGCTGAACAGGCCGGTCACCTTGGTGGCGCTGCGTCTCACAAAGGGTGGGTAGAGGAACTGAAGGGCGCGTATGACCAACGAGCGGAGACCGAAGGTACGCTCGATGCTGGTTGGGTAGAGCTCTTTTGGAAGATTGGAAGCTGCCTTTGTGCTGTAATATCTGACAAAGAATGTAAAGATCTATCTTTAATTTCTATCAAGTAATGTCTGTTACGAGCCAGTATGACCCATCAGGCTGGCGTTATCTCCGCTTTCCATGGCATGAAATGACTGAGAATATTTCTATTCCCCGTGGACGCCAGTCTATCGCAGGTTACTCCCCAGCTAATGCCAGTACCCATTTTAATATACTCCTGGGTGGAGAGAGGCAAGTGGGGTGAAGTGGCTTGCCCAAGGACACAGCATACCAGCAGCTGGATTGGAACCCTTGACCCTCTGATTCTAAGTCACGAACATTGACCACCAGACCACACTCCCCAACTAAAATTCTTAATATAATCAAACTATTTTTTTCCGGCCAGGGGAGGGTTAGTAAAGTTGGGTCAATTTACTTTCCTCGCCTCCCACTTCTTCGACACGGGTTAGAATCCAACCCAAAAAAAGCAGATTGAGTTTTCAGTCTCTTCCTGACTCTAATGTTTCCCTACATTTTTTTTGCACAGGATTTCCTCCTTTGGGCAGAGGGGGGGGGGGGGGGGGGGGGCTTGTGCTTAACATCATTAATTAATACACTTGTGATGCTGATTGATCATACACACACATATGCTAATAATCTGTTGAATGGTACGCAGCCACATTTAACGGTTTTCATGGAGCTACTACATCAGGTCTGAAGCAGCTGGCAAAATTGACAACCCCCCCCCCCCAAAAAAAAACACCTCTCACAGGGGGCTTTGAACGAACCCCCTTAATGCCTCTGACTAGTATTGACCTGCACCTTTTCCTTGTGGAATATTCCCCGCAAATCCAAATTCTGAAAAGCTGCCTCCCCTTAAAAAAACAAAAACAAACCTGAAGTATAGTTTTCTCCAGAAAGCTGCCGTGTTAGTCAGTGCGTACGTGTCTCGGCATAGACAGGCGAATGTCGCAACGTCCTCGGGATAAATGAAGGGCGAGACGAGGTACCAGATGACAGAAGGATAGACGTGGGTGCCGGTGTAGCTAGGGGTCAACGTCTTGCCTGTCCATACAAAATTGACAAACACTTTGTGTTTAGAGGGGGGTGTGGGTTATGGTTAGGGTTTGTGACTCATGATCAGAGGGTCAGGGGTTCGAATCAAATCCTACTGCTGGAAATACGTTGTGTCCATGGGCAAGCAACTTCACCCCATTTGCCTCTCTCTACCCAGGAGTATAAATGGGTACCGGCATTAGCTGGGGAGTAACCTGCGATGGACTTGCATCCCATCCAGGGAGAATAGAAATATTCTGAGTCATTTCTTGCCAAGGAGATAAACACCGGCCTGATGAGTCATATTGGCTTGTGACAGACTTTAGTTTTTTTTTACTTTACTAATGATTAGGTCAAAAACATGTAAAGAAATTGACTGCAGCCTCCGGATTGCCGTATCGGCAGTGCTCTACCAAATGAGTTATCAAGCCCTATGTTGGCATCTTTCCATTTAGTCACTTATGTTGTTCAGGGAGGTTCTTTACCCCGACTGAATAGGACACTGCCAATATCCTTGGTTTTTTAGATAAATCTAAACCAAAACCTTGCTGTCTCTCTATTTTCATACATAGAAAGAATACTTTGACAAAATATGTTTTAGTGTTGAAGTTATTTGATATTAAGCAAGTTTGATTCAACTGAACTCCTCTTTGTCATTGACATGATAATGATAAATTAAAAGCAGCGATGTAAATTGGGATCCAATTTGCAGGGAGGCCCTAAGAGAGACCTCATTTTCGGGGGTAGAGGGAAATCAATGGGTTTGTAATCAGGTAGGGCGGGTTTTTTTTTTGGGGGGGGGGGGGAGGGGGGAGGGGGCTCACTACCCTCGGGGACGTCTCTATAGTCCGACGCACAATTGGTCCGACATCCCATTGGTCCAACGGCATATTGGTCTATATACGTTCCATTGGTCTATACGTCCCATTGGTCCAACGTCCCATTGGTCCGACGTCCCATTGGTCCGACGTCCCATTGGTCCGACGTCCCATTGGTCCGACGTCCCATTGGTCCGACGTCCCATTGGTCCGACGTCCCATTGGTCCGACGTCCCATTGGTCCGACGTCCCATTGGTCCGACGTCCCATTGGTCCGACGTCCCATTGGTCCGACGTCCCATTGGTCCGACGTCCCATTGGTCCGACGTCCCATTGGTCCGACGTCCCATTGGTCCGACGTCCCATTGGTCCGACGTCCCATTGGTCCGACGTCCCATTGGTCCGACGTCCCATTGGTCCGACGTCCCATTGGTCCGATGTTCCATTGGTCCGACGTCCCATTGGTTCGATGTTCCATTGGTCCGACCTCCCATTGGTCCGACGTCCCATTGGTCCGACGTCCCATTGGTCCGAAGTCCCATTGGTCCGACCTCCCATTGGTCCGAAGTCCCATTGGTCCGACCTCCCATTGGTCCGACCTCCCATTGGTCCGACGTCCCATTGGTCCGACCTCCCATTGGTCCGACGTCCCATTGGTCCGATGTTCCATTGGTCCGATGTTCCATTGGTCCGACGTCCCATTGGTCTGACGCCTCTTAGGATTAGGGTTAGGGCTAGGGTTAGTCAACCTGAACCAGTGGAACTACACAGTTCATGTACCTGTATTATGTTTCATCGGACCAATGGGATGTCGAACCAATGGGATGTTGGACCATTGAGAAATCGGACCAATGGGACATCGGACCAATGGGATGTCGGACCATTGGGACGTCGGACCATTGGGACGTAAGACTATCGAGAAGAAACCACCCCCCTTTAGTACCAAAACTGATAAAAAGTCAATTTTGTTACAGTAAAGTTATTAAAAATGAAATAATCACCTTTTTCCAGCGGAACTGTGTGACCATTTTCCAGCTCTGGCAGATTTGGCTCCTGGATCGTAATCTCCATCTCAGCACCCTCGCCCCTTGCCTCGTCTCCTAGATCTACAACATCTCCGCTCCTAGCATCCTCCTCATCGGAGAATGCCCTCTCGTACCAATCATCCACAATTTCTTCCTCCGCCTTCGCTGCCAGGATCGCGCTGGCACTCTCGATCTGTTTGACTGTTGTGTTTGCCAAAAACACCAAAAAAAAGCTGGGTAAATTTTAAAAAGTATAAACATGAGAGTCTGTCTGGACTAGTGTTGTAGTTGACTCCATCATAACAAGTCCAGTCACAAGTCAATCACAAATCAATACACAAGTCATTTTCATAAATTCACTATTCTGGTCACCAGTAACAGTGGATGAACAAGAACAACACAATTCTTGACCACAGTAAAAAAAAAAAAAAAAAAAATCAGTGAGATCCGGTTGCTGTGCCATGACAAGTTTTGGCAGATCTTACGTAATCACTGCGACAGTGAATAGAGAGAGGCCAGTTGGGGTAAAGTGGCTTGCCCAAGGACACACCATACAGCCAGAACAGCCATTGACTTTCTATCTCACAAGCTCTCACACGACTCTGGGTACATGTATACAGGTTTTATACAAATTTCATCGGTTACGTGATGGGGAATAACTCCAAACTCGCAATGGAACTCACATTCTTTGTTGACGGAAATTGCAGTGGCCTTACTGGTTCGAGATGCCAATGCTTGACTGCTGGCGTTATCGGCATACGCGTCAATCGTTACATCTGTATCATGCAGATCAAAAGGGAGGAAATCAAGAGACAAACTGAAACTGACTTACATTTTCAGCAGTCACACAAAAAACTGTAGGGAAATTCAAAAAGACCTATAATAATTCTGCATGTGCAGGCAAACTTCAAACTTTCAATGGGCAACAACATAAAGTCAAAGTGGGTTCTACTTAGCCGAATAAAAGTGTCTCAAATACTGGGCTTGCACCACATTTTAGCGGCACATAGAGATATTGTGCTACAGTTTCTGAAAAAGGTTGGGTGTGCTGGCTTTGAAATTTCGTCGCGTCAGTGCAACGAGGTCATTACTCGGATTTCCCTTATCTCGAGTAATTCCCATTTTAAACTTTTGTGGCGCCATGTAAAGTCTTCATTGATAACTGTACCGTACATGGTGCCCTGCCAGACGCAACACAGTGCATCAGGTGGAAAAGAACTGGTGCACTTTGATGCATTCAGCTACCAACACCAGTGCATGAATGGCCAGCTCTGAAACGATGAGAGCTAAGTCCCACTGAACAATGCCACAGTTATATCTTGCTGCGTGCGGTGACCACGGACTCTGAGGCAGTGTGGCCTTGAGACTTTTCCCCTAATGGATCTTGCTACATTTGGCAGGCTTGTCACTTAGTCAAGTGTTGCAAGTTGCTATTTTTGGCTGGGTTCTAGCAAACATACCCTGGAGGGTGAGGGTTATTACACTGGCACGACGATTTAGACTGTTTTTTTCCACTCACTACTCGCTATGGAAGCTAACTACATGTACCTTGTTATTTGTTAAAGGGAATGTAACATTTGCTTTTGCTGCAATTTTCAGAAATAAATGATTTGGAGGATTAGTATGTTATAGAATATATTGTTACACTGACTTGTTTCACGTTTTGGGTTTGTAGATGCTGGAAAAACCAAGAAAACCTATCATGTTCTTGTAGTCTTGTTCCCTGACCCCACTTAAGATGAAACGGAACAATTTAAAGACTTTGGGGATTTGTAAGATCAGAGGTTCAGCCTAGCAGGCTTGTAGTCTTCACAGGTGTGTAATCAATTGCAAAGAAAATGCAGACGAACTAAATATAAAAAATTAGGAGCACTTTTTGAAAAAAGTCAGTTTTCTCCAACGCTGGTCGAAGAATACAGCTTTTCTTGAAAATGTCAGCACACTGCAGGAGCCACAACTTTACAGGGTGCTTTAGACTGTCATTCCCGAACAAACCAGCAAGATATTTCGTGATACTTTGATCATTTCATTTTTTGATGTTTGCAAATGATGTATCTTCCCTTCAATAACCAGGAATATATAAATCCTAACTTCTAGCATGTCTAGACAGTCAGCCCGTTATTTTAAGGGGAAAGTTGGAGGGCGTTTGCCCGACATGACAGCAGGATATTTTTCGAAGGCTACGTGTCATGCATCTATTGTCCAGGTAAGTAGCTGCCATAGCAAATATCAAGTGAAAAAAAAGTCAAATTCAGGAAACGCGTTGTTTTCCGAAATTTAGCACACATCGGGATAGGGGGCTAGGATCTAGCCTCTTCAATATTGCAAATTCCTCCAAAGGGTTTACGGATACAGACTCGTACCTTTCTCATGGGAGAATAGCAAAGTGGTTCGACAGTTGCGACCTTTCAACTTTGACCTCTGCCAACCATCGGAGTTGCTCCCACTAAATCTGTCCTTTGAGTCTCTGTTGTGGGGCGGTGATTTCTTGTTCCGATTCGTTTGTCGATGTCTCCCTGGCATTATGACATGCTGAACTCGGCTGGTGATGCGTCAATCAGCTGAGTTTCCGAGGCCCTGTTAAAGTACGAAGTGGCTATCGTTACGGCAGTCGTTGTTTAGCGCCCTCTACGATACTTTTTTGATACGCACGCAGGTATATAATTATTTGTTTCCACATATTGAAGCGAACAGTGCGACAGCTCAGTCGATAGAGGGTAGGATTTTGCACCGCGAGGTTGCGGGTTCGAATCTCAATTTTGCACTCGAATTTTTTTCCTTTTCTAACCTGAGGCTTTGGAGGATTTTTTTTAAAAGGGAAATAAAGTCTGAATTTCATAACGTTCAAATTCACTTTTTTCCTTCAAATTTTATATTTTCTTGTCATGTTTTTATAAAAGTTGCAGTCTACCGTAACGATAGAAAATGGAAAATGCGTTACGGCTGCCGTAACAATAGCCACTGCGGTTAAAGTATTTCACAGATCACACGTATTCACAGTATTTCACATGTCAAGTAATAATGATATTTTGAAATCTCTTCTGGAATAGTGGAAAGGACACACAAGGTGATATGCCTAAAATCCTTTAAATTAAAAACTGGTACACCGTTCAGACTGTCCGGCTTGAGCCCTGTTAGCCTAAGGCCTGACAATCTGTCAATCTATGACAATCTGAATGAGAAAGGTTTTTTTAGGCCAAGTACAAATATAAACAAATCTATATGTCGTCCAGGCTTTTTTTCCGCGATGGCGGATACCTTCTTTAAGTTTTTCGACTCCTTTGCTGATACTTAGTGATAGTTTAATGCTGCTAAACTATAATGAACATCACTTATGTATACAACGAATATAATTTTTCAAAAGGAAGGGACTGGGAACGATCAACTTGTATTTTTTTTTTTTTTACTATATAACGAACAGCCACTATACAGAATGGATAAAAAAAAATGAAACCAATATATTATTGCTATTTGGAACAGAAGTAGGGCACATGTGAATCAAAGGGAGATAGCCTCCGTCAGGGTTGAATCTCCTCTTTAAAATGACACCCTGATCCTGTCCTTACATTCACGATTGACTGAGCTGTGCCCAATTCTAATTAGTATGAGGCGTTAGAAGTAGAACTTTTGTTTTTGTCTGAAGACTTTAATTGGTTGGCATGGTTGGTTGTAGTCCGAAAATTTGGGACTCTCAATACTGTGTATGAGAGTCCCAAAACTTAAGGTATCCATATCGTGCAAAAGTTTGTGCTGCATAATAAAACCAGTGTGAATCAAATGTGCAAGCTTCTTACTCACTACAGTTTCTTCAATAATCCCCGAAACTTTTGCCTCGGAAAGTTGCTGTTGTGAGCATTGCATCACCAAAAATTCAGCTTTTAATTCTAATTTTACAGAGAGTTATCGAAATCCAAACGTGAGACATCATGTTGATGTGTACTGCAATGCATTGTGCAAAAAGACTCCTCAGCTATAACATTTTCATCGTGTAGATAAAACAGCGCCCTCTTGTTGATCTGAGTAAATGCAAAATGTTTCATATTTTAACAGAGGGCGCTATGTTCATTTGGCCATCGATTAAAAAACAAGTAAGCTGCAAGGCTCTTCCTACACCTACCCAGAATACCTTGGGAATCACACAACCATTTCCAGAGCATGGAGATTGACGTGGATGGTTTTTGAACTGCCAAAAACTTGCCTTAAAATTGGATTTAAGGTCTCAAATTTCGCAGGTGACATGCTTGCAACTAAATCATTTTAATTTATGTGTTGTGTGGGTATTAATTAGCCTAATGGTGAGTAAAAAAACGTCAGTAGTAATTTTGCACGTTTTTATGCACTCACGGTCCCAGTCTGGGTTGGTTGTACTAGCGTCTGCAATTATTCAATCATGATGATTGATGAGATGTACTGTTGCAGACGGACAATGACGGGTTAGGGTTCCACATTTACAATTTGAAACTGAAGTTGAATAATTGACAGGGTCATGACGTCGACAATGGTGAACCACGACATACAAAATCACGATATAAACTTAAAATAGGCAATGATTGGTGGAACCATGGTGGAACGTTGCATCCCGACGCCACTTTTTTTCTTCATATATCATCTTAATCATGGAGGAAGGAATAGACTATTCCTTCCTCCATGTCTCTATTGAAGGCCAGTCATTGCAAAAATGTTGAAACGACATGAGTCTGGCACCGAGAAACATTTCCAATTTTGTTAGGAAATATAAATAAAGTATTTGAAATTGTTCTTGCATGTCTTGAAGACTTGAACTTGACATTGTTGTGCGCTTTCTGGCAATTTGCGCAATCTTAAGAATAAGCGCGCATTCTTAAAAACGAGCGCGCATTCTTAAGAATGAGCGCGCAATCTGAATGGCGCTCATTCTTAAGATTGCGTGGGAATATTACTTGCGCAATTTATGAATTTTGCGCAATCTTAACAAACACTGCACAGCATTATTTTGTTAAATTAAACGTACTATTAGCCTAAAGGTTCAAGGGGAAATAATCATATGACGAGAAAAGAAAATGATATGCTTCTGTACCCGTTGAACTACGATAATTTGAATTCAATTGAAGCCGTTTCTGTCCCCCGATGGGAAGTTTTGTAATAACGGAGGACTGGGAACTAGTCTGGGAAGTGCTTTGTTTAGTCTAGTGAACAAAAAACACGTTAGGCCTATACGTTTTTGTTCAGAATTCTTTCCACCAAACTATTATGGGTAATCCTTACTTTTAGGACACCTCTGTTTTGTACGAGTTCTGTTCAAAACTGACTTTTGCAGATGACTGTCCAGTACCAAAGTGACTTTTGCAAGCTAGAGCAGTCTTTTTACTTCAGATAAACTCATGTTAGTTGTAATTTTGAAAGCACTTTCAAAGAAAATGTGACTTTCCTACCTTTTTTTTGCAGTTCGCCATCTTGCATTTTTAATATATTTTCTGTTTGTCATCGTCGTCTTTAACCCCTCATAAATCAAAGCCCTGCCCTCTTTCTACAAAATTAAACCTGCCGATATTAAAGAGGTGTCATTGCCAAATGTTCAAATGTGCCAAGAAATATCAGAATGTCACTTTTGAGGGTCATTTAGTCAGCTGTTTGGTGAGTCTTTTAACCTTATATAGGAAAGGGGTCCTAAAGGTAAGGATTACCCTATTATGTCTCTTATTATTTCCCCCAATACGCATAATACTTTCATCTGTACCTTACAAATGTCTTTGCCCTGGTGAATTTGCATTGCCACAGTATAATTATTTAAGTACGGCCCAAAACTTAATCAGTGAACGAGGATGCAGCTACTGTACTGAGCCTAGACTCGCCAAGTGCACATGGTGCAGCCGGTTCTCGGCATCGAAAACATCGCTTCTCTTGCTGCGCATTCCAAAGAATGTGCGCTCAGTCTGGAAGATTGGTTTTTTTTTTCGAAGATTGCGAAAGGATCCAGTTGCGCAATCATAAAAATGCGCATGCACATTCTAATATGATTGCGCAAACACGGCAAATGACATGAAAATTATTGAAATTGAAAGCGCACAACAACATGACAAGTTGACTTGGCATAGACTTTGTCTTTGTAGTTGTACACAAGTTAACACAACCACTGAAGCGGCGACTGGGTATTACATTCTTTCCTAATTGTTGAGCAACTAAGTAATTAATAGGCCTTTTATAGACAGGCTGGTAATGGTATTAATAATGTAATTACCTGAAATTCTAGCCCAGCCCAGCTGTATTCAATCGGAGTATGTAATAGCGCCCTCAAGACCTCAAGCGTCATAATGGTTTTGTTTTTGTCGTCAACAGAGGGCGTCCTGGCTGCGTTCGCATCATGTCGCTTTATGGTCTACTAATGTTTCAATGGTTGGCATATTATGCGAACGTGTGCCCGGTCCATACATTACAATTATTTTACAAATACTCAAACTTTCACAGATGTATGAGTTCACACAACACAAAAAACTGATGATCAACGTGTCGTTTTTCATTTTCCCTTCAATTTTTGGTGGGTTGACCAATGACTTTTTGAGATTTTCTCACCCAAAGAAGACCAGCCCTAAAACGAATATTTCCCAGACTGGAAAAGTAGTCACTGTGAGAAAAAGATGATCCCTCCACAAAATGGCTAAATAGCGCCATTTTCGGACCTAATTTCATCAAAAATGCTCAGAATTGAAAGCTCCATGTCCAGACCAGACGGGTCATTCTTCAATCCCCCAATTCCATGGCTCTCAAAATGAAAACTTTCAATATAATAATTTGAATGTATAACTTTCATTCATGAGTTCGGCGGACGGATGTTTGGGCTATTTACTGGGGTGTATCCATATGGACTCTTGACGGACTATCTCAAGATAGTCTCAAGATGATGATTACATGTATTCAATTTCAAATTGAAATATTGTGTGTTAATATTACTGAACAAGTTAATCCTATAGAGGCAGGGGCCGGGTTATTTTGACCATCTCACAGCTCATTTCTCGGCCAAATGACGAAAAAATATGAAACTCGACGCAAGCACAGAACACCTTAATAGGAACAAATCCAGGAAATTTCATGACTATAAAGTAAACGGTTTTGGAATTATGGCTAATTAATTATTCATATATGCACCAATTAATTATGCTTTGTGTACACTGCATATATAGGGACATTCAGTTTTTAAGGCGCGTAGCGCCGAAAAAAAAATTCGCTGAGCGGCAACCCATCGTCGGAATTTTACGCTTTTTGTATCAAAAGATGCGCAAGACTCGAGGCTAAAAAGTCAGGAAAGCTCGGGTCGGGAACAACTTTTTTTGGCAAGGGTATCATGGAAAAAGGGTAAAATTGGGATTAAACACTGGTTTATATAATCAAACCTCTTCCAAAACTTTTAAAATTTTTAGGCAAAAAATTGCCAACTTGTCCGCCGTAGGTCAAAATTTGCCTCGTCCCGTGCAATGCACCGTACGTCCTACACAGACAAACGTCACCAAGAGATTTTGTTAATAATCTTTAATACAATCTCCTGCACAAATCCCAGTGCAAATTTTAGTATCATTTCCGCTAGCTTGGTCTCACTTGTTTGAACAACAAGATGGGAAATCGGAATGAATATTTAAATCACCGTGAAAAAAGTAGGCATGACGACATATTTCTTCAGAGAGGAAAAACTAACAGACGGTGGAGTAGGAAAGTCTACGATTCTACGACATCCCACTCGTGCTAGACTACTCTATATAAACCCGACAATGCAAACAATATCACTCTTCAAACTCGCATTCTAAAAGAGCCACGAATTCGAAACGGGTGCCTGCCAGTTATCCTCGAACGCGAATACACAGTTGTCATTCGTGGTGTTGGTCTGAACACGCGTATGCTGCATGCGCACGGGAACTGCACGCTTAGTACCCGACGTTACAAACCAACCCACCGCGAATCGGCAAGTTGCCTCTCCGAGCTCCCGCCGCGATGGCCCCGCCACGATTCCGGTTTCTCCTGTTTAGCTGTCTGGTCGCACTGACGCTGAGGTTATCACACTGCCAGGGAAGAAGACGTAAGTCCATTTTTTTTGGAGTATCTCTTGCACAGGTTTCTACGGAAGCATTATGACCATCCGGGTTTAACTGATGGTCAAGTTACTGCTTCTACTGAGATAAAATAATTATGTTGGAAACATGGAGTTCCATCATAAAAATATCTTTACAACTCAGAATGCAGTGATAGCCCATCATGAAAATGCTGAATTCCATGAAAGCCTATCATGGAAACGTGGAAATCCGTGGTAGGTTATCGCGGAAACGTGGCATTCCGTGATAACCTATCACGAAAACGTTGAATACCGCGATAGGGTATCTCAGCAACATGGAATTCCGTGATGCAAAGTGAAATGCCATGATATCATTAGTCTATCACAAAATTTTACGTTTCCACGATAGCTCATCACGGAATTACACGCTTTCAACTTAGCCTATCACCAAATTCTATGTTTCTGTGATAGACTATAACGATATTCTACGTTTCCGTGATAAGCTATATCCCACTATTTCACGTTTCCATGCACGATAGGCTTTCAGGGAACTCCATGTTTCCAAGCTATTTTGTCTTAGCAACGCAGTAACGCGGATGGTCATATACGCTTCCTTAGATTTCCGTCACAAAGTTGCCGTAAGACATCGCAAGTTGCAACCACCTGTCAATCCTCAGTCACAGTTATTCAAATTAACTGTGACAAGGGCGTTCTGTTGTTATACACCCTCTGTTTTATACTCAGAGCGATCTGAATTGTGATTGAGGGAGGATTACTTACTTGTGATTGACTTGTGACTGATGTATGACTGACTTGTGATTGACTATAGTTGACTTGTGATTGACGTGTGATTAAGTTGAAGTTGACTTGTGATTGACTTGTGATTGACTTGTGATGGACTTGTGATTGACTTGTGAATGATTTATGACTGACTTGTGATTGCATTGACTAGTTGACATGTGATTGGCGTGTTGTAGTTGACTTGTGATTGAGATGTGATTGACTTGTGAATGATGTATGACCGACTTATTATTGACTAGTTGACATGTGATTGACGTGTGATTAAGATGTAGTTGACTTGTGATTGACTTGTGATTGACTTGTGAATGATGTATGACTGACTTTTGATTGACTAGTTGACTTGTGATTAAGTTGTAGTTGACTTGTGATTGACTTGTGATTGACTTGTGAATGATGTATGACTGACTTGTGATTGACTTGCGATTGACCAGTGATCGACATGTGATTGACTTGTGATTGACTAATGATGGACTAAGTTGTCATTGACTTGTGATTAATTTGTGATTGACTTGTCATTCACTTGTCATTGTCGTTGACTGGATTACACATTTGCTGTTGTGATCACGGTCCATTTGTCATTGTCTCATTCAACCTTTGTGCTGTTGTGAAATGACGTAAGATAATGTAAACTAAATGTAGCTAAACACTTTAGTAAAATACACGGTGTCTGTTGTTCCGAATTGTAGGCATACTCGGTATGAAATTGCAAGGAAAAGCACACACTGGTCATTAAAGGCATAACTATATATATAGGATCATGTGCTTTTCACGCACTTTGTTCGTTTCCAATAATGACACCATTCAAAATCCAAAGAAGAACGTTCAAAACCTAACTGTTGAAGTTACAGCTCTGTGGATGTCTTTTCGAGAAAACAGTGAACAGCCGTGAAAACTTTTTTCTTTATCAAGAAACACGATTTCTTTCTTAGCATTCTATATTAAAACAAATCAGTCGATTAGCTGATCGTTAATTTCTTGATTTCTTTTAAATGACAGCTTTCTCTCCATGCGGTGGCTTTCAATAGAGAAAATTGAATTTGAGAGTACCAGACCAAAATGTTAAAAGACAAGCAGAACGACCTCAAATGACCCCTAGATATAACCATTGACATCCGATTTCGGAAGAGTTGTGTTCCCCAACGCAAGGATCACTCCATCCAAGTTATATTGAAATCCATAAAATTCCGTAGACAAGGAAACATTTGAAAAATATTTGAACAATGACCTCTAATGACCCCTACATGACCTTTGAACTTATTTGCATTTTTTTTTTATAATGTAGTGAAGTATAGCTCTTCAATCATACATGGTGAAACAAAATTCTTTAAAAAAAAGCGCATGAATAGTGTTATCATGCCAGTCACCAAAATCACTGTTGTCCACGTGTAGGTCTAGTGTAGTGGGTTTTTTTTGTCTTCAAATCAAGCTCCGGAGATCGGTCAAGTGGACGGAATAAGGCCGTCCGTGGACAAACAGGTTTGGCATATAAAATGTTTAACTCTCATTATCTCAGCGACAAAATATGCATTTGCAAACATTGTTTTCGTCACTTATGGTTAACGGTCAAATTTTAATACCGTTAAATTGAATTTGTGAAATTGCTCAACAAGTAGGTTTAAGGTTTGCTGTCAAAAGGGGGTTCTTTCTTTTTGCACCACCCTGCATAGTTAAATACAATTTAAGCATACAACAAATAGAACAAAAATAAAGGTTTTTTTTTTTACTGTTTTTCAAGTGGATAGGTATATCGAGTTTTGGAAAAAAATCTTCAAACGATCTTCTTGTCGCTTGTCATGATCGTCATCTGGATGTTTTCTAGAGGAGAAGTGATAAAGAACTCTGCGCCCTAATGGTAAAATGGAAAAGCGGGGGTGGGGGAATCATTTAGCAGAAAATGAAGGAATGAAACCAAAAGTGACAATATTATTCTCTTTGGAGAATAAGAATAAATCTTCAGGTAAAACCAACCTCCAATGAAAACAAGCCATGTCTTGATTTGTGTATGATCGCATCATCCGAGACCCTTAGAATCACTATTTTGCTCGTCAATTGTATCATTAAACAAACAATTTCATCTTCACGCAACGCAAATCAAGGAAATTACCCGTGTACTGACTAAAACAACAGATCGAAAAGCTATGACAATATCGTCTCACTGGCTTATGCATAAACATCAACATGCAAACAGTAGATCCAGTTACCGTCTTGCGGAACTCAAGAAGGCATGATGTTTTCAAGGGGGTAAATCCTGTGGGGATAGAAGGATACATCGCGCCTTTTGACCAGGGGATTGGTTTGGGTGGTGGCATAATCCCCCACCCCCTTTTTAAAAGGGAAAATACAACATTTGCAAACATCAAAAAATAAAACTACCAAATCATTTTGAAATACCTTGCTGGACTGTTAGTGAGTGTAAAGCATCCTGTAAAATCATGGCACCTGGTATACTGTCATTCTCAAGAAAAGTGGTATTTTTGTATCAATTTCCAACGCTGGTCGGCCGACCAGCGTTGGAAAAAACTGGCTTTTTTTCAAATACTGGCCCCAATTGACCATCGCACTTGTTTGCAATCGATTACACACCTATGAACGGGTACAAGCCAGCTAGACTGGTTCCCTGACCTTACAATTCCCCAATGTATGTAAACTGCTCCGTTTCTTCTTATATGGAGTCAGGGAACCAGACTACAGGAAAGTGCTTGTTTTTCTTGGTTTTTATAGCATTTTCGAACCCAAAACCTCAAAAAAGTCAGTGTAACCATATTTGCTATATATTTCCAACCCCCCAATTCTATCCATTTCTGAAAATTACAGCAAAAGCAAATGATGTATATTCCCTTTAACTGAGCACGCGATAAATGTCCATCCGTGACGCGTGACGTCATCTTACACCATCTTGACGACGATAAGAAGTGAAATTAGTTGTGAAAAGGGGGAAATTAATGATAGCAAGAAAAACAGGCAAGCCACTACTGTAACATTTAAAGGCATATATGATAATTTGCACTTATCCCTAAGTATACCGATTTATTATAAAAAAAACCTACTTGGATTAAAGATTGTACTGGTACTAAACACCCACTGAAACTATTCAGTCTGGCTTGCTGTCAGTAAGAAGAAATCATAACATATAGATGATTTCCAGCGATCAGTCAAATGACTGATTTTTGGAAATACAGAGTGTTATCGACGATATGGTGTTTCTCGATCTAAAGGTTGTGCACGTGTTTTGTCGAAGAGTGTAATATCCACTGAGCTGAAACTTCAACAGGTTTAGGTTTGAACGTTTTCTTTGGGATTTTGAGTGGTGTTATTTTTGGAAACGAACAAAATACAAATGCAAATGATCCTATGATATGTTTCTCAATTTGTCGCAAAGAGTAAATCGAAATGGCTGGAATCTTTGAAGATGGTATGGTCTCGTAGCATATGTATTTTAACTGCCTCAGGCAAGATGTAACGTGAATGTATTTTATTTCGTCGTTAAAGGGAATGTACAACATTGCCTTTTGCTGCAATTTTCAGAAATAAGTGCATTTGGAGGATTTTTATGTTTTAGCAAATATTGCTAAACTGACTTATTTCACGTTTTTGGCTTGGAGATGCTGGAAAAAACCAAGAAAACCAATTATATTCTTGTAGTCTGGTTCCCTGACCCCACTTAAGATGAAATGGAGCAATTTATAGACTTTGAGGAATTGTGCGGTCAGAGTATCAATAGCTGGCTTGTACCCATTCACAGGTGAGTAATCAATTGCAAAGAAGATGTGGAATAACTAAATATAAGAAATATGGAGTAGTTTTTGAAAATAGCCAGTTTTCTCCAGCGCTGGTCGGCCGACCAGCGTTGGAAAAATAAAATTTTTCTTGAAAATGTCAGCACACCAGGAGCCAAAATTTTACAGGATGCTTTAGACTGTCAATCCCTAACAATCCAGTAAGGTATTTTGTGATAAGTGGATCATTTCGTTTTTTGATGTTTGCAAATGTTGTATCTTCCCTTTAAGTCTAATTGATAGAATGTACTGTTGTTTTGCGAGAGGGATCATCGATTTGACGCAAAGAGCATTTTGTATGCAAACATATTCACGTGACCCCGTGACGTCATTAGGTAATGAGCAGTACTTACGTAAGAACTAATTTAAACGCGGAAATTGGAACTCCAAAAAAAATCTGTTCACGGGCGTTTTTAAAAATCGAATTGAGATAGCTATCAACACACTATGGTGATACATCCCCATATATCGGTCACGCGTCCATCTCATGCAGCCCCATGCCAAAAAATAATCAAAAATATAATAATACATTTCTATTTTTCTTGGACACAAATTCTGTTTTCATTTCACAGATTTCTAGTTCTCTCCCTATTTTCAATTTATTTGGGTTTGTAACAACATTGTTCTGTTTCCCCTACGGGCAAAAGACAGGCACCGGTGCGACGCTCTTTGTTGTGATATCTGCACAAAAACAGAGTCAGATGTAATTAGATTGTGTCAAGAATTAATCAGACTATATCAACGATCAATCAGACAATATTATTCCTGTCGTCAGGAAGAGTTCTCAACAAGTTGGTTTTATCTTACGGTCAGGATTACTGTTTGAAAAAGAAATCTACACCATAAGAATCGTAGCGAGGGCTGGACTCGAAGGACCAGCCTATCGTCCTCTGACTGACTGACTGACTTCCTCCCCAATGATGTCACTTTTCTCCTGTGCTATGCCACCAGTTGTACTAAGCTTGCATCGTCTTGTTGTGTGTTTCTCCCCAATTCAGAGTGCGATTGCAATGCCGAGGGCAACATAACCTACGTGTGCCTACTGCGATGCGGACGGGGAAGCTCAGGCGGAGGCGTAATTGTGATGCCGGTGAAAAAATCACCCGTTCCCTCGCCGGTAAGACGAAAAACAATCCCCCAAACATTTGTGAATTTGCAGATTTGAGTCCCAAAACGCACTGTATTTCCGCAGAATAAAATTTGAGTGCGGAAGACTGAGGGTGAAAGTCACTCGACTTTTGCATTAATGTGAGAAGGCTTACTCGAGCGAAATCCGATCTATGCAATTGAATGAATGTCACTCTCGGTCGTCTGAATGTTCACTCTTTGGTTAAATGTCCGGTTAAGCCATTCTTTTACTGAACAAGTGCGAGTGCACAATAAGCTCTGGCCGTGTTGCAAGAAGTTTTGCATGAAAGTTTTGCATGAAATCCATCAAAACGATCCCTGCCAGAGCTGAAAAAAAATGCGACGCCGAATCGACGCCGATGGCACATATGGAACACCATACTTTTGGTCAATTTTCTGGGCCTGACAGACAGACAGACAGCACGACAGACAGACAGACAGACAGACAGACAGACAGACAGACAGACAGACAGACCAACCGATCACCAAGTGGCATGTAGAAGCTCCTGCCAAAGAAACATTTGGTACCAAGTCGCTATGTGTGTACATAATGTGCATAGTTATGCCACCAGACTACGTAGTGCTTTGTATTTCAGAAAAAAAACCCACACTGCGCCAGTGGTCTAAAGGAAGCCTTATCATAGAGATGTTTGCAATTGAACGAACTTAAGATGTAACCGAATAACCGACACGACTGGACGAGCAATTAATCGAATAACCGAATACAGTCCAGAATCAAACAGCACAGATATGGAATATGATTTTGATCGAATTAAGCAAGATATGGTGAAAAATGAAATCGCGAAACAATTCCACATACAGATGGATTTCTTCTCTACTCTGTTGTCTGACTAGTGTAGCTTCGAATACCAGCGGATTTGATTCGGTAAAACAAAAACCAAAGCCATTTTAAAAAGAACGGACATTGAAAATAAAGGTTCAGAAGTTTATGTAAATCTGAGAGCAGCCATTTGTATCACATCGAAAGCCGCGGGGATAAATGAAGCAGGTGTTTAACTCCAATTTCTTTTATATATTGAATAAGACAATTGTGAATTAAGAATTGACCTTGTATAATTAAGTTAGTGCGGTCAGAACCAGATGGGTACTATACACAGTATGGGCCTTTACATTGTTAATGAATTTATTATACTTGGAAAATCATTCCATTATATTTTAAATTCGTACTTTCGTACCTACCTTTTTTATGTCTAAATCAAGATAAAAATAACCCAACAACTGAGTTGTTGTCCTTGTTTTATTTGCCGTAATTATCTGTGTCAATTAGTGTGATTTCATACTCTTGTAATTCTCAGTAGATTTTTTTGTTTTTGTTTGGCAAGTTTTATTTCCCCTGGACAAGCTTCGGCTTCTTGAATATCCCCCAGTGCTTTCTGTAGTTGTTTCTGAATTTGCAAATGCTTTTATTCCTTGTGGCTATCGTCTATCTTACTTAAAGTTGCTCCCTGTACTTTTTCCGAGTTTGACCGCGAAAAAAAGATTTAGTTTTTTAAAGTGCTTTTTTTTTAGCAATTTAAAAGTTATTCACGTTTGAATGAGGCATCGAACATAAAAACCCACCACCCACGTTTAGTGACTGAATAATAACTTTACAAATTTTGAATTTTTTCCAGGTTCTGATTTTTTGTGCTCAATAAAAAAAAAAAATCAAAGAATGTAAGACTTTGCAGCTCATAAATTCACGTATCTAGGATAAGCAAAAAATTACAATAACTCAAAACTCAACTGATATATTAACTTTTAAAGCTTGTTCACATTCATAATTTCATTTCTTTTATTTATTGATTTATTGAACTTCTCTCTGAATAATTGTAAGATACATAGTGCTGATAAAATGCTGTCGGGCTAAGGAACTAGATAAGTTTTGGTTTCGCGATTCGAGAGCCGAACAAATCAAGTTTTAACTGTCAAAGTCGGACGATAATGTGTTAAATTTACTAGGATATAACATCTTAGTTTCTGTGTAAATTCCCGTGTGGACATAATAATGTAGGCACTGAAATCGCTTGTCTTTGGGTTCATCAGCTTTGGGGCAAATTCAATTCCCTGGTTTCAGTGTGGGGAATTTACAAATGTGAACATGTACTGCCATAGGTACGATTTTAACCATTAAATGCACGACTGAATTTTCACCAGAACACAAAACTAGGTCAAACATTATACGCATATAGAATCATTTGCTTTTCATGCAGTTTCTTCGTTTCTAACAACAACACCACTCAAAATTCAAAGGACAATGTTCAAACACCAACCTGTTGAAGTTTCAGCTCAGTGGATATTACACTTTTCGAGAAATCAGTGAAAAAAAGCAACCTTGTGATCATGAAAAGCACGATTTTGTCAATAGCACTCTTTATTCCCAAAGTCAACTGTTTTCAACTGTTTTTCTGTTTTCCTGTTTTTCGTCCCAGTTTCATAAAATGCAGGAGAAATTCGCGTTGCACCAAGACAGATCCGAACAAGACATAGTTTCATTAAAGAGAGATACCGGTAAGTTGTCCGTATACTTTCGGCAAATGAGGGCGCTGGGTAGACATGCATTTCGATGGTCCCGTGTTGTCTTCAGCAGTTTTCCGTCGTGTTTCATGCATACGTATCCCCCCTCCCCCCCCCCCCCCCCAAAAAAATAAAAACAATAAAATAACTTTCTTGTACGTGGCGCTGGGCGCCGTTTTAAGTGATGGCGTCATCATGATTGTTTTTTTTGTGTGTTGAGCGACTCCCACTGAATTATTTTAATTACAGTAAACATTTCCGTTTTCAAGTGTGTGTTTTTATCATATATTTCCGTCATCATGACGTCACAGTAATATGCACACCTCGGGATAAGGCTTGATACTCGGTGCAAGTTTCTTCAGGTTAATGTGGTGTTCCGTTCGAAAGAAAAGCCTCGGAGAATCTTTCTTGAATCTTGCTTGAAATTGAGGGTCGAATGGAAGCCTATATAGGGCTTATATGACCCAATAAATCTTGAAAAAAGTAAAACTGCTGCAAACTGCTGTTTTAGCCTCTGAAGAAGAACTTGCTAAGTTCGCAACGTCAGGCCACATTAATTTTAAGATTCCAATAAATCTTGGTCAGAACTAATCTGATCTTAACTAATTCAAAAAAAAAACACAACACAACAACACGAAAGACGACCGAAGAAAAAATCAAAGGGTGGTGGGCCAGTCAGTCATCAGCCACATCACCTAAATATCAAACAGGAACAAGTTTCAAACGAGGGCCTATGGGCCTCATTCATGAGTCGGCCATATTAGAGTGAGAGTGACGTCAAATCTTCACTTTTTTGTAACTTGTGTAGAGAAATGAAAGCAATGACGTTACAAATTAATACCAGTCTGCTCTGATGAATAATTTAAAATTTGTGATTAAGCTTACCCTAATGTTTTAAGGCACATTTCAAAAGAAATGAAAGCGAGGCTATATAGTGAATAAAAAGTCTGGCACCATCCCATACAACAGTTCACAATTTATGAAATACATTCAGGGAACACGACAAAAATTGCCAACTTGTGCATAAGGCCCATGTCGTGGAGTTGCAGAGACATTTTGTCCTCGGCAGCAGATGACAAAACTTTGCTTAGCTGAGGAAGAGGTTGCCAAGCAATGTGGCATGATGTAGGCCTACATTGGCATCCAGACTAGCCTTTAGTCAAGTCCCACGCGCCTATACTCGGACCATCCGGACACGTAACGCACACCGGATGCTGGCACGTAAAAAGACTAGCACGAGCGGCGAAGCTCGTGGAACTAATCACTTATTCATTTATTCACGTAATATAAATCAAGCAATATAAACCAATCATCCAACGGTGGTTTGCGGTTACCAGCAACAACACCTGCGCCATGGCGCGCGTGCTGTCTGGCGCCAGACGACGGCTGATTTACGTTAGTAATTCTGCATTTTCATTGGTCAATTCACAACGGGTAATGCATTATGCATGTCTACCAAATCGGTAGACAAAATGTAAAGAAAAACATAAGAGTTCTCCACGAGATGGTAAAGGCCCTCGCGGCTTCGCCGCACGTGCTAGTCTTTTTACGTGTCAGCATCCGGGGTGCGTCACGTGTCCGGGTAAGCGCGTGGGACTTGACTAAAGGCTACATCCAGACTGGTTCTCAACCCATTGTATGCAAGTACAATGTCCTTTTCATTGCAACATTTTCCACGGACTCGGCCACGTGTCTCACATGAATTATACTCTTTCTCCCCTCCCCTCCCTCATTGCAGTTAAGCCCCGCCCATTCTCGCTAGCTTCCTTGCAGAGTACCGCGAGGAGACTGCGGGAACTTCTGAGTCTAACTAATGCCATCGAACCACGTGGCTCGCAGTATACCTAACGTAGCATGCCTATTCACGAGACCGGACAGCCTTCAGTCAAGTCGCTTTCTACTCTGTATTCTACATTAAGTCTGCTCTTGAATCGTTATTTCCTATTGTTATCTGCGGACACAAATTAGACTATTAAATATTAGTCTATGTTGAGACTGGAATCAAGGCTTACACGATAATTTAAGTTAATACTATATTTTTTTCATAATTGTATTAATGACGTAAGTTCAGAAATCACTTTCATAACGGTTGTTAATTTTTAAAGGTCTATACAAGGAATGACTCGTTCCCTTTGTTGTAAGACATCCAATACAATTAGAAAATGTAAATTTTTTTAAAGGCCGAACAAGAACTGTTCCGGTGCCGTCAAATAAAATTTGACATTACGTCGGGTATTCAGACGTGGGAGCACACCAGACACAACTTGGGTATTCATGGTGCCTGTCCACTTCACTGGTTACCAGAAAGTCTTTATATTGGGCACGTACAAAGCTGAAAACCAGTGATATTAAATGATATGAATAATAATATTTTCACTAATTATTTAGGAGGTCCATTAGTTTTAGGGTGGGGGAGTTGGCCTTGTGGTTAGGGTTCGTGATCCATGATCAGAGGGCAAGGGGCTCGAATCAAGATGCTGGCAATATGTTGTGTCCTTGGGCAAGTCACTTCACCCCACTTGCCCCTCTCCACCCAGGAGTATAAATGGGTACCGGCATTACCTGGGGAGTAACCTGCGATGGACCGTCATCCTGTCCGGGGGGGGGTATAACTATTCTCCAAGGGTTTCTTGTCAAGGAAACCGCCGACCTGATGGCCTATATATTGGCTCGTGACAGACTTTGCTTACTTTTCATTAGTTTTAAGGGCCTACGAAAATATTACCTCCGCTAAGGAGATTATGTTTTCATCGGCGTTGATTAGTTTGTTCTTTAGTTCATTTGTTTGTAAACAACACATCTCAAAAAGTTATAGATGGATTTGCATATTTTGTACAAGTACAAATCGATTATTTTGGAAGTGATCCGGATCTGGGTCTGGATCCAGAATTTGTTTTAAGGATTCTGCACCATTTATGCGAGTATTTCTGTTGGGTGTTATTTTATTTTATATCTTCGGACAATATTTAAAAATCTATTTAAAAAAAAAGGAAAATTGTCCTGGTCTAGACAAACGTTTATTATAGGATATTGTTCTGACAATATGGCGGGGAATCGTTTGACCTTGGTGGAGGTTTGCGCTCTCTGAGTGCTGTCGAGTTAACTAAGTATTTTTAACATTATATTTTTTGCAAACAGCTAGGGCTAATATCATTTTGTCTCATTATCATTGTTGAGTTAAAGCTTAAGGATTAATTCATGTTATAATCTGTATTTAGCTTATTAAAAGTACGTTTGACGATGAAGGCATATTGTGTTATAATGACGAACTCGTAAAAAAATGACTATTGTATTTGGTGATGACCGCAACTTTGACATCGAATAAAAGTTTGAATTAAACTGGAAAAATGCACCGGCTTTTTAATTTGTTTTCAACAGCAGTTTATGTATTTGCATGTTTTTTCCCCATCCACGAAACTAACATTGATTTACAGGATTGTGGTTCAACTTTACACTCTCTAAAAGGGTTATTCCGAGCCGACCCACCTAGGTCATGGAAGTGTCCGACTCAGATTTGCCTGATACTTTTTCTCAACGAACCATTATGAGTGGAATGAACACACACCAAATTGTGGCTCTCGTTTCTGAGATATGCCCCCTGGAGGAATGTAGCCCCTCCCCTTTTTCCTCGCCATGTTGCACCAGTGGTTAGGCCAAAAAAAAAGTCCCCGGTTTCTGGTATGCGCACGCGTCGCCGTAGCCATGCGCGTCGGCAAAATGAAAAAGTTTTTTTTTTCAATGAAAGATGATGTCTCAAAACCGCCAAACTCACTGGTTTGACTGGAATCCTGCTGCTAAACAATTTTAACGTGTTTTTAGATTGGGTTATGATCGTGAATAAGCTTTATGTGGCCTCTCTGGACTCCCATATATTTGCACTAAGTTTAGTCGGCACCATTTGCAGTCATCAGCACACATTTGAAGCAAAAAAATCAGGTAAAAAAAAAAAAAGCCGCGTCGCCGCATCACTTTTTGGGCAAGCTCCATACCAGAAACCGGAGACTTTTTTTTGGCCTTAGGGGGCATTTTTTTCAGAGGCCTGTATTTCTATGAGTAGAGAATACATTGTGCTGTATATTAGTGTACAGACAAAATTGAACCCATCTAATCTGTTGCTGGTGTTAAAATCTGCAACATTTTCTTAGTATCGCCCCTTTGAAACCTTAATTTGAGCAAAAAAGCCAGACATTAGTTATGATTTTTCCTTTTTCAGATCCAGTTGTGCCGACATGATAAGCCAGATTGCTTTCATATTACTCAGGGGTTATACTTCAGGAAAACATCTATGCTGCAAAGCAAGGATACACCAATCTCATTTCTGGTGATGTTTTCTAGGGGTCTAAAGTTGGGACTTTTGACCCAAAAAATGCCAAAAACACACCCTCCTTCCATTGCATTTTTTAAGATGTGGGACATTACCCACCTAAATGAAACCTTCACATCTTAATTTCATACTATTTAGGACAGAAAATTCAGTTTGGCTTCTTGACTCCTCCATGGCCAAATCTCTCTTTCAATACGTCATTGCATGTATGAAGCAAATTCAGGTTGTAAATAAGGTAACTATAAAAACTAATATTAAAGGAATAGCATTATTATGCTAGTATTTACCCCAAAAGTAGGCCTAACTCCTGAACCAGAAACAGAAAAAAAATAAGCCTGGATAAATAAATAGCAGGAAATTCATGAATTGGATAAAGCGTTGTGAGCATCGGAGTCATGTTGATTTTTATACCTTGATCCACACATAGTTCTATACGCCCGAGGACAATGCTTGGTATTTCCCTTGTCCCTGCAATATAACACCAAAAGACCCAACGCTCGAGGACTGAAAGGATCTTTTGTTCTCCCTTTGTGTGTTTGTCCTTTATCGTAAAGCCGTACATGTAACCACACACATAATGTTATAAAAGGTTGTCAGAAGAACATTAATTGAGAGGGAAGATGAAACGAATACAAATCGTCAACAAATTATCCTCCGGGTTCAACGGCCAACGGCCGCAGAATCAACACGGTCCCCTATGCCTTTCGGTGGGATGATCCAGATTGGCATATCGAACTAATCAAGGATTTTTGTATTGTCATCCCAGCGTCTCCTCAAGGAATTGTTTTCTTTGCAGCTTTCTCCTCCGCGAAATATTAAAAAGACCTACTCTTTCACTGTGCGGGTTGAACCACCTTTAAAGCAGATTGCTCGGAGTATAAATCACTTGCTTCAAAATATCATACAGTTATGATAAATACAGTTTAATATTTCTGAAAGAAAACATTGACTAATGTTGACCTGGAATCATCAGTTAGGCACCCAAGTAGCACTGTTAGCAGGCGGAGCCGAATGGAGACCACGCCGAGTTTTGGGAAAATCCCGGTAACGGTCGTCAAATTCAAAATAGTTCACGACGCAGCAAAAGAATCGCCCCTCGTATACGATCCGCCGACTAGATGTGCAAAATCGTCGTTGAATTTCAAGTTTTCTAAATGAAAGCAATGAATGTTAATTATCAACTAATTTTTTACAGTTTTTAATAAGACATTAGTAGTTAATAAAACCTACGTTGACTCGGAAATACTTGGGCGCTATCCGATTGTCGACGAAACAAATTCGGCAAACTGCGGACATTTTCGGAAAAAGGAGGCGTTCCTCCCGTTTTAGTCCCGTGACGTAAATTGTAATACAATGTACTACCGAAGGCTACCTGACCTAAGATTCATCAGGAATAGTCAGAATCTGTTGGTCTGGGAACCAGACTAGACGTGCCAGTGACCATCGTCTGGCGTTCGCATGTTGCTATTGGTGCGCAGGCGCAAGTTACGTCACGAATCAACCACTAGTCGACTAATGGTCCTCCGCATGAACTTGCTCTATATAATGGTTGCAGACCAGTAAATCGGTCCGAAATTGCCTGCGCCGTCATCTTCAGTATTTGAGCATGCTGTGGGCCATGAACTTGAGGGTTTGTAACAAATGTGGGTGTAAGCCGTGCACAGGACTGTGAGCTTGTAGATCCGTTCAATTTTGATGAACTTGGGGCCCTTAAAGCGCTCTATTTTGCAATGGAGTGTAGGCATCGTTTTTCAACATGGCGATGGGCTTCAGGACTATTTTCAGGGGTGATCTTCTTCGGATGGAAATTTCTCCTAAAAATCATCAGTTAACCCCCCAAAAATTGAAAAGAAAATGAAAGATGATGAAATAAGCTTCAATTTGATGTGTGTCTCGAACACCTTGGAGAGTTGTGAGTATTTTCCCCGAATTTCTGAAGTGTGAGCATTTACCATTGGGGTCTATGGAAGTTTATTTACTGGTCTGCAACCCTAATGGTCCTCCGCACGAACTTGCTCTATACGACTTCTGAGCTAATAAACCACTGAATATGAATAGAGATCAGGCGCCCAGGCAGTCTCGTGTGTCTGTCGTACGTGTTTGTCCGTCACAACCCGGGGGACCCACTCCCCGTGGTGTACGTGGTTGGTGTATAGATTACTCATTTCCTTTTTGTTGTTTACACAACGCATAAACCATGATTATATACATCCAATCTTCCCGCGCCTTTCTTGTCTATGAAAAAAAAAAATCCCGCATTAACTCAGGATCGCATAGAAGAATAAACTATAGAATCAACAAGCCATCATACGAAAAATCGGCCCACAATAAGTAAATAAAATCTTATTATAATTGAGTGTCTATGAATCTTGGTGTTTTGTTAAAATAAAGGAATATGTTTAGACGACCAAATAAGTGCAACCTTAAGTTGGCACCTTTTAATAAGTGTTGTAGTACCAGGTTCGCCGAAATACAGTTTACTTATTGTTTCCAGAAGACAATTAAAATCTCAAAATGTATCTTTCCCTCTCCTGTGTTGTTTAACTCCCTCTTTCATTTCTGTCCCGATTTGTTTTTGCAAAATCTCGGAATCCGTGTTTCGATTCCACTCCCTCCGCTGTCTCACACACAACTTGGTTGGCCTACCTGTCATTACGGTGACCTTTTCGTTATTTTAAAGAAAACAAGTTTCCATACACATCTATCTCATTTATTTCGGTCAGCTATTAACCTCGTTATATATCTCCCATAAGACCCCCGGGTTTTAATATCTTCCCGTCTACCCAGCGACAACAAGTCGCTCATCAGTAAGGATCAAGACCTAATGTAATAGTTGTTTGGCCAAATCGCTGACATGAATTTCCCTGGCGTGACACAGGACAACTCCGGGAAATAATAGAACACAAACACGAACGCGCATCCCTGACGCGAAATATATTTTTTTTGCCCCAACTCGGCGTCAAGAAAAAAAAAAAAGTGGCCCGGGGGGGGGGGGATTGCGAAAACCATAAATACACGAGACGAGATATTCGGTTGATAAGAAGAAAAAACATTAAGTTGCACGGAGAGGCCACCTGGGCAATGTGGAGGCGGAAACATCTTTATTTGAATTTTGTTATGGTTTTAACTGCCTGTAGTATTTTTTTTCTCATTTTGCATCAGAAATGAAAACAAGGACCGTTTGAATCTGATCTGAACAGTACTGCTCCGCATAATAATGACGTAGAAAATAGTTTAGTGAAAAAAAGAGTAGTTTTCACAAACACGCCGGCCTTGAAACATCATTAAGGCCTCTGCCACTGGTTTGGATTCTTTGAAATAAATAGGTACAAATGTACATGTTTGAGCTAAAAAGAAAAACCACGAGTGATTGATCTGATCTCAGTAGTTATGCTCTGCATAATTATGACGAAGGAAATAGTTTACCGTAAGAAAGGGTAGTTTCCACAAACATGCCGGCCTGGAAACATATAAAAGCCTCTGCCATGCACTGGTTTTTATTCTTCAAAAAAGAAGAACGTACAAATGTACAAATAAATGGATACTTTACATTATATATCGTTACTTTAATTTGGCAAATACAACATGGAAGGCATAATTTACGTTCTGACGAATAAATTAACTATATGTAGTAACTTTGGCATAATTTATACAATCCGAGTGTAGTATTCTAATTTAAGTAATATTTGTTTACAGTAATTAACTTTGGCCATTGAAACAAGGTTTGCCGTTGTTCATTGTTATTTTTTTTAAAGAGGAATGACCTGGTCCGCTTTGCGGGGTAACGCCCGTTTCGGGCGATCAACTCGAATAGTACACACACATAAAAAGGCACACACATACTGGAATGTGTATCCTAGTGGAGTCATTTCTTTGTTCTCGTAAAACTTTTGAGTTTGAATTATCTAGTTTCAAAATGCTCCTATTTTAACCAGATCATAATTTCCTGGACTGAAATTCGGACTTAATATCCCTTACGTAAAATACTTCAATTTGCGACGCATCAACACACCTTGGCAATTCTTCGCTCGTACCTCCCGCCCTGCAAACAGGGATGCTCTGATGAATTTACGCTCTTTGGATTGGTTGGATTTTGCGTGACCTGTGACCTGCGCGTCATCACGGTCATGACTCTGCAAGGTTTGAAACGGCCGTTAAGACTGATTCATTACTCTTTTATTCCAGTTTAGACTTTAGACATGTTTTTTTTTTCTTTGAAAAGCGTAATAATGTAGGAAACTCTGTAAAACTTATCTGTGTTGTAAATTGACAATCCCCGTCACTTACTCGGGCTCCGTTTCGAATCACGAACGGTCTGATTGCATTATGCGACGCTCAAAATTTCGTCCACATGGTCCGCAATGAAACAGAAATCACATCCGGTATGGAATGTGCGCATTTCTATGGGAAGTTTTCGGATAGCATTTGCGCACATTGTCTAACTGCGCTCTTAAACAGCTGTAGCTGTGCTTTATACATAGGTCATAGGCCACTTCCTTCACAAGATTCTGTTAAGCTCATCAGAGTATCACAGCGTCCTGTTTGCAGGACGGGGGGTACGAGCGAAGGCAATTCCTAGCTTTTGAGTAAAATCCATATATCGATTTCGTGATAATCTTGTGGAGACGAATTCACCTGTAGAAATTGCTCTATGGAGACGTAGGCCTATACAATCTTCTGTTCCTATTATACACGGGTCTCCATAAGGCAGTGAATTATTTGATGGCCGTGCTTTGACGCCAGTTCGGCGCCTGTCTGGCATCCAGAAAATGTAAATTACCATTGGGTTGTGTTTCAAAACAGGCTAGACTCTTCATTAAAACAATACATCGCCGACACGAGTTTACTTGACACAAAAAGCAAATTGGTCTATTGTCCCGTGTGGCTAAACTGCATGAATATTAGAAAAACAGAACTTGAAACATGCAAAGTTCACAAACCTCTTTCATGATTTGTATGCAACACTTTTTGTTGATGCACAAATATCAGCTGAGTTGGCCTATTTGAAAACATCATGTTAAATACACACATTGGAACGCCAACATTAGTTATGTATACATGTATGTATGAGATCGAGACTAACAGACCGCACCAGCGCGGTCTCCGAACGTGTATGCCACGACGCATTGGACTCCACTTTTTTGCTCCAAAATGCTGCATACCAAAACATTTTTCCCGATCAGGCAAATGTTATGACCACTAAAGTTTAGCCTGGAAACATGCCCAAACGGTTAACATTTTGATTCAGTTCATACCTAAACACTCACTGCATGATGATATATCATTAATAAATACCTTGGAGAGTTGATGGTTTCTGATTGGTCGAGACTCGATCACGTGGCCGGTCATTAACGGTGATAATGGACCGGCTTCAAAGATCAAGCGAATAAATGGCCCCTGAACCAGCATTGATCAAGCCCCGTTCAGCCCCATGCAAGCCAATGATTGGTCAAAATATAGTAACAGTCCTGCGGTAGCTTTTAACAATTGAGCACTGCACATGCCTCAACCCCCATCGCGTGCGGAGACTGACGCGCGCGTACGCAACACAGTTGCTAGGGATGCGTGCGTGCGCGCGCGTAAGGAAGTTTTGAAACGACATCGTACAGCAGTGCAGTATGGTGGTGTACCCTAACGTGGCGCACTTCGAAGCATACCCAAATTTCCTCGTGTAGTGTTGCCAAACCTCTTTGTTGACAAACCTCAAATTCATGCAGTGAAATACTGGTATTTTACCTTATTAATGCTTGCTGTTTAACCTCCGTGAACAATTTCGGTTTCATAAAATTTAACCCGAAATTAAAAAACGGTGGCGTCCGGAAATTGGGCACAATTTGGCGGAGTGTTCCCTAACGTGGCGCACTTAAATAAATCTCAGGAAATTCCAAATTAACATTTAAGAATTTCTGAAAACTTGATAAATTCTGATAAATCATTATTATCTCTACTTACATACCCAGCCAGATGTTTGTCACAAAATTATTTTCTTATTTTTCGGGGCATTTTCAAAGGGTTCACTTTGCACTTGAAAATAAAATCGAAAAATCACGCCAAAATAAGTTTTTCTTTTAACTTTGTAGCGGGTAAATAAATTCGCGATTTATGAACGGGAGTGTTTATAACTTGATGAAATTTCACTTTCTGTGAAATTTCAGTTAAAACTTTTGCTCTAGCTAGGCGCTACAGGCGAAAAATCAAAGTGCGCCACGTTAGGGGCCGCGCCACGTTAGAGTACATCAACAATATATACTGAGGATGTTTACGACGAAAGCGTAGATCTACGATTTATTTTCTTTGAACACTTCACCCACCGACATATTTACCTTTCCTAAAACAAACATCATTATAATTCCGGACACAAGGAATGTGTAAACGAGATTTCAGCTTCCTCCATCAGGTAAAGATATGAAAACATTGTTGTAATTTGTTTCGCTACGACAGCAGTTTCTGTTGGGTTTACGTCGTTATAGCTGTTGAGCTAAAATATGGCCCATGAACATGAACACCAAAAAAGGCTGGAAATATCGCCGAAAGAAAGTCACAAAATTGGAGCATTTTAACTGTTTATTTCGTTATAAAGGTATTTATTAATGGGAATAACAGTGTGAGGATCCGGTCTTCACTGCGTGATAATGACCGGGTGTGGGGGTGACCGCTGTTAATGGACCTCGACTTCGTCTCGGTCCATTAATAGCGGTCACCCCCACACCCGGTCATTATCACGCAGTGAAGACCGGCTCCTCGCACTGTTATTCCCTTAATCAAACCTTCAAAACGCTTAATGTGTTGCTCAAAAAACAAAAGGTTGAGATATGCTGGCCGTCTACGGCTATTTCAGCCCTAGTCACTGCTACATAACCAGCACACTTTCCCCAAAAAAATGGTTCGGCCACCTTTCTATATGCAAAGCCTCATTGGCCTGGGGTTTTGTGCGTAAACCTTATCAGTCGGACGATCACACTCAATTAATTGACTTCAGCAAAACTGCAAGTCCCATCATAAAGAATAAGTTAACCGGACCATTTTTTCCAAGAGTGTGATTCTAATGTAGCCGCAAAACGCAGAAGATTCCCAGCAACTGCAGGCTTAAGTTTCAAGGATTTCGGCAAGAGAAGGCTCGACGCCACTCTGTTTTAGAGTTTTGCTCTACATCTTTTGCACGATCGCTTTAAGGTGGTTTCAAGAGTCATGTACGTCTTCTCTTCACACGCTCACCACGCCTCGTCTTCTAACCCTTGGAGGCTGTGTAAAGAAGAAAGAAGAAGACAAATCAAACAACAAACTTTCCCGTTAAGCGTGTTGAGAGTTACACTGGAAATATGGCGGTGTTACAGTAAGATCTCGAGGTGTCGACCTCAATAGAATCTACTTGGTGTATTTAACACTGCAGGTTTTGCAGTATAATCTTGGAATTTTTGTTTGAGATCATTTTTCAGTTTTGTTTAATTACCTATGCCTCCGAATTTCGCAACTCGTACAGACGTGTCGGAAACTTTGGTTACCAACAAGAGTTGTTTTTAAGACCTGATCTAGCACGATTGTTTATGGTGTAAATCGAGGATTTTCTTTTGTTCCTCTTTCCTTTGTTTGTACTTTTTCGCAAGAGCTCTCATTGGTTTACACGTTTGCTAATCGAGGTTGTCCTCGATTTGGTTCCTGTCCTCGATTCACCGATGATGTTGCACGTGTGTGTCCTCGATTTACACCATGAACAAACGCAGTCTTTCTAGTTTCAATTTTGCAGTTTTACACTCACCGCACTCTTTGCTCGCACTGTGCAACTCGGCGCACCTTTGACCCCCGACCCCGGCCAGCGCGCCCATCCCGTTGACCCCTTGGTGGTCGACGGCTTGTTGACGATGGGGGCGCCCTTCTGCTCCTGCTGGAGCGTATCAACCACTTTAGACTTGAACTCCGCCCAGTTGACGTCGACAAGGTATTTCTTGTACAGGTCTTCACTCGACGGAATTCTGGCGTGAAAACAAAATATTTGTTTTTTCCAAAACAATTAAGTCTCCAAAAATATGTCGATGCAGTTAAAACCTGTGCCGTTAGAAAGAAAGTCCTAGGTTCGAACCCATCGTCCTGCCAAAGATTGTAACCGCTAATTTCTTTCACTCATTTGATACAAATTTGACCTCGGGTCAGGACTTCCGTGAGTGCTTACGGAACCAATGTAAATTGATTATGTTAGCCAGCGACCCACAATTCTTTGCAAAGTCTGAGTTTCAGTTTAAAAAAAAAATACGGGAAAGAGCTAAATCAACAACCAGCGAAGCCGAAAAAAAGTAGTCTGTTTCCCTGACCCATTGTCCTTCGGCCTCAAAAGTGGGGACAGGTAGCCAGCGGTGAATCTTCCATACATCAGTAGGCATCCCTCCTGATGTATGCAAATGATATGCATGACGTGTACAGGTCTGAATCCCGCCTCCTGAATTGAAAATCACAACGGTATAATGTTTGCCCGCAACCAGCCTATTGCAAAAATGGCTATAGGCCGCGCCACAAATGTAGAATTTCGGAGGTGATGGACTGATGGGCTTCGATTTTTGCTGAATTCGAAAGTGTCTCTGGCAAATATCAATAAAGTGAGAAAAATGAGTATTTAAAGTGGTCAGTTTTTAAAACCTATGCAGTTTAAATGCTTGAAAGTGACCTTCATGGAGACACTGATGATTTTGCGTATTTTTTGTGTTAAGACAAGAATAAGTTTTGTTTTATAATTGTGTGTTGAATCACCGTCCATGCACAGAGCTAACAGTGATTTCAAAATAAACAATCATGATGCGCGCGGAGATGTGATCCAATCAATGGCTTTTTTAAATAGGAGCTATAGCTACCGGTCCTCATATTTTCTTTAGGGGGGGGGGGCAGTCTTGAAAAAAAGGCCATCCTTCGGGGAAACTCTTGGTGGCGTCATTTACCTCAAGGTCTGCACTGGCTGCCTACGGAGCTTATCCAAAACCTCTTTTGGAGCGAACTTTTCCAACTTCCGCTTGGACATCTGCATCAGCCTGACGCCGTTGCTAATCAGTATGACACCGGGAGAAGTTCGCTTCTCGTCGGCGTGCATCAAGGCAATTTCCTGGAGGTAAAATTATTTTTAAAAATTAATAAAGAAATTGGGGGGGGGGGGGTGTTGCTGTCATTACTGATAACAATGGTTGTTGTTGATAATGTCGTCTTTCGTTTGTTGTCGTGTGTCTTTTTTCCCTCTGTCTTCTGTTGCTCTTGATTTTGTTATTGTCGTTGTAAATGTCTTTGAGGTCGTGATCGTTACTGTCCGATAATGTCTTGAACTTCTTGTTTTGCAAATGTTAATTAAACTTCAGTTTAATGTCATATAAAGCTGTATCATCTCTGAGTGAGGCCCCGCTTTCTATTTCAAAGGTTTGCAACATTGCTAATTTTGCTAATATCTTGACTTATGGCGTGATCCCTGACTACATGGCATATATACGGATTTCTGGCTTCTGACTAGCGCCCCTTGAACAAAGACATTGACAAAATGGGGAACCGCCAACAGGGGGCTGGATGGCTCAATTGGTAGAGCACCGGAGGTCGCAAGTTCAAACTTCGTCATTCACGTGTGCAGAGCCACACGACGGACGTCTGATATATCCTAGCATGCCAATATTATGCGACTAAGATGTGGACTAAGCTGTTGATTGGTCAATTTGGCTATCATGTTTTTGACTTCCGTATCGGGTTACGGAAGTCTCGATACAGAGGGCGCCCGCTGAATGGTCAGAATCTGGTGGTCAAGCCGCAGACTAGTTGCGTATTAATGAACAGATTTGTATTTGAGTCACCAGACATTGAGTCTGAGTCCGAGTCCGGGAGTCATACAGGTCGAGTCCGAGTCTGAGTCACGAGTCACCTTTATATATATTTTATATTGCAAATAAATGTTGAGCTAGGCACTGCTATAAAACCTCACAGTGTAAATGTTTTCATTTTCACAGCTTTTCTCTAATCGAATGAACTGGAAATACATGCATAACATGTCAAATAAGGCAAGGCGCCAGTGTCTGGAAAGGATGATCTTGTATGGAACACTATGAAGCTTTCATTTACACAATATCAAGTGCAGACGCTGAGGTACATGTTTCGATACATTGATTTCCCAAATCACTTGTTTACATGTATATCGGAAACAAGCCAGCCGCACGCGCTGTGTATGTACAGTACTTAGATGCGTTTCTCCTGTACCGCACAGACTGTATCGCGTGCTCAGGAGAGGATCGTCTTCAAAATAATTTGTGACTATATAATTGAAAAAATTAATAAAAAATACGTAATTTGTGGTAACTTGGTTGAGTCCCGAGGCACGCCGGTCGAGTCCGGGTCCAAGTCCGAGTCCGCTGGGTCGAGTTCGAGTCCAAGTCCGAGTCCGCTGGGTCGAGTTCGAGTCCAAGTCCGAGTCCGCTGGGTCGAGTCCGAGTCACGTGTCATGGTGACTCGAGTCCGAGTCCCAGTCACGGAAAATGGGACTCGAGTTGGACTCGAGTCCGAGTCGAGTCACGAGTCATACAAGTCTGAGAATTAATCTCCGAATCTGCTCGCATATCATAAACCCTTGCTGTTCAAGGGGATATTCCATAGACTAGTTCAAACCCCGCTCCAGTCAATATCTTTGTTCATCCGAAAAAAAAATAAATGAAACGGTACTTTGGATTGCAAATCCAACGTTGGTTTCGGTTTCGTCGCGTTCCTCAGAAGATCTTCCGTCAGACAGAGAGCTCACATAATCAGCTCCCTCCCAGTGAATTATGCGGTCTCCCACCTAACTCCTACGTAATTAATTTCTTTGAGAAAATAATAACGCCTTCAAGCACACGTCATGAGTGATAAACCACAAACTATGAAAATGCTCTCTTAGCTTCAGACGAGAACGGAAGTGAATTCAGAATTGCATTATGGTTTTGTCTCAAAACAAAATTAAATCAAACGAACGACTACAGCATCGAGTTTCTCTAAGTATTCCGGCAAGCGTGTTTCTGAAATGCTCATTGGTCTTCGGGGCTTCACAACAAAAGACACATTTTGGGATAAATAGCTGTTTCTGAGGAAGTCCACGATTATTTGTTATCAACTGTCGTTTTCAATTTATACCAATTGCAAAGAAAGAAGCTAGGGTGTCGATGTCACCAACATTGGCTGATATTTCACAGATACTAACAGAATCACCCCGACATTGATTGTGCGTGCGTATTTATTTTGCGTTTCAATTGAAATGAAATTACAGGGCATAATACAGATACATATCAAATGTAAAACAGCGCCTCATGCAATACTGCACTGCTCAGGGCATAATATCCGGTACAGAATGACAGCATTATATATTTATTTTTATTCAAAAAGAGGGGGGCACTACCACTGATCTCTATATAAAGACTGGATAGCGGATATGCATACAACATTCACACAGTAGACTTTGCATATTGACCAATTCGCCCCCGGTCTCACGAAGATGGCCGCGTATAATACGAACGTTCTATGCGTAAATACGCGCGCGTTGTATCAACAGTTGACGCGCATTTTGGTCACACATATTATGATGTTCTAAAAGGGACACATTTCCGTAGTGATTATTATTTCAAAACGCCGAAAAAGTGATATTTGCGGCATTTTAGTAACCACGACGTTAGAAAAATTGTAGTTAACCTAGGTCAGTGGAGGTGGTCAAAATATATTAAGTCAAGTGAACCGCGACGTTACAAAAGAAATCATGCTGTCTATAAAAACGGCAACTTGTCCTTTGTAGATCACCAGCCGGTCTCACCAATATGGCGTCAAATTCATTCATTGTGCGGCTCTTTATTAGCTGTCCAGTCTTTATATAGAGATCAGTGGGCACTACTCGGCATTCCTTCTCAAAAACGAATCTGTGTACTTCACCATTAATCACCATCGTGTTAATCTTCTACTGCTATAAGAATGGAATGACACATTTGGTGAAGTTACCGTGCAGTCGCCCTCTCGTAGCTCGCCCACCCCCATGAAACAACTGTTCTTGGCGGTGGCTTGAGGGAGAGTCTGCCGCCCTCTGTTGGTTGACTCGTGTCCAGCCTTGGGCGCTGGTAAGGTCTTGTCCCCGTAGGCTTGAATCGAGGTGTCTTTGTGGGCCGCCGAAAGGTCGAATTCTTTCAGCATGGTGACTTTCCCCTGAATCAAGTTTTTACAAATTTTGATTTGATAAATCAGATTGTGTCAACTTTAATCAAAAAAGCAATTAAGTTCCTATTTTTTTTGATGAATACTGAGAGTATTGATGATGGGAGGTCATTGCCGGTACACATTTTACAGTCAGAGATCGAGGGTACACGGGCCTATCAATGGACACAACACATATGGCATGCAACTGGATTCGAACCCCGACCCTCCGAACAGATTCATTTCTCAAAACACCAGGTCTCACTAATTATTAGAGTCCATCAAAATGTTCTCAAAAGTCAACAACATGGGTGTCGCGAGGGGGGGGGGGGCAAGGGGGCGCTTGCCCCTCCCCCTGGAAAACGAAAAAAAGAAAACAAAAGTAGAAAAAAAAACAAAGAAAAAGAGGTGCGAAGCCATATTGCAGTTAATTTGGGGGGGGGGGGGCAAATGCTCCCCTGCTAACGCTCGGAGAAATGATAAATTGAGAATAATGAAAAGTCATATCCTAAGTCACGTCACATGACGTTCAGATGAACACTTACAAAGGCACTACTTGGTACTGGTCTATTCCCTGTTTATGACTGGACTATGGGCCTTCTTCACGAAATTGAAAGTAAGGTAAAATCTTGATTTTTGAAACTTGTGAAGAGAACTGAAAGCAACTTTATTTATAATTAATTCCAGTCTGCCTCAATGAATAATTTTAAATTTGTAATTAAACATTTCCTAATGTTTAAAGCCAGATTTTAAAAAAAATAAGGCTGCTTTTTGCCTGCAATAAATAGTCTGGCGCCATCCCATCCCATTCAACAGTAATGAAATGCATTCAAGGAACTCGACCAAAATGGCCAACTCGTGAATAAGGCCATTGTCTTGAGAGATTTGTGAATTCTGTCAATATTGTGAGCACACTGGTTTGGAAAGTGACTAGTTTTACTAGGATCAGTTAGCAGAGTGCCGGTACTCCGGAGGTCGCAGGTTCAAATCCCACTGCAGAGGATTTATCTGATAATATTCATGCAACTTACACCGAGAATGAAGTAAATAGTATCAGTATGGGCTGTGTCCCTCTCAACCACCCGGTCGTAGGCGACCTCCTCGATGTACGACTCGAAGCACAGACGCTCCAAATCCTCGGCCGGAAACTGCCGGAAAATCTCAACGTTCCTGGTACAGAACAATTCAAAATAGGGTTAAATTAGAATTCAAGGGCAAAAAATGACAGGAACAATCCTTCAAGGACAATATAAACCCATAAACCTAAAGTAAATTTTACTAAGATAAAAGAATACTACTTGCGTTTGTGTCCATCTTTTGCCAATTTTATTTTACCCATTTTTAAGTATACCCCACCAAAACAAAAGGCTATATGAGGCGAATGAGGGCGCTCTAACGGTGAGCTCTAGTAATCAGTAAAAAAGTCACTTTTTAACTGATTTCAAAATCAGCTACTGCTTCAAGTAAAAAAGAAATTGTAAAAATATTTGGTTTGTGCAAATTACAAATTTACGTTATTAAACTTCAATTTACTCTCTAAAATTGCGTGGTTATATCTCCCTCATACAATAAAACAAATATATGCTGTTTGCTCAGACGGATTGTTTCGAAAGAAGTGAGAAAGGACTGTTTATTGTCTGAAAACGCCATCAAACGTTTATGAAACGACGAAGCCAAATAATGTCTGTCAGTATAGTACAATTCATTTCTGTTTTACAACTTTGACGCAAAAAAAACTTGAACTTTGACAAACATGCATCTGTAGAAAGTTCTCATTAATGGCTACTGGCATTTTAAAGGCATATACCCAGCGGGTCACTTGCTTTTTATGCATTTTGTTCGTTTCAAATAATAACACCACTCAAAATCTAAGGAAGAATGTTCAAAACCTATACCTGTCGATATTACACTTTTCGAGAAAACGGTGAAAAATCACGCACAATCTTTTGATCATGAAACACGATCTCGTCCATAGCACTCTTTATTTCAAAAAGATCAGTCAATGACTGATTGTTGGAAATCACCTACATTTCTTGATTTCTTCGATGCGACAGTAAGGCTTTGAGCAAGCCAGACGGAATAATTTCTCGGGGTGTTTAGTACCAGTATGATCTTTAATACAAGTTTTTTAAATAATAATTTGGTAGGTTACATTGAGAAAAATGCAAATGATCCTACATAATTCAGAAATCTCTGCTAGAACAGAGATTTTTGCAGTGGTATGAAATAATTGCCTAAATACGCTGCTGCTGATCATCCTTTTGTTTCGGATTAAAAGTCTCGAAAGCCTTACTTGGCGGAGCTGATTTTCTCCTGGAGTTCCTTCTCGAAGATGTCAGGACAGAGCTCCAGGAACGTCTCCTTCTCGATCTCAAATAGCTCCGTGGTCTCCCGGCAGATGATGGAAGCCCGCCGCCTACCGGTTCCGCCTCCCAAAAGGGCCAACTCCTAAGAACAAAAAGAAACGTAGGCCGTTTGCGAAACTCCGGCTTCGGCGTCGTCTGCAGTTCTAGCTCCATTACTAAACTGCATGCCTAAAGCCAGAGGCGGAGACGGAGCAGGAGTTTGGAAAACGGCCATAGATCCCTTGCATATAGAGCGCCGTCACTATTATGTCTATAATGTGAAGTGCCTTCATTGTCACTCCAGTTAAATAAAACAAAAATCTACAGTGAGGGCGCTCTATTAACCAACCTCCTAAGTAAGTTAAAATTGGAGGACTTCAGACACTTTTATTAGGGTAAATGCAAGGTGAGGACTTTTAAACCTCAGCCTCTTTACCAGCTTCGGCTTTTGGAAATTTCATTCCCCTGACTTTCGAACACCGACTCCAAAAAAGTGGGGAATAAAATTCAGCATGTGATTTTTTTTTCAGGAGTATCATGTAACAAGATGCCATTGTTTAAATTCTTTCGACTTTGTTTCTTAATGATTAAACGCCGGAGGTAAAACCTAGGTTTCGAAACAAGAACTATATAGCTAAGGCCACCAAATAGCTAGTTTGGCCTAGCAAATTTATTTTTGAAGTAAGTGTCCTTTTTTTTGGCCAATTTTCAAAGCCGATAAGCGGTGTAGTTGCAACTGTTGAGCGCCATGGTTACAGTGTTTAACTCATATGTCGTGGCATGTGGTTTCGAACCCTGACGGGGAACATGGTGCTTGTGTTCTTGGGCAAGACACTTTACTACAATTGTCTCTCTCCACCCAAGTGTATAAATGTGTACATGTGAGGGTAGAGAGCAGATTGCACTGATCTAGAGCAGCTGCAGAAAAACAAATGGGTCTCATTGCTGGGGAACAGGGGTAATAATAATTGTGAAGCGCTTTGAGACCTCTGGTATACAGTGCCACATTATTATTATTATTCTTTAAAACGTGGGATCGTCAGAGTTGAATGTATAACGACGTCATCGTGACGTGACTTACCCCGAAGCTGGTGCCTTTCTCCATGACGTGTGTCTTGGAAGGAGTCATGATGCCCGTCTTCTCGTCCTCGATGTCGATCTGCACAAACACCGAGCCGGAGAAGATGAAGTAGAAGTTGTGCCCCACGTGACCCTGACGCAGAATGACACGCCCCTTCTCACAACTTGGCGCATACGGGGAAAGACAAGGCCAAGTCAACAAGGTTCTTGGTAGGATTGGGTACTCAATATCATGAACCAATCAAATAATGTTTGTTAATTTAGTGTCACCCACATAATGCTGCCACCATTTCAGTCATGTTCCCTGTATCCAATAACAATTACTGAATGAAAATATTTTCTGTGCTAAAAAGGAACCAGACTATCATTCCTTCCACTCTTGCTTTGGTTACGTTGATTTGAATGGGGGAAAAACCAAGATGGCCGCAACACTACAATGGTCTATTGTTATGTATAGTGGCAAAGTTTCTTGCCCAAGGAACAGCGCAATACCACAGGCTGACCTGAACTTCAGAAACTTGGTAGCTACCTAGAACATGTGGGTATTCGAAAAAAAACAAAGTGATTTCATGATGCAGTCATCATTTTGATTCACATTTTTTTTTTGAGTTTTCGATTTCACACTTAGACAAGATCAAAATATTATGCAAATTAGTATGTTTCAAGTACATGTATATTAAAATATCACCATCCTTAATGGAAAATTAAAATGATCGTGTTTCGTCTTCGACAGACACACAGACGGCTGTTTCATGTATGACCCCTTACCAGCTGTACGTCGCCGCCCTGCAGATCTCCATTCGCATCTGGTGCGTGAACCGCTCAAAACTTTTGAGATTCTTCAGGATGCTATATAAAGCCATGACGTCATCGGGCGTACGATCCCAAGGCGGCTTCAGGCCGATTTCGCGGGCCCAATTTGGTACGTGGAGTTTCTTTTAAATGCAGAATAAGTGATAATTAACATAATGAGTTACGGAATAAAATTTGAGGTTTCAAAAATGAAGCTTAATCTGGAAACGAAATATAGATTATATAAACCAACATAGATTTCTGTATGGATGAAAGGACGAAATTATTACAATATAAAAGAACTTCATTGAAAAATCAATTTTGTTTATGACACTTAACATATACCCTTTAAAACTCTCTTTCTTAATTGGCGGTTTCACACTCAAAAGATCTGATACTCGTACTCTATTCTCGACAAAATATGGAACGTAACTCAGTGAGTAACGTCACTGGACCACGTGGATATCGGACGGTCCAACGCATACGCAAAACGCATATCAAAGTGTTTGGCCTCAAAATCAATATCCGGTTCGATAGTAAAAACGTCATAGACACGCGCGAACCACTGATTACTAGCGTCTATCCGCTCCGTTCACAAGTACCCCCTCACCGGCAAAGAAAGTACAGTTGGGGGTGACCAACCGACGCCATCTTGGCTGACTGCAATTTTGCCGCGCGCGACGCGCGGCCGTACCACTGCGTGTACATAGTACAAATCCCCTGGTGTACGTGCGTCACGCACAAGGATCGGTGCGCGTCAACCAGCTAAATGTCCCGCCCATGGGACGGCGTTGCTAGGTAAAAGGGCGCCCTCTTTCGTTGGCGCACGGAGCCCATTGGATAAACACGTAAGTTGCGGCTCCAACGGTTCCAATGCTCGTTTAATTCGCAGTGGGCGTGGTTTAAACTGAAATGATGTCACACTAACGAACCGGAAACCGATCTATTAGGCCCCGCCCACTGCACACGTGGGGCAACAACATGAGCACATATCCAATGCTCCACCATTGATCTCCATTACTAATGAGAATCAGTGGCTACACCGCATTATTCCAGGCGCTTGCGTCATATGCGCGCACGCACGTCAGACTTTTATGCACGCATGTGGGACATTGATCTGGGCTTTGATTGGTCAGAGCATCACGGGGCGGGACGATGAGAAAATACACAGAGAAAAATAGCATTTTGGCATCGAAACTTACCGAGTATTTTCTGGAGAATTTTTCCTTCTCGAAGGTCAGCTCTTCCTCCATGGTGCGCGTGTTGTAGAAGTGCAGCTGTGCCATAAAGTTGGCCACGTTAAGATCCTTGGACGATCGGATCATGCAGAAGGCCACTCGAGCGATCCGCATGATTTTGGTCACGGTCTCGATGAACAGCGCCCTCAGCTGTTAAAAAATACCGCTCAATAGTTATTTTTTTGAGGAGGCGTTTTCGAAACCTCGGCTTCGTATTTTCTTTGTCCTCATCCCCCTGGCACAAGAGTCAAAGGAGTCTTAAACATCCTATCTCAACAAAATTGAGGAAAGCTCTAATTACCCATAGGCTATCAAATCAATTCTACCGAAGCCGAAACGAAGCCAAGATTTCGGATATCCCAAGATGTGTGATCCTACCCAGTGCCCGGTAGAGGGCGCTAGACTGTCTGCCGATAAGGCTAAGACAAAATTCCAGGGCAACCACTCATCCCGCATGTCCTTGCAGTATATATTGACTTTTGAGAATTATATGTCTATCACGAATGCGCCACAAGCTTGACTGTTGGAGGAAACACATCGGTAAAGCGCTTGTCTTTCTGTAAAATCCACGTAAAATCCTTGTGAAGTATCGACAGTTAGCTCTCTCATGTACTTTGGATAGTGGTATTAATCTAGCCCGGTTTCGACAGCGGAAACGAAGGGACCCGTGGTTGAAAGGCGTGGTTGGAAGAACGTGGGTGAGTTAGTTCATTTCTATTTAAGCGACTTATTATTTCCCCTCCCCCTTCCCCCTGCCCCACGCAAGACCTGTGAACTGTCACTTTTGGAGTGGCAAAATACCCGCCCATGGGTACATTTTAAGTGCCAATCTCCGACAAACATTGGGTCGCACTAAACTGATTGCCCTTTTCATCCAGTGCGTCAATCGTAAAAAAAGGCTGTCATGAGTGACCGAAATCTTCACCCAGGGGCTTGAAAAAACGTGACCGAACACCGACATCAGAATTGGGCAGCGCGGGCGGTGGGGGTGGGGGAAACAATTGATAGGTGCATTATTGTTTTTCTTTCCTGAAGACATGAGAGTAAAATGATTTGCACTTTGTTAATTTTGAACTTTGAACTTTGAACTTTGAACTCTGGCGTTTCCCATATATCGTTTTGGCAACTGCAGCCTCGTAACAGCAAAGAAGACTGACATTAAATGACTGCGTCAATCGAAATTTGTTTGATTTTTAGAAAGTAGCTTAAGATGAGATATGCGACTGGTGTTTTTTTAACTTTGAACTCTGGCACCTTACCCTCAACCTCCTCTTTTCTGGGTCCTCGTACGCATGCGCCAGCAGCCGCAATCCCACGTTGACGTCGGACAGGCTCTGCGGTGCTTGAGGGCGCAACTCCACTTTGCTGCTCTGTCGGCTGAGCGGAGGCGGGGTGGTTGACCTCAGACTTTCGGCGGTCGTGACCCTTCGCGCCACCGGGTGACCTCTGAAGCTGACCTGTGACGTCGTGGGGGAGCCGCTGGGCGTGTCTAACGACTGCGCGCGCTGCAGACTGGCATTCACCATCGAAATTGATCTGTGAATTGAAATACAGAAAAACATTTGTGTTTAAAGATTTTAGGGACAAGAAAGGACAGGGGGCGGTCAACAATATCCGCATTCTAAAAGTGCGAAACCAAAAAGGAGCACATTTTAAAAAAACAAAGCTTTTGGCAATCGAATCCTCAGTGCATGTCTGCCAAGTCACTCCAAGTCATCGGAAGTTATCATCATAAGTCAATCGCAATCAGCCAGTCTCACGTCAACAAAATGTTTGAATGGACGTAACAACGACATTTCCTTTACACTTTTTCTTTTGTTAAATATCTCTCATGTGTCCTTACACTTGTGACTGAATTTTGTTTTGATTTGCGAAGGTCTTGTGATAATATGACCAGCGACAGACTTGACTTCAACTCTGTCTTCAACTTGATTATTAATAAATATTTCATTCAATTTTAACTGAGACCAAGACTTGTTTGTCTCCTTGAAGCATTTTTGTAGCTTTGTTTCAATAACCATAACTGGCATGCACAAGAACCTAAAACGAGTGAAAATATCACATTCTGTTGGTAGCCATCTTGGGTTCGGGCTACAAAAATGCCATGCAATTATTCAACCGTGCATATTATTTATTATCAAAGCAACCATAAATGGCAGTCGATCCATCACATTGAACGACTGTCTTTGTTTTCTTCCTTTCTTTGTGCGGTTCAATAACAAACGCGCCGGGAGCTCCCCTCGCAAATTCTGTCCTCACGGGCGCATTTTTTTGTCATAATTGTTAATGTCTTCTCCTACTAGTTAATGAAGACTGGTCGTTATGTCGATAAACAATTTGCACAAGATAATTGCATTGTGGTTCATATGGACATTATTCAGTTTTGTTTTTAGAAACGAAATAAAAGACTGAATAAAAAAATGAGCAAATAAAGAGACTCGAAAGAAGCAGGCAGCGCAGCACAGAGTAAAATAAACAGACTCATGAAACAACAGAACAGAAATCATGAATGTGAAGTCAATATTCAATCATATATATGACTTGAAGCTATGCATGGCGGATGAGATTTAATATTCAATCACTTTAATTTAAAAACAACATATCCCATCGGTGCACAACTCTCGAGAGAGCTTGGGTAAATATACGTTGTTTTATACAATAAGCATTTTTTTCCTTCTAAAAATGGTCATTATCAGCCCATTGTTCATTGGTCGTTTCCTGATGCTTTATTATTCTTTTACGGAGCATTCTCATCCGGAAGCAAGGGCGGATCCAGAGAGGTTACTGCCGGGCGGGAGGGGGGGGGGGGGGTGTGAGGCTGTGCCGGGGGCGGAAAGGCGCTCGCAGGTGAAAAATGGCATTATCTGACAAAAGTTCGGTCACTGCTGGGGGAAAGGGGTGCGGGTGCCCACTCCACACCCCCTCCCCTCGGATCCGCCGGTTGTAAGGAGCCGTTTAAGGGCACCCAAACAGTTTGTCTGCTAAAGGATTATTATACATGTTATAGAAAGAGTATACAAGGTAGAACATCAAAGTGTGCATGTACTACTCGAAACAATGTCTTTAAAGGTTTTCGTGTAATCATCGCGCCGAGGAGTTTACCGGTTCAAAAGTTTAGTTCTCAAACTCGAACTTTACTGGTCTTCATACCAGTCGCAAAGTCACTTCAAACACACGTGTTGTCATCGTCGTGGGACCTGAATGCGACGGTAAAATGCATTAACTTTGTGTGCATAATATATTCGCCACAATGCTGATTTCGACAGCTTGTTTTTATGAATTCGATGCTTTTTGCATTGCCGGTGTAGGCGTGTAGCGTGAAATTTTGAATCTTTCAAATACCGACTTATTGGTTGTACTGCGCATGCCTAAGTGACGATAATTAGGACAGTTAGAGTCAAAATGAGTTAAAAGAGACCAACATTCAGAGGAGTCCAAATTTCATATGACACCGAACATAATAATGATCGAGACAAAATAGCTGCCGCGTCAATTTACAACAAAAGTGGGTTTTCAACATTTTCTCCATATTTATGTGCGACATCATGCGGATTTTACTCTGTCCCAAACCTTTAAAAGATGGTCAGTCGATAACCTAAAACACTACATTTATGGAATTGTTTTGGACGAAAGTGCACCATTAAGACTCGTATTACCAGCAAAAACTTTGAAGAAATAGATGATTTTGGTACACACGTATATATACCAGCAACAAAGGCATGGGATTTGTTAGAGAATAATGTAATATTGCTGCAGGGGTCATATCTTGACGCACGCCTTTAAATATCCGTGTTCACAGCCAAACATGCTGATGAAATGAATGATTTCCATACGATGATCAAGGCCTAAGAATTACTGTGAGTAACAATGTATAACAATAAATGTATGCAATATGTGGACTACAGGTTACAAGGACTCCTTTTCATAGAAAAACCTCTGAATAAAATAATTGGGGATTCCGGTATACCCGGACCAAGGCCTTAGAAATGTGGTAAGAAACCAATTACGATAAACCACACAGCTTCGGCAGTCTTTCGACGAAAGTGCACCATTAAAGACTCGTGTTCCGAGCCAAACCTCTGATGAAAAATGATGATTTCAGTACGAGGGACAAGGCCAGATCGCCGATAAGTTCGCCCACCAGGACGGGGCCTGCACTTTTGCGCTCGTCTCGCCCGGCCGACCAGCGACAAAAACGCGCCCAGGGGTAAACCATTAAAATAGGGAACCTCGTCTTCACTAATTCGGAAATAACATGACTAAGTTGTCTCTCAGAACATGATGAACACGTAACGGTCGTGGGCTGAAACCGACCCCGAGCCGAACTTTTCAGCCAGGCCCACTGCGCTCGCGCAGAAAAGTAAATGATATCGAGAACCTTTAAAAAATGGGGGGGAGGGCGCATTTTTATGCAGAAGAACCCTGAACCTTATTAAGGCTTGACACAAAATGAGATATGGTAGTGATAAGTATGAAGAAAATAAGCACGGGTGGGGATTTAAAGCGCCCTCTATTGACAGCCTGCATGGAAGATTTAAAACTCCATCCTGATTGGTTGGCTAGTTTGACCTCAAGGCACAAAGGCCATGAACGCCATAAAACAGGCGTCGATTCAATCAGTTCTACGAACAACTCTTTGCGTTTCCTCACAACTTATTTCGTGTGCAGTGTTGATTATTGGTAAATTTTCAATTTTTTAATTAGAAATTTTGAAATTTCAAAAACGAAAAAAGAAGAAGAGAGAACAGACAACATGGCATTAGGTGAGTTTGGGTGCTCGGGTAATTTCAGCACGGGGTACAAAACGAACACTCCAGACACCTGCACTTTATTAAGGGAAGGTTGATTGCAGTAATGGTTTACACGTTATGACATTACGTCGGAGTCTCCCACTTGTTTTATTTCATCAGTTTTAAACTAAGGTGAGTGTATGTCCGGAGGTGCCGCTATTCATACGGCAATGTGGATCGCATTATTCTTTGGCAAAATTCCTTGGGGGCGCGTGCGATGTTTTCCCTTAACCGCTTGAAAGTACTTGTAGAGTTTTAACCTTTGGAGTCGAACTTGGATGTCTTCATGGTGCAGATGTGTAAAATCTGTCTGTTTGTCAGTCAGTCTGTCTGTCAGTCAGTCAGCAAGTAAACGTTGTTCAAAATGCTTTCTTTATCATGTAAACGTTTGTACAGCGTACTTCGGGTCGGTTAATGCATACCTCAGGCAAAATTCAGAGCGAAATCGCTGAGACACACAATGAAATTACAATATATTTTGACGTCATGAAATACCTTTGCTCTTACATTGTAATAAAAAGCTTGACTATATAACGTCTGTTCTCTTAACGCTGTACGTAAACTCAATGTGAATTGTTTAACCTTTCCCGTAAGATTTTGCAAAAAATGTTATTGATTTGATTGGAATACAACAATAGACATGTTTTTGTGTCGCATGGAGCATTATGTGGTGTTAGGTTTCAATTCAGTAACTGTAATGGACAAGAAGTCTGCATATTGCGTCTCCCTCAATATTTAAATCTTTAATAATGTATGCTCTCCGCTTTTTTAAAAACTATTTAATACATTTTGGACTGTTGGAAATTAAAAGAAAGCCTCACAATCTGCATTATTTTGGAATCTCAGTACAAAAGGGGGGGGGGGGGCTGATCCAATGGCCCACCCCTGGTCCAACAGTGTGGACGATATATTCTCCCGACCCTCTGGGATTCACGCCCATGATTTTGCTTATCCCGGGAATGGAACAAAAACACGCGCCCTAATGATGGCAGCACTGCAGGCGATCTGTAGATTTAGCCATATACTGATATCATTGTACAATCACTGAAGTAATTGCGATCCAAGTAGAGCTTGCGAAGACAATTTCACAATCCTACTCGGGTGGGACTCGAACCCCGGACCTTCTGCTTACTATAGGCAACTGTCTTAACTACTTGTGGTCCGAGCTCAGCCCGGAATCGGATGGCCGATCCGAATCAAAATTATTTATTTATTCATGAGATAACTTCTCAGGCAAACATTAAAAAATATATAAAAATAAGATAGTTTTAAAATTCAATTACATAAAAACGACAAGACACGACAAAGGAGATCAAAGAGACACACTACTACAAAGGTTAAGATGCAAGAAACTATAAAATAAAAACATTCAAAAATTTTAAACATTAAATTGTACCATAATATGCAGGCCTGAGGGATTGCCTAAAAAGCTATATAAAAAGCTTATCGAGAGGCTGTCCAAGTACAACTGTAAACATTTTGCACAAGACTGAGAAAAAAACAACGACAACAACGAAAACAACGACGACAACAACAACAACAACAACAACAAAGGTCGACAAACAGACAGACATACAGACATAAGTACACAGAACAAAACAAACCAGCAAACGAACATATTAAATAAAAAAAAAGACAAATAGGAGGCAAACACACGAGGCACACAAAAGCCAAAATACAAAGAAATATTTGGGTTTTTTTTTACAATCTGTCTTGACATTTCTTTTTTACCCAAAATCATCTGTA